TATTATTCATATTAACATATAGAATAGTAAATAATTAAATTTAAGTTTAATTTATTTGTGTACATTCTGAGCATGTGACACACGGGATAATGCAAGCGGTGTTTTTGTTTTGTATGTAAAGTGTCACACAGTGGGAGACCTCGCCGCGTGTCTCTTGCAGATCGTTCTGAATCGAGAACTGACCTCCCCAAAGTGTCACATTTGCCAACCCGGCGGATTGAAGTGCTTGGGCTTCCGATTTTGTGTAACCCTTTTCACCGATTTTGTAAACAAAACTCGTTGTCAATATTTCACCCACCACCCCCACATTTGTTTTTTCTCTTTCTCTACAATGCGGCAGGGATGAATTTCAGATTTGATGGCTTGAATATTCGAGTTTTAAGGACAATTTCACGGTTATTTTTTAATTTGAGCGGCACGGTGGCAAGATGTTAACTACCTTACCTGGTTTGTAGGAAGTCGTGGGTTCGATCCTGTATATTTGGAGTTTTCGTTTTCTCTCTCTCCCTAGGTGGTGGATTTTTCTTCGGGTCCTCCGGTTTTTCCCTCCACATTTAGAATCAACATCACGCGTTTAGAGTGTTCGATTGCTTTACATTTCCACATGATGATAAGCCACTTCGTTGAGCTACCATTTGTGGCCAGATCGCTGTTGAAAAAAAGCTGTGTGTCTCGGTTGGCCTTACCTGGTAAAATGAAAAAAAAATGTGTTTAGTTTATTCCCACAATGTACGAATGTTAAAGTGTCCTTTGTGTGCTAACATTAGTGACGTCACCCGATTGTCAATTTGGGCGTAAGTGACGTCACGGTTTGTTGTTTTTTACCGGTCTGTTCCGATTCAAAACAAAAGCAACAAAAATCCCAAATTCGAATCTTCCGAAATGTCGTAACTAGGCCTCTGCGTTTCGGAGTTTCATTTCGGAATAACCCAGTGCCGGATTAAGCTAGTGCGGGCCTGTAACATAAAACACAATATTTTTTAACTTGCATAGGTAAAGTAATTGTATTTTTTCATTTGCTATACAGCCAGATAATACGATAAATTGCTAACCTTAAACACACAGTCGTTCATGAAAGTTGAAGGCGGTATAGTACTATAGTAATAGAGAAAGTGCAGGATCACTCAACCGGAATTGATAGCTTGGAAGCATTTAGCGCGGGGCCCTTGAAAGTGCGGGGCCCGTAGCTACTACATATGCAGCTACTTGTGCTACTAGGATAATCCGGCACTGGTATAACCAGGAGTAGGTCCTTAACAAAGCGCCTATGTTTTGATTTAAAGCTTTCGTGACTGCAGGGATTCATATTCTTGGTTCTTTCGGTAAAGTCAGGTAGAAGGGAAATAATAAAATAATAAAAATACAATACAATAAAATTATCACGACGTTTCGACTGCGACACAAGCAATCATCATCAGGTGTGAAAACCACAGCAAAGAAAATTTGAAAAAAGTGGCGGGATTTTTTCTTAACGTGAGAAATAACCAAGAATATGAAGCACCTATGATTGCGCTTTACGAACCCGCGCTAGACGGCAAGTTGTTTTTAAAAATATCGGCAGGACGCCCCTTCCTTCCCATCGGGTTGGCAAGTGGAAAAACATTATCCGTGGACGAGGGCCCGACGGGTATTAAAACATGACACCATTGCTCGCATCATTGAAATCTTGCTCTATAAAGTAAATCCAAGCGATTGATGTACACACACACACACACAACTTTGTAAATAAAGAGCAGAAACAATACAGCTTTAAACTTGCCGAGCGCAAGCTCTGTAATCTATGAACACGTGGGGTCTATCCGAGGGATGTATGGTAAGAGAAAGAGCCGCGTTGTTTATGAAATAAGTCGCTGTACGATTTCCCTGTACATTGTTTGGGCTGCTCATAATCGCCAGCGTTTCTACTGCGAGTGCATGCAAACGTCCCAGGTCATTTGTGGCATGAGCGGTGGCGATGTCCCCTTGAGTGTGTCCAGTCTCCATCGGCTGACACATACGGACGTGTGTACATGTATTGTAGATGCGAGAGAAAAAACACTGACGCTTATTTTAACATTGAGAGAAACTTTGGAGAGGAAACGGAAAATATATATACTGTACTGTATATAAAATGAATGCGTGTATCTCGATACGATGTGATTTTAAAGAGGAGCATTTGACTGAAATTATTATACGAAATAAAGAACTTTATTAAGCAACCGGCTGGTGCATATGGTTCTCTTTTAATCCACGCTCTATCAGAAGTTCTGTCAAAATCAGTTCATGCTGTGAACGTATGCACTCCGTGCTGACGATATGTTTTCTCATGAAAGCTCCTACGTCTACTTTATACATCGTACTGTATATCCATGTCGTAGCTTTCCCGAGATTAAACTTTAAATAATACGACTCTTTTTTTCATTATGCAGAGGAGAGCTTCAATTAAAGTGCGCATCTGTGCTGCATTTTATGCTGCATACTTCATCATAACAACTTTAACTCGCAGTCCTTGTCTGACCGACCATACTTCACCACGCTGGTCAATGCAAGTTAGTCAAGGGAGTGTGGAAGAGCGCGGTTCGGATATCACTCGCCACTGATGTTATAGCCGTGGCCTGGAATCGAACTCAGGTCGGCAAAGGTTAATAGTGTGACGCGCGAATCATTGCGCCACGGCTCGCTCTCCCAGCATAATTCAGGAGTCGTTATTAATTAATTACCTTATATCGCAGCCTAGTGTAGTACACTGCATTTTTCGCACACCACACTTTAGGTGTGTCTCGTACATAGCTCAGCAGGTACTGTTTGTGAGAGACTGGGTCTTGAATGATAAGGGAGCGGTAGTGTAGCGGTGACTGCGCTACGAACCTGGGGACACGGGTTCGATTCCCGCTCACGGCCGACATCAGTGACGATTATTTGAACCGGTCCTTGGCCTCCGCTACCTCGACTCAGCCTCAAATGAGTACCTGGTGCGGTGTGTAAACATCGACACTAGGGAAACAAAGGTGGCCGAGCGTGGTGCTGGCCACCCACCCCCTCGTGTTACCGTGCCGGCCATCATAGGTGCTCGCTAACAGCACTTGCCCCAACAGTCTGTTATAGCCTACACGGGGGATTTTTGTCTTCAATGATAAAATAAATAAAGACATTTGGCACAAAGCTGCCAATATCACTGAATACCGATGTTAACCTTGGCCAATGAGCAAACCCACTGTGTTCCCGCTCCCTAACCATTGTAATTAATACATCGCCCCAATTGTGTCATTTCATTCGGTGATTGTAGACCAAATTAGCGCCAATTATAACCCAGCTTTCAATGTTTACCGAGAAGCGGCGTTCTCCGTTGATGGCGGTTTCTTGGAGCAGTCAGAGAGACAGACACGTGCGTCACCTCGGAGCCACTTTGCATGAAGACAAAAATAAAACGCATAAACAATTCAGCGAACAGGAAAAATCTGGAATTCCCGGAGATGCTGGAAAGAAATGCCATCGATATTTCATCAATGTTCTGCCTCGTGTGCCACCGCAGATTAGTTTTGACGGCACAGATGTCATGCATTGTTAAGCAGCTCTCCAACCAAGTTTATAACTCGTGAACAAGCGAGATACTTCATAATTAAAAAGACAAGAAAGGTTTCTACGGGAAGAAATTAATGCTGACCTGGACTAAGATGCCGTGTTTGTTTTTTGTTGTAAATTTCAACTAAAATTATTCCGTTAACTCGTTGATGCCCAGGGGTATAGTATTAACAATATAACAATAATAAAAAAATATTTGCAATTGCTGTAATGTGGGGAACAGTTGCCGCAGTGATTCGTACAACTGAACGATGGGTCCCAGCCATCTGAGTTTCATTCCGGGCCACGGCTAACAATCAAGTGGCTAGTGACATGTGAAAGGGCACCGCCGTTACCTTCGCCAACCTGAACTAGCCACTATCGTCGAGTTTACTTAAATCGTTGGTTTGTGTAGCCAATGCAATTATCCATATGTGTCTTAAGTTAAGCAACGTGGTAGTTTTATGCCACAATTCTTGTCATTAACCTTCAACGACCCATTGCTCAAACGCCTTTCATGTCAGAATTTGATCAATACATTTGTCACGTATAAATAATATACGTAGAAATAATATCTATACGTAATTAATAAATATTATCGGTATAGCGAGATGGTTACTACCTCGCCTGGTGAGTTTGATCCAGACCCTGACGCCTAGAGACTTGACGTTGCATGTCTCTCTCCCCATGGTCGCATGGATGTTTCTCCGGGTCCTCCGGGTTTTCTCTCCACATTTAGAATCAACATCACACATTTAGAGTATTTGGCTGCCATTAATTCCCACGTGATAAGCCACTTCGTTGAGCTATCATTTGTGGCCAGGTCACTTCTGAAAAAGAGCTATACAGCTCAATAGGCCTTACCTGGTAATATAAACATAGTTTAGTTATAGTGAGTTAATATCTTGGCAGCGTAATTTAAGCTGGGTTGGAGGGGGAAGGGAGCCTTGACAAATCCTCTTGATATGCAAATTCCTTTGTCAAGGCGCCCTTCCCCCTCCAACCCAGCTTAAATATACGTTGCCAAGAATGGTGGTGCTCATTCAGACGCTGTCTCTGCGAGAGACCTGTTCTTCACATGAGGACGGCTGCTTGCGTTGTGGCCGAAACATCGTGAGAATTATTGTATTATGTTTTATTTTTATTATTTTATTATGTTTTATTTTTATTATTTTATTATTCCCCTTCTACGTGACTTTACCGAAAGTACCAAGAAGATTAATTGAATTTATAAAGGGTGAGTAGGTGAGTGAATTAATGAACGAATTATTTAATTTATTAATGAAAAGTGGGGTGAGTGGGTGAATAAATGAACGAATTAATGTATTAAATAATGGTGGAGTGAGTGGGTGAATCAATGAACGAACGAATGAATGAACCCTGAGAACCAAAGAGAATGAATGAATCAATCTAAAGATTTGGGTATGAAGCTCCGCCCACTCCCACGACGCCACGTGACCTGCCCCGTCCAATGGAAGCGGCTCCCGCTCAGCTCTGCCGAAGCTCTCTAACGTTCTGCAAACGTGCTTCGTTTTGGGCTGCAAATGCGCGTCTCTCGCGCCTCCTGAGCCGTTCCCGTGTCCGGCGGAGTCGGTGTCGAACCCAGCGGGTCAAGGTGAGAGCGGACCCCGGGTGGTCGCACGAGCCGTTCGTGTTATCGCGTCGCTTCCCCCGCGGGACATGAGGCCGGGTAGGCCGCAGGTCGAGCACCGGTCTTGCCTGGTCGGGCTACCGATCCTGAGCGCGTAGGCGGCCCCCGACCGCGTGGCGAGGCCGGCGTCGGCGTAACGCCGCCACCGATAAAGACGCTTTCGAAACGGCGCGATTTTAATGTTTTTTGTGCACGTATTTATTTGCTGGTATTTTATTATTCAACCAAAAAATGTGCGAGTTTGATGTGGGGGGTTTGTTTGGAATTAATCGTTGTGAGTTATAATGAAGCTGCCCGTTCAGGATAACCGCGTGTGTGATGCGGTAGAGACCAAGAAATCCATTCAATCGGCGCCTTGGTTCATTGATCAGACTGACACCCATTTTCGCCTCTTAATTGTTGTTGTTGTTGTTGTTCTCTTTTCTTCCAGGTGTAAATATGAGTCTGTTTGGCACCAGCACGGGGTTTGGAGGAAACACGATGTTTGGAAACGCGGCTACGGACAACCACAACCCAATGAAGGTGGTAACACTTCTCTACGCGTGCGATTTTCGCCTCGATCGCGGCAATTGCAATCACCACCACCACCACCATCGTCGTCGTCACCACCGCTGGGTTTGCAGTTACCCGATGAGAGACATTTGATGAACTTAGGCAGTGAAGAGTGACGCATGTACTGCCTTGTTTTACTCGTGGGCAGTGCAACATCCCCGTGGTCACCGCTTTCACGCGCCCGTGCTGATCAGTTTTGCTGAATGGGTTCAGCTATAGAACATTAAAATATACGTTCTTTATAAGAGCATAGAGTCATTGGGCATTGTCCATGGAGTAAAAAAGCAAGAATTGGGTTGGGTGGGGGGGACTGTCTAGTTCCACTCTGGCCCGGCACCTGGGCCTCTCCAGCCCATGCACCCTGGTGCAATTGCACTGCCTGTGCACTCAATAGCCACACGCATATTCTTACCGCTGAATATGTAAGATCTTTAGATATGTTTTGTACAATTGATGTGAACAAAAGAATAACACGTCTTGCTATTCATGCCATTGCAAGAAAAAGAAAACTGAATTTTATATTTTCACTTAAAAAAATATTTTCCTGATGTGTTGCAAAAGCGTCAGTGGTTCACTGAGTGTATTAGAATGGAGGAGCGTTGCGTGTGCGTGCAGTGCTGACCTGTCGCTAACCCCCGTCTCGTAGGATATCGAGGTGACTTCTCCGCCAGATGACAGCATCAGCTGCTTGTCGTTCAGCCCCGCCGCTCTGCCCGGAAACTACCTCATCGCGGGTTCCTGGGCGAATGATGTGAGTGAGATCGTGGTGGCAGGCAGCATGCTGTGGCCTTGAGGGATGCAGTGCAGCCGAGGTGACCCGGTGGCTCAGACGTCAGAACTTAAAAGGTGCCGCAGTGGCGAGATGTTAATGCCCTCGCCTGGTATGCAAGAGCTCGTGGATTCGATCCCAACCCTGACGCTTATTTATTTGGAATTTTCGTGTCTCTCCCCGTGGTCGTGTGGATTTTTATCCAGATCCTCCAGTGTTCCCCTCCACATTTAGAAACATGCGCATAGAGTATTTGGCTGCTATACATTTCCACATGATGTTAAGCCACCATTGTTGAGTTATCATTTGTGATAGCCAGGCCCTTTCTGAAAAAGAGCTATCTCAGTGGGCCTTACCTGGTAAAATAAAATTTAGTTCAGCTTATAGTTTAATTCTAACTCCTGAGCTGCACCACCAAGAATCTGGCTTCGAATCCAGCCTGTGATTAAACCAGGTTCTCACTTGTGCTGAGTTTATGGTTTCAACTCAGGCTACCAATGACTGTTGAACCATTGCATTAATGTTGGTTATTCGCTTAATTCAGCTGTATTCATCTTTGATAATTTTAATTTCGGTTGACTGCCACCCAGCAAACATTTCAATGTCGCAGGAAGTTTGGGAGAGTGCACGTCCTAGTATGGCAAAAAAATGTTACCTGAAGGATTTTACTCTGATGGCTGACCACTATATAAGCTACGTTTGTCATTGACAAACGTGCTAAGTCGTGGGCATCAGAAGGTAGTACAGAAAAACAATCGTGGTACTCTATATACTTCCTGCCTTCACTGCACTGACAAGCATGGTGATGAAACATCCACGACCTCTTGTATGTATGTTGAACTTCTTTCGCGCCGTACGTAGCCAACCGTGGAGTGAGGAGGCCCTCATCCAGCAAAGGATTGACAAATGGCAATGCGTGTACAATTAAACATCGTAACAGCAAACAGGTTTAACGTCACTGTGTTGTCTCGCTGCAGGTTCGCTGCTGGGAAGTGCAGGACAGTGGACAGACCATTCCCAAGGCCCAGCAGATGCACACAGGGCCCATACTGGACGTCTGCTGGAGTGACGTGAGTGACATCATTCATCGTTCAACTGGATACACCCCCAATGTCGAGGATTTTACATTCTCTTTGCCCTTTTGCGAGGAGGCTGCCTGCGTGGGTTCATGTGCACACGGAGGCATTTTCACTGTGTGTTTGTTTCAGGATGGAACGAAAGTGTTTACTGCGTCCAGTGACAAGACGGCCAAGATGTGGGATCTGAACAGCAATCAGGCTATCCAGGTTGCACAGGTCAGTGGTTCGTTTACTCTTTGTGTGTAGTTGAACAGTAGAACGGAAATATATACTACACGTCGAACCCTGCGGCCAATCCAGTACTGGATGACTGCCACGCTGAGCGGGTCGTGGAGGTAATTGACCATACTTCACCATGCTGGTCACTGTCGGTTGGTAAAGGCAAGGCGCATAGAAATGGGCATGCAGATTCATAGTACAACATTGGATTTTGCTTCACTGCCCTCTGCTAGCCATCACATAGCCCTGCTGCCACCTATGCCAACTTGGCTGCGTAGTGGTCACCCATGCACACATTCCCCTGGCCTCCGAGATCTGGTGAGATCAGACCCATCCTGGGTAAATTGGGCATAGGACAGATATCACCTACTCTTATTTTAATTAAAATTGCAATTGCTTCTGTGCTGTTGTCTTGTATAACGCGTCTTGATGTTTTATGTGTTGCAGCATGATGGACCAATAAAGACAATACATTGGATCAAGGCACCAAGCTATAGCTGCATTATGACAGGCAGCTGGGATAAAAGCTTAAAGGTTTGTGCGATTGTGAAAGCTTCCGAGACATTTATTCTTCACCATGTTGTCCACCAAAAGCCTTCCTGACAAAATATTCAATTTCTGAAATAGAATGTGGTGGCACATGCAGACGAGTTTCTTTTTCTTAACCCTATAGCTTTTATTTTTCTGTCGCGCCATTATTTGTGCAATAATTATCCCTGCTGGTTTGTTTGCATTGTTGTCTCTACAGTTCTGGGACACGCGCACTCCAAACCCTTTGCTCACCATTCAGCTGCCAGAGAGGTGCTACTGCGCTGATGTGGTACGAATCCATTCACTCGCCTTTTGGATACCCAACAAAGACTTAGACGTGTCACACGATGAACCGCCGTCAGTCATTGTTAATGCAAGCACTGTAGGTTGCCGTGTGATTCAGGAGGTACATACCTCCACGTTAGAACACCAGATACGATAAAGTACAATTTGGATTCAATTAGCATCTAAAATGCATTGCTATGCAGAAACGTGGCATATTTATTTTATATAGTAGTCAGAGGCAGAGTAAAAAATTTACATCTTGAGCCTGGACTTGAACTGGGGCAGGGGGAGTCAACAGGACAGATGTCTTGGCGAAGGGTGTCCCAGACCATAGGAGCAGCAGAGGAGCATGAGCGAACTCCCATCGAGTGAAAATTGACTGAGATACAGAGTTCAATATTGAGTTTCAGCCTTCGATATTTAAAACAGATTCTCAAATATAGTGAGTTGATGATCTCAGCCAAGTAATCAATTACTACACAAGCCCCATCATGAAAATATATTTGTTGCTTCATTTGACTTATTCCAACTCTGAGTATTACAAATGTAGGATTTATTGTCATAGGACTTGCACCACAATAGTGGGACGTGGTCTGCATACTGTGAATAAGGGACCGTTCAGAGAACGTCTGAAGTAGTCTTTTCACAGGCCATTCTCAAAAGCTGAGGGACGCACCGCTGTGCGATAGTTCTGAATGGAATTTATTCTGTCTCGTGACAATGCCATTTGCACGATTGGAAGTGAAATGGAGAAAATATAAAAATGTATATTAAACAAATGAACACACACTGTGGAGTTGGCTTGCTTGTATGCGTGTAGTTATATCAGTGCGGTCGAAGTGAAAAGTGTGTGTGTTTGTCTCAGGTTTACCCCATGGCTGTGGTGGCAACAGCCGAGCGTGGGCTCGTGGTGTATCAGCTCGAGAACCAGCCCTCGGAATACAAACGCATCGACTCCCCACTAAAGCACCAGGTCTGCTTCAAACCGCAGATTGTGTCTTGCATGTGCATAGTGATTATACGTCAGAGGTCGCAACTGGGTAACCGATATCCGTACCCTACCCGGCTACCCGTACCCGGCCGGGTACGGGTACCCGTTTGCGACCCTGGTGCGGCCGGGTACGGGTAGACCGTGAGTCACTGGTGAGTAACTCTTTGTCACTCATTTCCCAACGTCTTGTCTCTTCTCACAATTCAAGTTCCTAGAATCAACCCACCCGCGCCTGCAACATGGCTTCATCCCAGAGGTCGCAATCAGGTACCTAATACCCGTACCCGGCCGGGTACGGGTAGGGTACGGCCGTGTACGGGTACCCGTTTGCGACCCTGGTGCGGCCGGGTACGGATAAGGAATCAAAACCCGTTTGCGACCTCTGTTATACGTGCATATTACTGCATAGAGACGGGAGGAGGGGGGGTGCAGTATCACAGTGGCCTTTACGCTGCACTCTGAATCTGGTGCAATAGCGCCATCAACCTCCGTTTGATTATCAGCCGTGGCTAACACCGACGACAAGCGACATCTGAACCGGTCCTTGTAATCTTAGGAACTTGCACTGAGGAAGTTATGGTCAACCCCATGACTGACATGGCCTGGTGAAGCCTTTATCCGGCAATGAACTGGCCATGAACTGTAAATTGTTATACTTAGAAAAATTACATTGTTACCTCCGTTATCGTTTTTATTGCCTCTGTTGTGCGAGTGGGCTCAGAATTTAATGGGGTCACCCAATCCACCAAGTTCTCCCCAATTAAAATTGCATCTCTGTGCTTGCTATGAGCAAACACTTAAGTTCTGTGTTCAGAAAATACCACATTATTCACTCGGGTAAGTTAGTACACAGCTTTTTTAATGACCAAATATTTCAAAACACATTACAAAATTATAATTTCTATTAGAGTGTTCCCGAGATAATTCCCGCCTTGATTTGGTATGCATTATTTTAAGCCCCGAGAGAAGTGGAAAATAAATTGTCTACCAATTAAAGTATACTATCGTTCATTCTTTACTCAATCAGGTGAAAGCCAATTACGGCAACAATTATTGTGATTTTTAGTCATCATAGGTGGTGCTTAATGTGACTTGGACGTCTGGTGTTTGTATTTGCAGCATCGCTGTGTGGCTATTTTCATGGACAAGCAGAACAAGCCGACGGGATTTGCACTGGGCAGCATCGAGGGCAGAGTAGCCATCCAGTACATCCAGCCCGCCAACCCGTAAGGGACAACAGCTACTTTCGCGCGAGCTATCACTATTCTTTCTTGCTGTTCTCGCTAAGGAGGCGTTAGAGATGCTTGGCTTTTTTTTTTCTCCCTGCCAAAGCCGTCTTAATACTCTGAACAATTATTACTACTATAATGTGATGTATAACTGTTGTCTTGAATTAAAGCTTTCGTGACTGCAGGAATTCATATTCTTTGTGTCTTTCGGTAAAGCCACGTAGATAGAAAAATAATAAAAATTTCACGTTTTTTTTTCCTGCCTCTGCAGCTCTCCCGCTATTTTTTTTCACCTGATGACAATTGCTTGTGTTGCGATCAAAATGTCGTGATATTTATTTTTTATCTACGTGGCTTTATCGAAAGACCCAAAGAATATAACTTATCATAATCCAGGTGTCACAACCACTTGATAGCATTACATTTAAAGCAGTCAGGATGACTTGATGATCCATCACTGCCTGATTTTGCTCCAGTCACTCGCTCACCAGCGGTCAGTTGCCTCCTTATAACTCCTATATCGCTACTACCATGGTCACTGTTCCCATAAACTTCACTTATTTATTCCTCCACCGATGTTGAGCACTCGGTCTACCGGACTGATTTTTTCATCTCATCCACAGTGTCTCAATCACCACACTGCAGGTCAAACCACTTCTCTTTCTGCTTCTTTCGCTTTTCCCAAGCTATTATAAACCTGCCCAATTCAATACATGTGTTCACCAAATATATAATACTCCTTAAATAGTGCTGTTCGTTGCTGGCCACTTGCTATTTTAGTTTAGTGTGTGTTTCGTTTGTTGTTCTTCCCCCGCACATCCGATTAGCACGGTTGGCTGCGTACGGTATGAAAGAAGGTCGACATACATACATTTGGGGCCTCTACTCAGCAACCGCGATTATAAACGAGTTGATGGCATCGGCCTAAAGTGGCCGCCATAATACCGAGCTCACGAGTTGCCCATGTTTCACAAATATTGTTGCAGAGCCAAAGATAACTTCACATTCAAGTGCCATCGCTCCAATGGTCAAACGGGTCCCCAGGATATTTATGCGGTGAGTGCCATCAAGGTGTTTGTTTTCTTGTGTGTTCATCATAATGAATGTCGGAGGGGGTCCCTGGCTTAGGGGGCCTCATTACACTTGTACTGAGCTGGCTCGACTGAAACTGGGTCCATATCCAGGTGTCAGCCACCCATTATTTAAACACATTCCTACGGAGTGGGCAGGTAGGAACTTGGTTGGACAGCGCATTCGTGCGATCCGTGTCACGCGGCGAGTCACGTGGTGCTGAGCCCGCCTGAAGCGCTCTATGAAATACAAATCGAGGGCGTGGCTATGCACGACAGACAGACAAGTAATCCCTGGTGGGCAGTGTGGAACTGTTGTTCCTACCTGTAACAGGGTTCTCCAGTGTAGCCTGTTTACTGGTGATTGCACATCCACAATTACTGTTGGTTGAGTCGTCATATTCCAACTGGTTACACGTTTTATTTAATTGTGATACGATGACCACCCTGCTGGCCATGTGAAAATTGCAAGGGACGGTTAAAATTAGTTCTGCGATTACAATTTCTGGGGCTTTTGGAAAGAAGGTAATGTTTCACTGCTTTCTGCGGGAGTTACAAATGCATACCTCTTTTTATATCTCATCACGTAACATTGATATCACAGCTATATATACAGCTGTCTGTCAGTATTGCTGGATGAAGGCCTCCTCGTGCAGTGTCCCAATATGAAAGCTGTTTGACCATACTTCACCACACTGGTCAGTGCAGGTTGGTGAAGGGAAGGCTCGGTATAATTTCGGATATAACTCACCACTTAGCCATGACCGGCAATTAAACTCCAGTAACAAAGTTTATAACATGAAGAGCGCTAACGATTGTGCCACCATTCCACTTGCTGCTCTCATACAATTGAGAGAAAAAAAAAGCAAAACGAAGAAATGTTGGGAAAAGGTCTTAACAGTGGTCATAATAGTATCTACAGGCCATTGCTATAGAGCAGCGGTGGCCAACTGGCATCTCTTGAGCCCACATGCGGCTTTAAATACACCCACATCCGGGTCTATCGAAGGGGCATAACATAGAATGATCAATTTCTCCTGTGCTGGAAACTGTCAGTATATATGCACACACACACATATATAGTTGACTCTTTGCAGAACTCATGGATACCTTTTGGTTCTTGGCCTGTTACAGGTTGGCCTGTTGTAGAGCAATAGCTCCTGTAATGGCCAGTTGATGCTAACCAAGCTGACCTCCGATAAGCACGGTTGGCTACATACGGGTTCGAAAGAAGTTCAACATAAATGCGTACGCACGCAGAGCTTATCTAATTGAATCTGTCATTCACCCGGTCCGCGCGTGTTGCTTTTTCGTGTCACAAGGTCAACGGAATTGCATTCCACCCAGTGCACGGCACGCTAGCGACGGTGGGCTCCGACGGCCGTTTCAGCTTCTGGGACAAGGACGCGCGGACCAAGCTGAAAACCTCCGAGCAGCTGGATCAGCCCATCACGGCCTGCTCCATCAACAACAATGGCAACATCTTCGCCTATTCCTCCAGCTACGACTGGTCCAAGGTCAGTTCATCTGCCCTTACCAGAAGCCCTTGTGTTGTTACGTGTGTGCATGCGCTCGCTCCGCTGTTCAGTCTCTCGGATCGTTTCAAGACGAAGCTAGGCGTTTAAGGATTATCTGTCGCGACACGATGAATTGCCACTATTTAGGCTTGCTATCAGATTCGAAAACCAATTAGTTTTTTGGTCCAGTTTTTTATTTCAGTCGTGTGTGCTGCCTGTTTTGTCTCGTACGTTTTCTCTCATTCGCACAGTCTTCAATGTTCCATGAGCTTAAATAGCCATTACCGTGTCTGTAATGTATCATCAGCCACGATCTGTTCTGGATGAAAGTCTCGAAACGTCTTGTTGTGTCAATGTATCCTTGTGGCTCACTTGAGACTTTAAAGTAAAAAAAAATCGATATGACAACTTAAAGCTCATGTCAGACAGACCGGGGATACAAGCTAGCCGTGTATCGACGAAAGCTGTTGAATTTATTGTTTATTGTGGGGGCTGGTTCCATCTTTCATTCATAACCCTTTTGTTTGTCTGTCCTTGGTGTTGTCAGGGTCACGAGTACTATAGCCCACAGAAGAAGAACTACATCTTTCTTAGGAGTGCCACGGAGGAGCTGAAGCCCAGAACAAAAAAGGGGTTTGTGACTTGCACAAAATACTTACTTGCATTATTGTTGACAAGTTATATACCCAAGTAAGCCTCAACTGAACCTCAATTCGGTCTCAAGAGTACTGCATTTCAATTTTGGGAAACAATACCATTCGTGAGTGTTGGGCTTTGTGTGAGAGGAAATTGGAAATCTCAAACCAGAGAAATCGCGCGATGCTTATGAGGGGGGGGGGGCAGAGGTCGCAAACTGGTTTTGATTCCTTACCCGTACCCGGCCACACCAGGGTCGCAAATGGGTACCCGTACCCGGCCGGGTAAGGGTACCCGTACGCTACCCGTACCCTACCCGAAATGAGTGACAAACGATTACTCACCAGTGACTCACGGCCTACCCGTACCCGGCCGCACCAGGGTCGCAAACGGGTACCCGTACCTGGCCGGGTACGGGTAGCCGGGTATCGGGTAGGGTACGGGTACCGGGTACCCGGTTGCGACCTCTGGAGGGGGGTGACTCATCACTGCCATCCACTGGCCACCTCGCAGCCCCATGCCTTAAACATCTGGCAAGCCCTGTGTGGTCGGTTCTATAACTACGAAGTGATATTTTCCCTTAGTTTGCAATGTAAATCAGTGTGAACAAAGTTGCAAATTAACCTTAAGAAATGATGTGCAAGTGGCCAATGGTTGCCCCCATGTCTAAGGCTTAGATTGTGAGCTCCGATGCAATTGGCCACGAGTAAAAATGTTCGCGTCAACTGTTGTCTTCTGCTTGCAGGATTTGAAGGCCTTGGGAAGATTCTTCAATGCTTTCCTGTGGTGTTGGATTCAAAGACTGCTTTACGCAAACGCCACTGGCACACAACTCAATTTTAGCGTTCTTTGGTTGTATTTCAGTTCTAAATCCCTTTGCACATCAGTCATGTCCTTATTGTAAATCATCCTCAATTCATGCTACGAATAAACATTTGTTATAAAACTACTTTCACTTGGGATTTTTGTGCATGTGTGTGTTATGCTGGGAGCGGTAGTGCAGCAGTTAACGGGCTGCGCTACGAACCCAGCAACCTGGGTTCAATTCCTGCTCTCGATCAATCGGAACTGGTCCTGGGCCTCCCCAAGATCGAGTCAACCTCGAGTACAAGGGGGGTCTCCGATAAAAGTCGGGGTTCGGGGCTGGAAAGTTGAGAATTATTACGAAATCATGTAAAACTGGGAATTTTCTCCCAGAATAAATAGCAACCAAAATACGTACTGTACATGTACTATACTTCACAATGCATAATGTTCACAAGTTCAAACACCATTAAACACTTATTTGAAAACCATTTTACGAGCATTTCGAAGCAGCCCTGTATGGTTTTAAAAGTTTTTTTTTAATAGACATTTTAAACATTTTAGTGTAAAAAGCTCAATCTTAAACAGCATTTTAAAAGATTGAACCTAAAATTTGTAAGATCTCACTTTGGGTGAATTATTTGTGTTGAAGCGTTGTGACGATATTCTGCGATAAAGTCTGCACCGATTACAGCGAGCACGATGGGACTGAGAAGATGGTGGCGCGTGCACGAGTTGTACAAAACGTCCCGCCCCCCTCAGCCAAGTTCAAGTGAGCCGAATCGAAAATAAAAATCGTCACTCCTGTTAGCCGTGCCCGGGAATGGAAGTCGGCTCGCCAGGCTCGTAGCGCAGCGCGCTAACCACGCCACAGCCACGCACAATGTTGTCGACTTGGCTCGGCTGAACCGAATCGAAAACGCCGTAGATGCGGGGAAGTTTTACGTTGTGTTCCTCAAAGCCGGCGATGTGAGTGCGAAACGACGTATATCGGGGTGACGTATATCAGGGACCACGGGTGATAAAGGCGACCGTGCGTGGTGCTGGCCACTTACCCCTTGTGTGGCGTGCCGACCTTCATAAGTGCTCGCTAACAGTACTTGCTCCTACAGTCTGTTGAGGCTATATGGGGGATTTTTGTCTCGTTTGTATTTTATACACTTCAACCCATTAAGTTTCAAATATAACTGCACTAATTAGATTCGTTTTATATACTTGAACTGTGCCAAAGACTTGCACATGGAATTCAACAAAATGTTGAACTCATTAACTGTAAGCCATAAAACAACAGTTAAAATAGACTTGTTCCTTGCTAGCTTTTGCTGTTGGACTTTGCACGAATAAAAGTTTTAAGTACTGCGAATTCTGCCAGCCACATGTTTGTGCTTTGTACATTTTAATTACCAGCACAAAGCTTCACTAAAAAGTGTTAATTCACAAGTGGGTGGTTTTGATCGGTCGGCTAAGCACAAGCGGACGACAATGTAATGTGTGACTGGGTCAAATTTACAGATACGACCCGACTAATCAACTTGAGCCAGAGCTAAAAACGTGCAGAGCTGGGAAGGATTCCACAGCCAAAAATGTTGCCGTGTTCTGGCCTTTCGTAACAAATCGGTGTACGAGTATAAGTTTTGCACTTGAAGAACAGCAATGATAAATCCTTTAGCCCGTGAGAGCCCACTAAGGTGGCATATTAACATGACCTATAAAAACTCTGGTGTATTTCTACTAACAGTGACCCAAACTCAGAATCAACTGTCATTTTGCTTATTGTGATATGGGTTGTGAACTGCACACAAACTTTAGATTGGGTACATTTTAGATTAGTCTCCAACCAGTAAGTGTTCAATTTGCACGCCCTTCATTTTTGTCGGGGCTTAATTACGAAGCTGAGGAACATACCCACACTAAGCCAAGCTGCCACAAGGCAATACTTGTATCATTGTCAAAGAATATTAACTTGTGAGCATTGGGGTGACGCTTCTCACCATTCGCAGCCCTGAACCAACTAGAAATGTCATGTTCTTTTGGCGTAGGTGAGTTTCTCCACTGGCGTGCCGCTGTTAATTTCTCGCAATTATGTGTCTATCCAACGTTACGAAGTGTAGCCGATTACAATTTCTAAATTGTTAAAACGCTTAGGATGACAGAAATTAAGGTACCAGAGGTGGGGCTTGTATTTGGTTTGGGATAGGATCGGTGACTGGTTAGGGTAAGTGGTATCGTGGTTGGGCTAGAGTCTGGTTGGCTAATCGTTAAGGTTTGAGGTAGAGGTAGGGATAGGGTTTGATTGACCAGTATGTTTAAGGGATAGGCTCTTTTTGGCTTGTGTGGTTAGGGTTATATGTATGACGAGTTGGTAATTAGTTGTGGGGATAGGGATATGGGTAAGATTAATTCCTGGCTCAAGTGGGTAAGGTTAGTGTAGTAAGGCTTGGGTCCCGTTGGCTCGTGTGGTCAGGGTTATGTGCATGGATAACCTGCGGTTGGCTACCATGCTTAGGATAATTGCTTGAGCTCTTGTCCGATTAGCGTACTCCGCTCCTGAAGACCTTCCCCCTCCACTCACGTTACATTCACTATTGCGCTGCCGCTTCCCTTCCCAGCTGGTGACGGCACCGTCCTCGGCTCGGCCTCTCGTCCACGAGCGCCTGCAGGTGGCCACGCAGCGCCCGCGCCTCCTCCAGGATGTCCCGAGCCGCCGCACGCCGCTCCGAGCACAGCGCCTGTGCCTCCTCCCGCAGGCGGCACAGCGTGGACGGCACGGACTCGATTCCCGGCAGCGCGTCCCGCCACACGGGGGGTGCCCTGGTGGAGGAATCTGATGAGCTATAAAGCTCTTCTTCTTGGTTCTTTCGGTAAAGTCACGTAGAAGGGAAATAATAAAATAATAAAAATAAAACATAATAAAACAAACTGTCTCTCTGACAGACCGGTTCTTCACCTGAGGACGGCTGCTTGCGTTGTGGCCGAAACGTCGTGAGAATTGTATTTTATGTTTTATTTTTATTATTTCCTTCTACGTGACTTTACCGAAAGAACCAAGAAGATGAATCCCTGCAGTCACGAAAGCTTTAAATCGAAATATAAAGCTCTTTTTCACATGTCCAGTCGGGATGGGTCAGAGCATTACAACAGCAAACGGTACAGAAACACGATATGGGTGCAACGTATAAGACAGGCAAACAAATTACATACAAATATACAAATGAAAGTAAATTATGTTTTATCTTACCAGGTAGAGCCCACTGAGGGACTTACTTATTTCTCAGAAGCGAGCTGGCCACAAACGATAGCTCAACAAAGTGGCTTTATACGTGGACATTTATATCAGCGAAATCGAATCTCAATGCATGTTTCTAAATGTGGAGGGAAAAAGGACCCGGAGAAAAAATCCACACGACTATGGGGAGAGAGACACGCAAACTCCAAATAGACAGGCATCAGGGTCGGGATCGAATCCCCGACTTGTGCATAGCAGGCAAGGAAGGTAGCATCACACCTCCGTGGTGTGATGCTACCATGGTTATAGTTGAAGCATCGATGCGTTCATGGCAACATGGCATACAATACAATTTGGGAGTTTATCAAGTTTTATAAATGTGGTAGTATTATTGTTCATGTTTGGGGAAGCATGCCCATGAGAGTTTGTGGAGTTCATAGCGATTTCCAAAGAAGGTCTTTCCATCTGCAGTTATTACTCTCGAAAAGATTACCCAATATGGTTACAATCTTTGTTTCATGTGTTACTATTAGATTATAGTTTCGTGGTTAAGTATGGTTTTTAAATTGTTTCTTAAAACGATACACCTCACCATATGCTGATTTTAAGTACTCGGTGCTTTTACGTAAGATCCGAGCTTCAATTGACAATAATTTTCCAGTTTCTCTGTGCACTGTGCTGTAGATACCCTTGTGTGTCATGGGTGACGTCGGCAGAGGAAAGAGGTGTGCTGATCCCTTCATTCTCACTCTTGGTCGGACTTCTATTCATCAGGGACGATACCATCCCCTCCAGCGTAGCCTGGGTAGACATACAACGTAAATAACCCTTTAAAGAACAAGCATGCATGCATCCATCCATCAACTCTTCCTGGTAACTGCAATTAATCAAATTGGCAATACATTATGAAGATAAATTATGCTCTTATTATTTGAAGGGATGTCAGAAGCAGTTCTATGAGCCCTCCTTCCGCTGGGAGTTCTCTAACCATCGGGTTACGCATTGCTCTGCAACAGTTCCAAATGGATCCGTCGTGTGATGACGCAACGCTAATTCGCAGCACAAATTGATACAACTTATGGGAGGGAAAAAACCAACGTAAAACACAAATAAATAACCACACCATGACCGCACCTCGATTTTGAGCGAGACTTTGCCATACTCCAAATGCGCCGCGTCTTTGCCGCCACCGCTACCGCCGCCACCGCCGTCACTGCCGGGCCCCTCATCGCCCGCCCCGTAGGAGCACTCGAACCGATCGCAGCGCTGGATGTGGTCGCGTGTCGCTTCGCGCCTGCGTCTGAAGAGCGGGTTCTTCTCCAGGGAGAGCAGCAGGATGGTTCGCTGCATATACTCATTGCCCACAGGGTTCAGGGACACGCTGTGGGGAGACACAAGTACTGGACACCTTCTTGGGCATGTTCCCTCCCTTGCCTCCAATTCCTTCACCAGTCTTGTCAGTCGGCTATCATCCCTTCTAGGGATGCGTCAGACCTATTCCCAATTACTGTTGTTAACAGTCAATGTTATATGACCGCATAGTTTTTCGCGGTTGCCCTGTGCAGTTCTGATGTGATTTTTGATTGTACCACATTTTGTCGGATTAATGTCTGACGTTTCGTTCTACTGGCCCGGAGGTTCTTTGGAAAGTCAACACAGGGTACAACCCGAATATGCATGAGCAAGTCAATGTGATGTGTCTAACCTGCGTACTGTTTACTCATCCACGTTTTTTCTCTGTCTCTCCGTGTAATTCCTGGCGGGCACCTCACGTATGATACATCTGTCATCGCAGATGTCATCATTAAACGTGCCTAACAAAGACTGGGAATAATGGATAAGTATAACGCCACCATCAAGTGGTGTGGCGTGATTGACGCGAGCCTTAGTGCAAGGATGAAATGGGGCCCCTTATTCATATTTTCCAATCCTCTTCGTAGCCCATCGGTGCCCGGGCCCCACCAGACCAACTGCGCCACCTGCTCACTCGACGGCCGACGGCAATCGCCCCCGCCACAGTCGGTCGCTAGGCCCAACTCACCGCTTGTAGGCCTGGTTGAGCATGGCGATTAGAATGGCGTTGTGGACGAAGATGTTGGTGATGCTCAGGAAGGAGGCGACCAGGATGTAGAGCATCGTGAAGTCGCGCTTGTGCATGGCCTCGTACTCGTCCATGTCCACGACGCTGATGCGGAACATGGTGAAGAGGGTCGCCGGAACAGTCTTGAACTGACGCTATGTCTTTATCTGGTGAAATTAATAAAATAAAGCGGTTGTTATGCCGAATAATCGCAATGCGTTCTATTGTGAAAGAATGCTATCTTTGTTTTTTATTGTGTGCATGTGTGTGTGTATATACATTGTAAAGAAAAATAAGCGGTCCTTTATTGGCAGAGAAGAGCAATATTTTGAGCCTGGACTGAAGATGGACACAGAGTTCCATACTAAGGGGACAGCAGAGGAGAAGGGGTGACCCCTCCTCTGAGCGGAGGCTAAATGTGGACTGATAGAAAGCCTTGGCTGCGGGTGAGTAGCCGGAGATGAGAGGGGAGAACTAGGCAGGGGCGACTCCATGGTGCATCTTGAAGTTAGGCGAGGGTAATCTTGCTGTTGATGGGAGGGAATATGTGAGATAGGGCGACATGCTTTTATGTATGTTGAGCTTCTTTCGCACTGTAATTAGCCAACCACGCGAATCGGAGGTGCGGAGGAAGGACAACTAAACACAAAAAGCTATTCTAAAAGAATGAGTTCGTCAATGTAGATGATTTAAAAGTGCATAGCTCCAGTGGCTTCCTTATATCAGAAGGAAGTGTTCCACACGCCGCAGAACCGTATCCGAAGTGAGAAGTTTAACCAGAACATCTGGATCATCTGAAATCTGGAGTGGGGGTTGGGCATAAAGTTTTAGAATTTAGAAATTAAAGTTATTTCGCCAATCGAGTCACTGTGAAGTAGGAAATGTAACCAGCGTATTTTTTGTGTAACAGGGGTGTAACTGTTTGCACATGTGTTTGTAATCTTTTTTTGTTGCACAAGGCTGTGTACATGATGGACACGTGAAGTGTCACGTTTTGTAGTAGAAGCCAACGACGACTTACTGCCAAATATCAGCCAAAACGAGAAGAAAAACGCGAGGAAAAACTGCCCAAACAGGAAGAACGCCTTGAGGATGTAAACAGCCATCTTTCCCAGGATGATAATCAACGGGCCCACGATCCTGCACAGAACCACACATGTGACCGGAACAAATGTGTGAACAAAAGCTCGTCAAACAGTTTCGATGACAGAATCATAAGGCAGCAGCAGCAGCGGCCACAATACAAACAGCTGCCAGTTAAAATGATGTTGCTGTGCCGAGTGATGGGTAACACTCGCCATGTCTTTGCACTTGCAGGCTTTCTACTTAAGACAGCACTGCATTATCTTTAGAGGTGACGAATAGAGTTGCCACCTCGCGAGGTTAAAAAAAAAAGAGAAAATTGCACAGTTCCGGAAGAGGGGAGGACTACATGTGGACGCATTGGTTTGAGTGTGTTGCGTTGTTGCTGTTGAGACCGGGAGATGAATGATCGATGTTCGATCGTCCCGTTGATGGCGTTTTGAGTGGCGTGTTATTATTGCTGTTACGCAACTGACAAGAGCCGGGCATCTTAATGTCCCAGGGAGACAGTACATATTTGCCAGGACAGCTAAATAAAAAATATGACGGGTGGCAACCCTAGTGGGACATTTATGACCCAGGCCACATGAGGACTACCTATTTGCTGAATATGACCCACAAACTACATTTATCCATCACTGCAATAATCTTAGCTGCACTAATCGGCCACCAGAGGGAAATATTTTCAAACTGGAAACTCCCTTTCTAAATAATGAATGTTCAGTGACTTGTTGCTGCAAGGGCCAATTAATATTTGGTCAACACGCACACGCGTGGCCGGCCATGAATATTTAAACGTCCGATTCGGCTCTCGGTAAGGGAAAAAAATTAACCCGTAAAAACTAAGTTTTTCACTATAAATCCTTTATATGCGTGGCGGCTAGAGTCCTCTCGTCCTCTGGCTTGAGATGGCTGCCACCTATGGGTCAGATGATTGCCTGCCACCATTAAGCAATTGGTAATTACATCTAAAAAACATTTTCCTAAAAAGTGTAAAATTTTGGAAAAAAATTTTCACGAAAATAAATTGTCACGCACAACGAGTCTGTGTGCAAAATGTCAGCTCGATTGGATCACGGGAAGTGGGTTAAAAAACGACCGAAAGATTTGCACGGTCGTAAGCGCGCAAGCAAGCAAGCAAACTTAATATAAAGGATTTAAAAAGGTTCCCCGCTCGCGATTTACTTGAAAGGACGTAGGTGCTTCATGTTGTGGAGCCACAGTGGAATTATGGTGATGGCAACCAAGTGGTCATATCTCCGGGCGTCGTTCCAGCTCGGTTTCAGTATGAAGGCCACGTGGAGTCCCACCAGGGACAGCAGCAGCACTAACACCAGCCAGTGGAGGAAGCTCCTGCGGAAAGCGAGGGGGCGACACTCATCCGGTCGCAGCGCTGCCTCCCCTTGAGTTGAGAAAATGGTTCGGTGATATTGCGTTGGCAGTGGTACAACAAGCAGCAAAGAAACTAATCGCGTTCGTCAATAACACTGTGGCCTTTATAATAAAAAGATAATAGGTGACATTTGCAGCAATGGACCTTCTTCACAGCACATAGAGAAGCCAGAGGTAGACTGATCACTCTACTTTTAGCCTTCCTCGTTCTGTGAGATGGCACGCTAGACGTTCGTGACACCTTTGGTATCATGCCGATGCGATAGACAAATGAAGAGTAGTTTGATCTCCTTTTGTATGGCTTTTTGTAGAGCAACCAATAAATATTCAGTGATTTATCCATTCAATTGCTTGAGTTTTCATGACGAAGATTAAAACAAACATTTCAAAACAAATAACGGTAGTATGATAAACATATTTAATTGATTTTAAAAAATATTGTAATTCAGATATCTGTCCAGAGTTGCGATCAAAACGTCGTGATTCGTTCTATTTTATTTCTACCTACGTGACTTTACCGAAAGAACCAAAGAGTATGGATTCCTGCAGTCACGAAAGCTTCAAATCAAGATGAAAATTAACATTTATTTTTTAATATATACAGATTTTGGTTGAAAAATCTTTCGTGATGTCCATGAAGAAGGTCGTTCCAATCATTTTCCTTACGATACATACAACAGTATTTCCTGCATCACATTTTACACGTGTTTATATTTGCTATATATTTTGAGTAAGTTTTACGAAGCCAAAATATTTAATGAGAATCTTGCGTGTTTTGCTCATTCATGGATTGCTTTTGGTTCACCAGTTATGAGCAGAATGAGAAACACTAATCATCTGCGTGATTGTAGTGCACTATACGTACCAAAAACCCACAAAATATTTAGCCTTGACTTTGTTTATTTTCTTCAACTCTTGTTCCAAGTAAATTTTCTCCTGCAATATAATGGAAAAACAACATCTATTGCTAATGCTTATAACCAAAACGAACAACATAATCTGACCGTCAGGTGCTTTTTTTGGGGGGGGTGTCAAATTTATTTTAATAAGCTGAACATAATAATTTAATTACCTTTGACAGTGAAATCCGATGACCATTATGCCCATATTAACTTCTAAATGCACACACTGCAAGTGGACCTCACATAGCCAGTGTTTAAACATTAAACGTTTCACATTTCTCGGGGTTATCCGGTTTCCTCGCAAAGGCAACCACACCCAGAGAACTGAGCAACCAGTCCATCTGGCCGAGCTACTGAGAATAAGGTCTTGGAGGCTAAACGAGGATATTATGGAAAAAAAGTAAGTATTTGTATTGTTTAATCATGCAACCACGTGTGTGGATGTGTTTATGTATGTCTGTGCACGTGGGGAGTGGTGGTGTTGCGGTTAGCGCATTGCGCTACGAACCTAGCGACCCGAGTTTGTTTCCCGCTCACAGTCGACTCAGCCTCAAATGAGTACCTGGTACGGTGTGTAAATATTGCAACTAGGGAGGCAAAAGCGGCCGAGCATGGTGCTGGCCACCCACCCCCTTATGTGCCGTGTCAGCCTTCACATTTGCTCACTAACAGCACTTGCCCCAACAGCTGTGTAGGCTATGTGGGATATTGTTTTTTTGTGTGCCGACCTGTGTAAGTGACCATGTGCGCGTGTATACATGATACCTGCCAGCGAGTGTTTTGACACTTCACATGGCCTGAAAATTAACCTAACCTAGAACAAAAAACTCAACACATTCTGAAAAGAAAAACCATAAAAAATGTTAAATCGTGGATGTTTTGGGAATTAACCCCTCCTCATTGCTGTGAAGAAGGCCCACAGCCTGAAACATCCGCTAAAAAATGTGAGCTTTTTGTTATTTGTACTTGTGCACCGCTGTCAAAGCAGCACCACCAAATAATTAGTTTAACCTGGAGCCCAGCACTCTGGCGACATCTCCACCACTCATTGGTGAACGGTGGCTATTGCTGTTGCTGCTGCTCACTCTTGTTTGTACGTACCTGTGGCCAGCATGGGTGGCAGAACCGGAGGTTCTGGCTCAGCTCACTGCGCCACCACTCGCGCCAGCATCGAAGGGCGCGGGACGCAGAGCGGAACTCCCCGAGTTCGGCCACCACGTTTATCGCCAGTTGGCCCAGGCACACAGTAGCCAGCACCGCACGCCACACACTCTACACACACATACGCGTGCAATGACAAAGATCACCCATATGGCCTTAACGGGCTGTTTGGGCAAGTGGCGAAGGCGAGGAAACAAGGGGGTGGGGTGGCCAACACCATGCCCGGCCGTCCTTTGTCTCCCCAGTGGCGATGTTTACACACTGCACCAGGTACTCATTTGAGGCTGAGTCGACCTAGTTGAGGTTCAGGATTGGTTCACATAATCGTCACTGGTGTTGACCTTGAGCGGGAATTAACTTGGGTCACTCGGTTCGTAGCGTAGTGATCATAAAAGTATGGTACAATGAGATTTTGCTGAACTGCCCTTCTGCTGCCACAGAGCCTACAACAACCTATTGTGCATGATGGTCACCCATCAAAACTATCCAGGCTCAAGCTTATTTAGTTTCCGAGATCAGATCAGATTCGGCGATTCGGACAATCAGTCTAAACTTTACCTCATAAGCCAGTCATCTCAAGCCATGACACCTGGGTATGTTCCGTCACCTGCCAGCAGGCCTACGACACTTGAACCTTATGGTGGAACCCTGGGGTGCCATTAGCCCCCGGGCTCTCGCATAAACTGCGTTGCGACGTCATTTTATGTCTGTTGAAGGCGAACAATACGGCAATCTATTCCTCTCGACGAGCTCTACACAATGAGCTAATCAAAGTTTTGTTTCTTCTGCGCATTCGTCCTCGCTGCGCTTGGACGACACGACAACAGAATGATCCGCGCCAGGTGGGTCGTGGCGTTTATGTGCACCGTGGGACGGAGTCGCCAAAAAAATTTTAATTACGATTTTAACTCCCGCCATAAGGTTCACTTCACGTGGCTTCAAAGTGCACTTAGCATGGCACAAGCGCCGTGCTGACGCCACCACCATATTTTGGCCAATTTTGTTGTCCTTGCCCCGCACCTCCAGATGAGCACGGTTGGCTAAGTACGGTGCAAAAGAAGTTCAACATACATACATACGAACGGCAGTTGTCAATTTGACCAATTCAATGCATCATTGCCTGTGGGAAGGTGTACACATGGCGGTTCTCCCAGTCAACGCCCATCATGAGGACCGACCACGTGATGATGAAGAATAACTCCAGGAACAGTCGAACACAAGCGCCGGCCCTGTGAGTACACAGAGTGGAGTGCGGAAGCCACAATCATTACGATCTTATTGTTAAGCTCGTCAGCAACGCTGGCGTGGTGTAAAGGTCAGCACATTGGATTTGCAATAGAGGTCGCTGGTTCGATCGCCCAGAGAAAAACAATGGGCACGTTTTTTTTATCCCGCACCCCCCGTCAATCTGACATTATGAATGGGTACACGGCAGTTCATCGACTGGAACTTTGCGTGTGGTGGGGTCAAGTGTGAGTACTCCTACCTCATATGGCCAGCATCCAAATACCCTCTAGAGGACCTCTCTAGCTTTCCCTCTCGTGTGGCTTTTCCATCAACAGTGGTGTAAGCAGGTTTGCACCATTATCTTTTATTAAACTTGTTCAATAATTTTCTGTAGCTTATTTCCATTGGATGTCACTTTCAGTGCTCTACTCTTTTCAAAGTTATTCATTTCATTAAAGATGTTATATCCATTTGTATCACTTTTCTTTAGGGATTTCAATCTTGTGCTGAGAATCGGTCTATCTTCTACCTCCCGAGCTAGATTTCTACGCATAGGGCTTGATGGAGTGATGCATCGTTACACCCCGACCATTCAAATCAGTCACCTCCCATCTGTTTAACCTATTTTGTAAGAACCCAGTGTGAGGCTTGTCATGCAGATTACACCGCAGGCACTATATTAAGGAAACCACAACACAATTTAATCCTAAAATGTACTTGGCTGTCAAATTAGAATCTCCCAGTAAGCTCGCGAAATACCGAAATGGACGTGAGTCACAAAAGTGGCCTGAAACCCGATCACCCACAACTGCCGTTTTGAGCCACTGGTCTTAGAAAATAGAGGTGGGATCATGTTCCATTGGTGTGAGAGGGTTTGTATGTTTGTGTATGTGCTGTGTGGATACTCACAGACCATATGCCTTCCATTTAATGTCGACGAGTTTTCTGACAGCGGGATGACTCGCAACATCAAATAATTTATGTATCACAATGAGTTCCAGCTGTTAAACAGCACATTAGGAAAGGCAAACACATTTAAGTGTAATCGCACAGGTGCAATGGAATAAATAAGAACATGGTTGAATGGTCTTTTCTCGATTCCATCTCAAAAAATAATATAATCTCGTTATGCGTGAGTGAGCAATGTACTGTTTTGTGATATGCCAATCTTGTTACGTGCTCACCAGAGAATTTAAACTGCCAGGATTCCCTGAAATTGGAACAAAAATTATATCAATTTACATTTATGGTAAATTATATCTGCAGTCAGGTGTGACATCTTGTGGTGCGGGATATCTGGGTCAACACATGTTTTTTCTTTGCCTCCACAAATTGGTCAGAATGGGTTATATTAACGTTTTAAATGCAAAACATTTGAGCTGTGACATTGACATGCAATATCCTGCTCGTGTAATATGCAACTGGATGAGTTCACGTATATTTCACAAGCAGAAAACAATGATTGTGAAAGCAAGAACGAAATTATGACTGCACGAGTATTTTTTTTACAAGCAGCGTCTGCTAACGGACTTACCGTTACATTCAGGGTGGCTCTCCAACGCCTTCAAATAAAAGTATTGCTTGTGAATGGAATGGTCCACAACGTGTAATTTATCCAATGCCACCAGAGCCTAGTGGAGAAGCATACGCAACCTTTACCACCAAAGGAAAAAGTTGAAGTGATTTCTTGCTTCAACGAGCATTCAGGCAGCTCATCTCTTATTTACAGCCCTGAGCCAGTGGCAAAATTTCCGCATATTCGATGGCATGGGCAGGTCTAAACGTAGGACAATCACTGTTGACATCTCCAGATAGTGGTAGCTATTACTGGTAGGAACCTCCTGGTTACACCAGCCCACAGGGGATTATCGTGACCGTCCATCCGTCGTGCATCCACAAATGGGAGGGTGGGGCTGGGTGGAGAGGGGAGGGTGGGGAGGGGCTGGGTAGGGAGGGGAGGGTGGGGTGGGGAGGGGCTGGGTGGGGAGGGTGGGGGGTGGGGCTGGGTGGGGAGGGGCTGGTCACCCCGTGGTGCCCTTATAAAACTCAACGTTTTACCTATTCACGCCGGCTTCTGCCCGCCCTCACAGTCGGCCATATTTGTGGAATACACCACGCCACCGTTGACCGAGCAACCCAACGTTCCTACCAGCTCCCTCCGCAGAAATGTGTTTTATCCATCCCCGAGTTTGATGGGCTGAGTCAACCCAGAACCAGGATTTGAAATGGCAACGTGCTGATCACTCTATTGCTGCACCACCAGGCCAGATAGAAAATTACCAACAATAATGCACAAAAGATGTGGTTTCTATACAGCAAGAGGTCAGATTGTGATCATAAGCTCAGTCTTCCCAGCATACCTTGCATATCACATCAACCTTCTGCATGTATGTTAGAATCGGTTTGTTAGAACCTTTACCCCATCACCATACAATGATAATGTAAGGCCCAGTTTCACATCAAGACAGTGGCGGCTCGTCAATAGAGGGCGCAGGGGCGCCGCCCCCATCAATATTCAAGAAATATACATATACAAAATGTATATAAAAATACATAAATAAAATATTTTTTTCATACGATGTGCCGGCTGGTAGTAAGAAAAGCATCAGCATTTAATAAAAACTGGCTTTAATCGGTCAACTATTTTCTATGTTTTTCAATGTGTTTCATGCGGGGCGCCGGACAAATGGATGTCTATGTGAGACTTTAAATTTTCGGACAGCATGTGACCTGAAGCTGGTCTCTAATTGGTTTCTTAAAGATTCTCTTCGGGGCGCAAGTCGTTGCGTCCCTGGCCAATCAGAATTGGATACATGTTATTTTATCCAATCTGATTGGTTCTCGTCACCTGTCATTCAAATTTACGCTCTGGGCCACTACTGCGAGTGCGCAGGCGACACCACTTTGACACTTGCTAGGCTGATCAAATTTTTTGTGTAAACAATGGCAGCAGTTCATCCAAATTCTGTAATTTATTTACAAAAAAACCCTTTCACAAGGCTTTCGCTGGAAGAAATAAAAAAGATAAAGGATCTCGGACCGGACCAACACGATTTACAATCCAGCAGCAGGCCAGTGACAGAGGACGAAGCTACACACGAAGCTTCACCCGCGCTTGTTATGAGAAACGGAGGTGGCTGGCTGGATGTGATGTTAGCAATTCTCTTTTTTGTTTTCCCTGTCTTTTATTTCAAAGTGTCGGCACTGAAGTTTTGTGGACAACGACGGGGGTAAGAGACCTCAAACATCTCTCTGACAAATGCAAACGTCATGAAAGTAGCCGCAGCCATATTGATAATAGCATGAAACTAACGTTTTTATGTTCAAGTAGGAAACATGCTTTTTGGTACTTTGGTCTGAAATGTATATAAAAGAGAAACATTTATGTTCAAGTAGGAAACATGCTTTTTGGTACTTCTTTTGGTCTGAAATGTAAATAAAGATCATCAAAATTTATATTAAAGTAGTCAAAATGGTTTTTGGTACTGCTTTATATTTATTTGCCCCCCTCAATAAAATAAAAAAAATGCGCCCCCCCAAAAATAAATATCACCAGCCGCCACTGCATCAAGACAATGTCTGAAATGGATAACCTAAGTAGAAATATCACCCTATGGAAACACTGGCACATAAAAAAACCTATTTGCCAGAAACACTAAAATCTGCCCAAAGATTACTGGCATACTCTTTGGAAAGGATAAACAAGGGGGTTTGCACTTATTTGTAGTAAAGTAGCTTTTGACATTATGCTGACTACTTACAATAGGCATACATTTGCTGTAAAAAATTCGTAATTTTTCCATTAAAATTGTGCAGTGGAATTCAGTTTCTGTTTACAAACATGATCCAGTTGTGTGAATTTTTAATTCCTACGGCACACTTTATCCACAGGACAACCGCTGCTGATTTCCTAAACAAATTCTACAACACTCATCTTACGTATTCTGTAAGATTGTTAAACTCATCCTTCTTATTGTGATGAGCTAACTACTGTGCCACCCAGCCAGATATAAAAAATAAACATTATTTGGCATTGTGTTCTCCACATTAATTGTACCCTGAAAATATGTTGTATTTATTTGGACTATATATTTTGATTAGTTGGGGTGAAGTGGTGGCATAGTGGTTCGTGTACTTGTGCTATGAACACAGCGACCCAAGTTTGATTTATGGCGAACATCAGTGATGGATGATACATTTACTGGTCCTGGCATCCTCTCCTTTACAAACCTATACTGACCGGCGTGGTGAAGCATGGTCCAACTACCCCCATGACTGACAGTGTGGGGAGGCTTTCATCCATAAAAGGATTGATATAATGGAGTATACAGTATTTATTTTTTATTATTTAATACCTTGCAAAAGAGACATCTAAATGAGCTTTCATAAACAAAGGAGAGATATTTAATATTTATCTAGCAATGTCTGTAAAGTCCTTTGTGACAGCCCAGTCAAGAACATTTCTGTAAAACGTCTATTTTTCTGACCTCGGGGAGACGTGGAGTGAAATGTGAATAGTAAGGTAGCACACCCGTATTTTCAATTTAAAGCCAATGCCATACTTCTTATCCTCATCCGTCAATGAGACCGCATCTTCCCAGTCCTCAGATCCATCCACTGGCTCACAATCAATCTAAACATCACCTTCACCGTCTTCAAGATCCTCCAGACTCACCCCTGCCTCCCTCTCCTCTCTCATCTCCCATTCATGTGCTCTCTGCTCGAACCTACCATGGCCTTCTGGCAAATACCAAGTCAACCTTCACTCAATGGAAGCTCACGTCTTCTCTGTTGGAGGTCCTTTGCTCTAACCCTTGCTCTGTTCAAGTTCAGCTTCAAGACGTTTCTCTTGTCATCTGATTCTCTCCCTTTGAAGTCGATTCATTCACACATCGACAATCATGCCATCTCATCTCTCTTTTTTAATGGGATGGAGCATTAAGGCCCTACCCTAAAGAATATTACAAAAAATCCTCCTCTGTAAACTCACACTCTCTGGATACACGTTTCCTCTATTTGCATAGCATCTTGAGATGGCAACTCACCCTGAACACATTCGATCTTATCAGATCTCGGTAGTTAAGCAGAATTAAGCCTGGTTAGTATTTGGATGGAAGAATGCCTCTGAATGCAAAGCTATTGTAGGTTTGGCCTGGCATGTAACAATGAGTTGCCAGTGCATAAATTGATTATTAAATCTATCTATGAAAATCTAGAGTTTCAGCCCACGCATGGAGGGTTTTCTCTATACTGTATTGTATTTGCACATGTGCAGTTGCGAGCTTTAACCAGCATGGGGCGAACAATGATCGCGTGACAGCCTTTACCAGTCAACTCCTGTTCCGCAAACGTGGCCCAAGAACATGCACTAACTTACACTGCAGGGCTATGCATTTCATATATCTTTTAGCTTGTGCATTTTTTCCTAATTATATTGTAATTGTCAACCCCAACTCGGACTGAAATGTATTACTGCTTCAGCACTACCAGTATGTTGGAGAGAAATCCCACATGTAAAAATTAAGTTCAACATACCAGTGTGCTGAATACAAAACTGGCACATTTGTTCATGACGACTTTATTTGTTTGGCTGTGTCGGTCGGAGCAAGGGTGTACGACACACATTGGCAGTTTTCTCGTGTTATCCGAGCTAAAAATATTTTATCGACCACTAGTTTGTTAGCCCGTCGTAGGGCGGAAACTGTAATATTAAAGATGTAAATTAACGTTTTATTGTGCGATTGTTAATTTGATTAGGAAATGTAGCACACCATTTTTTTCTTAATTTATTAAATTTAATTAAGGACCTTGGAAGATTTCTCGGTTTACGATATTGTCTGAATCTCTTTTCACTGCAGTTGGCTATTCTTGATGAACACTTTGATCCGCTGAAGATATTTAGATCTAGACAGAGCCACCTACAACTGGCCATAAGAAAATATGGGTTCATTGAGATAAATACCCAAATAAAATAAAAATCCAGGCACACATTAATAATGAGGGGGGGGGGGCGCATGTGGAGTGACGTCACGCGCGGGACACACACACACAGCCTTCTTTGGCTCGTTATATTCGTTGCTGCGTTGATTTCTTTATTAGCTTTACTTTCCATAAAGGTCAAAATGAAAGCTAATTTGCGTAAAGAAATTTTCCTTTCTGATCCACCTTCTTCACGCGGAGTGACGTCACCCGTTCATGGTCATTAATGACGGGTGGGGGGTCCATGTGGAGGATCCCACCTGTTCATGATTATTGAGGGGGGCTGGTGCACGTGGTCTGACGTCACGCACGTTACACACAGACATTCTTGGCTCATCATATTAGTAACTAGCCTATAACCCATCCAAGGACGGGTGTATTGCAGTAAATCTGAAACATTCAAGCGAAAATCAGACCGCGACGTCATATTCATTGCATCCGTTGGTGTGCAATTTGTAAGGCCGTGGTGACACAAACTTATTTCATTTAAAGGTTATAATCCCTTGTTCATCATGACGTCCTTTTTACTTCTATGTCTCAACAGCGTGACGGGGATCGCGTGACGCGAGGGTTCTGCCTTTGTAGCGAGGGTTATAAGTTGTCGCTGAGGAGGGAGGAGGCGCCTCCCCCCCCCAATGTGGAGTGACGTCATCTGCTCATGATTATTAATGAGGGTGGTGGTTGCCCCATGTGGAGTGACGTCACCCGTTAATGGTTATTGGGGAGCGGTGCGGTATGTGGAGTGACGTCACGCGCGTTACACACAGACATTTTTGGCTCATTATATTAGTAATAACGGATATAAAATATATTATCAATCATCAGTCGTGAAAGCCTTCGTGTCAAAATTGGAATAACTGAAATTGTAAATGCCGAGTTAGTATAAAAATAACAGGTTATTTAAAAATATATAACACGGGTGTGTGATTAGTCATTCAGGTTAAAGGAATACCGTATTGTATTGGCAGACTGACCTGGCTTTGACACCCACATCAAATTACACGTGGGTGTCATAATACGCATGGCAGTAAATGCGTCATTTTAGACGATAGATGCAGAACTTGGAGTGACCTCTCATCACACAGCGACATAGCGATTAATGGGATCATGGGAGGTTTAGAGCGAGAGGGTAGAACTCGTTATATCCAGAAAAACAATGCTTGTCACAACACATAACCAAGAACACATTTCTGCCTTTGACGGGTATAAAGTGAACCTTGGCCTGACATTCAATAGTTATTTAATCATTATTGTCTCTATTTTTCTCTGTCTTTGTTTTGCCTCTCCTCTTCCCCATCTGTTATTCTAACTGATTTGCAGTTTTCTTAACGCATTGATTTTGGTGTGGATTCAATTTAAAAGTCCACTTGAGATGACCAGATCAATTCTTCATTTGAGAAAATCGCACAGCAAGTGCTGAGAGTATTGTCTAAGACAATGGTTCTCCACCAGGGATCTGTGGACCCCTAGGAGAAAGGGAGGTGGATTTAGGGGATATTTCAAAAGGCTGAGGGGTCAGTCCATAGGAATCAATATTAGAGTGTGAATGGATAAGGGTTTTGAATTAGAGGTCGGCAAAAAAGAAAAGTCAATGGATCTTTTGGCAAACAGCAGGACAGCCGTGTGGTATATAATTTACGAAAAGATGACTAAACACACAGCACTGCAACAGGGGTGGTTACATAACCTCAGCAGTGACAAATACACAACACCGCTTGGTCTATACGAGTGAACAAATTCGTCCCGCCGATGAAGCGGGTAAATGGCAGAGACGAAAGAAAAGGGCAGGATAAAACATCAACAGGACCTGCCCCTTCCACCCGGAGCCACCTGCTGTGTCTGCAGTCGAGTATGCGGATCTCAAATCGGTCTGTCCCGCCATCTACGGACGCACCGATGATTCCACCATCTGCCGACAACTGTCATCCCTGTACCCGAGAGACCGCCACAGCCGATGACGGTGAACAAATTCAAGGGAGCTGTGTCCTCGCAAATGATGGTGACCCCTGGTCTCAGTCTACCAGGCAATTCATCTCTGCTGACTTCACACCTTCCACCCATTCCTCCTTATGACTTGTACAGCCCAAATCCATGTCTCGAAATGCATCCTATTTCATCAGATATCAGAAGCTAAGCAGAGTGCAGACTGGTGGTCAGTACTTGAATGGAAGACTTCCCTGGAGATATTAGGTATTATAAGATTGTATTGCGAGGTGGTGAGAAGCTATCCATGCAGAGCTTTCACGAACTCAGGTTACCTCACACACGAAGCCAAACACTCGTTAATGAAAATGGTAAAATATCCCAATGCAACAAGATCCTTGTGAAAGTGTCTTGAGACTCAGGCTTTCCTGCGTAAATAAAGGACATTATTATATTATTTACCACTGACGGGAGTTTCTCTAGCAGCAAGGACAAACACATCTGTCCCGTGTTGTCCTGAGCCATTGTGTCTGCACCCAGTTGCAATAGCAGGCGTGCCGTATCTCTGCGAGCTGTGGATGACACGCAGACGCGCAGCCATGCACATGAGCAGACAAATACCACTGTAACACTTTAACAGACTGTAGGGGAAAGTGCTGTTAGCGAGCACCTATGAAGGCCGGCACGTCACATGAGTGGGTAGGTGTCCAGCACCATGCCCGGCCGCCTTTGTCTCCCTCGTGGCAATGTTTACACACCACACAAGATATGGTACTCATTTGAGGATGAGTCGAACTAGGGGAGGCCTATGAGTGAGAATTGAACTCGGGTCTCCGGGTTTGTAGAGCAGCGCTAACCACTCCCCATGCAGGCAGACGCACAGGCAGACATGCACGCAAACACACAGAAACGCATGCAGACAGCCAGACACACGCAGCATTTGGCAGGGGTGGAGGAAGAACATGAGGCATATAATAATGCATCAATTCACCAATTTAAAGTCTTACTAAAAATATATATATAATTTTTTTGACCAAATGAAACTGTCACAGAAGTGTCACATTCCGAGATTCGTTTAGAAACCCTAACCCCAACCCGTGTTACAGAGATTCGGGTGTCATTTGAAGAGCGACCCACGGAAGGAGACGTTACAGGAACCGCTTCTGAGATCCCTTCAAGTGACCCTTTTCTTCATCATCACACGAGGGGAGGGGGGGGGCAGCCTTCAAGGAGAAATGTTGGTCACATGGCCGTCAAGACTGGCGAGAACGCCTGGGAGCCGCTGGCTGACCTTGCGCGGCAGCCAAGAAGAGCGGGGTGCGCCTCTTGAAGTCACGGGCGGACAGGTCTGCTCCTCGGTGCTGCAGAGTGGCCAGCGTGATGATGCAGCCGTACCGCGCCGCGTAGTGCACTGCCGTCTGCTGCTCTCCCTCCGTCTGCACCTCTGTGTCCACTAACGCCCGTGAGTGAAGAGTGCAACGCACACGGTGGGCCACGGGTATTGTACGCGAGGTGGCATCTGCATTGCGTGCTTTCGGGTGTGCTTCTGCGGCCGTCTGGAACGCTGTTCCTCCCGATATTAGGAAGCCACTGGAGCTATGCACTTTAAAATATAGATTGAAAACTAATTTCTTAAGAACTGTTTTTTGTGTTGTGTTGTCCTTCCCCCGCACCTCTAATTAGCGCACTTGGCTACGTACAGTGTGAAAAAAGTTCAAGATAGACACATCACCATCATCATCGTCATCATTATTAGCAACATCAGCAGTTGAATGAAGACCCCCCGAAGTCGTCACCAACCCTTACAGTCCTGCGATGATTTAATCACCCAGTCTCTGTGGTGGATATCCTCTCAGATGTATTCCCTTCTTTGGCTGTCACTCGGTCATGATTCCCGACTACCAAACATTAACCTTTCTCAGGACACGTCCATCTCGAGCCTGCTTTTATCAACAGTCAATATGATGTTTCTAACTATAATATGTTCTCCAATCCACGTGCTTCTCTTCCTGTCTCTCAGTGCAATTCCAAGCATGCACCTCCCCATGCTTATAAACACACATTTCAGCTGCATCGCCATTTACTTTGTCAACAACTATGTATGAGCCAAATGTCAATATCAGGTGATATACTCTGTGATTAAAAACTTTATATTCTGTAAGCGCTCGTTGTAAAGCCATTGCGGTGACAATTGCTTCACGATAAATTGCTCTAAACTTGCCCGAGTGCAGGGAATGGGAACCTTTTTTCCTTCATAAGGTGCTGAATGGGGCTTTGATGGTGTTACCAGATTGATATTGTTGCCAGGTTGTAAATATTCCCCTCAAGCAACTGATCAGTGTAGCTAAGATCCTTGCAGTGATGGATATCATGTGGGCCATTTAGAATGGGTAAGTCTCATGCGGCCACAGGCCATGTAAAATTAATCCACTGACCGTACGAAATGGAAGTTGTGGGGCCGTGTGAAATGAAGTCGGGGACCGTAGGTTATTCCACTTTTGCCATCGTGCAGCGTGGCCATTGGACTCACCTCCACTGTCAATGAGAAGCTCCACCAAGCATGGGCAGTCCACAATGGCAGCAATGTGTAGAGCCGTCCGACCAAATTTGTCTCCGAGGTTAACGTCGGCACCCTTTTCAATCAGAAACTTTGCCACGTCCAGCTGCTGCCTGCGTGCAACCTTCGAGTTACAGGAACACGCTCGTATTAAGCAACATTATCATGTAATTTTATCCGGCAGATGTTTAAAACAGTGGCTGTAAACCTATGGGTTTGAGCAGTGGGGGGGTGGGATGTGCAAGCAGGGGCATGGAGGCCGTGCAGGAGAAATCTTGAATGTATGCGGGGAACGTTAGTGACACATTGCGGCGAGAAAACACACATATACACAGCATGATACAAATGCCTTGCAACTAAAAGCATACGCACACACATGATACAAATGCCTAACGGTCCGTTGACTAGAGGCATGGATATGTGATCTCCCCGTGTAAAGTGACCCTAATCACCTTAGTTGTGTTTTTGGGGCTGGAGGGAGTGGAGGAGATGCTTGGACCAGTGGTCTTGAGTTGGGTGGTTGCCATGCCAACACGGATGAGAACCGCTGGTTTAAAATGTAAACGAGACACAAACATCCGTTGTGCTGCGATTGGTTACCTTGTGCAATGGGGTTTGGCCATACTCGTCCACACAGTTAATGTTGGCTCCTTGTTCCAGCAGAGCGTTCAGCAAGTCAAAGTTTCCCTGTGTAGAAATTATTGAACACATTGTGTCAGTACCAGCAGCGTTGTAGCTCCACACAATAAAAAATATTTGTCACTATTACCATATTGAAAGTAGTTTTTCAATATTTCTGACACCTAGTTGAGGTAAAAGATATGTTTCAGCTTTGGCCAGGTCATCATAAGCAGTAGGTACGAAACGGTGCAATCGATTAAGGAATTAACCTACATTTATTAAACTCACGGCAACTGCATCAAATCAATGCATGGATTTTTTTTTACAATTTCTGAGAATTGCATGCAAATGGTACGCGATGTTAATATTCAGGCCAATGCAGCAAACAAAACTGCACGAGAGACCGAACAACAATAAAAGAATATAAATGAGATAGTAAAAACAAGACAATAAAGATTTTATTATTGAATCAAATTGCAATTCTGAATCGTGACAATTCACGGAGTCGCTGGGTGGGAGTAAATTATCACGTTACAAATAATCCACTCCAGTCTGAAATTTCACCACTTTTGCGGTGGGATTAAGTAGGCCGAGAATCCATGGAGGGAAAGAGTTGGGGCACAGGGTAGACATTTACAGGTAAACAATTTATCATTATTGTTATATTAAATCTCCACAGCAGTTTACAAACAATAAATTCTACACAGCTGCAATGCAATTTTTATAAATTGGAACCGTCACAAGGGCTTGACGCAGTTTTAATATCATCCATTTCACATCAACTGCTGAGCTCATGGCTCCATCACCTCCCGCCGTTCCACGCTGTGTTGATCAATAAATGTTACTGCCAGTGTTATATTAATGGAAATAGATTTTTGGCCATTTTCAGATGTCGATCAATAGCACTTCCGTATGTATTTTGCCCTTGGCATGTAGCTTGATGACATTAATGTAGCGATGCCGACAGGGTAAAGCTGCTCACCATCCTGGTTGACAATACAGTCCTGATTTCAGAAAGGATACCCAGAAGCTTTTGTGAAAATCGGGATTTTATCCTCGATTTTAACGTTTTGTCTTCACGTATGATTGATATGTGCATAGGGCAGTGCTATCTGAGTAGCGGTCGTGGTTGGCAGAGGAGTGGGTTTGGCCTATGAGAAGTAGGTTGGGCCAACATCAGAAAGAGCTCAATCTCTCACTGTCTGAGAGTGGTTAGCAGGCTGATGGAGGAAGGGGTTGCCAGCTGACCATCTGTCCCGGTTGAGCCTCCCAAAAATGTGGTGGTTTTATGAAAGTGCTACACTTGCAAGCTTCCTCCAACGTCGGCAATACCAACCTCGGAAATCCTCTGTCCTCCTCTAGGCTGACAGTCCAAGAGTCGCAGGAAAGTTGTATTCACATCAGCGTCATTCTCTGTTGTCTCCAAGGAGCTCAGTCCATCATACGGTTCATCAAAAGTATTGTAGAAAGCTGTTTTAAGCATTTTAAGATAAATAAAAAGAATGATCAGCAACGTTGCACATGCTGTCAATATTGTTGGGCTTAGTATCATACTGCTACTGATTTAATGAAGACGTTTGTTTGCCAATTCTGCTTATAATTTGAGAACCGAAATTAGTACAAGGCTGGGCAGCACAACAAATATCCACACAAACAGGTGAGCTCGATTTTTTGAGAAGGCAACTGTATACATGACTGTATACATGAGAAAAAATAATAATACAATCTAGTAGGTGAAACAAAACCAAAATGGATTGATTTCTGAACTGTGGCGATTCATATAATTATTGAGAAGGGAAAATTGTTACATGCCAGGTGGTGAACACACACATCAGTCGTCCTATAAATGAATGAAGAAAGATCCACACGAAGTCCTCGACAACTTCAGATCGCCTTCCTCTAAGTACTCCGAGGTCAAGACGACTCATTTCATGGGGTTAGCGGGCTTTTGCCAGTTCAGCTCCCACGCTTTGGAACAACGCTTTGCCTTTGCTAATAAGACAATCAGAATTATTCGCTATATTTAAGTCTGTCTCGAAAACTCACCACTTTAAACTGCCCTTTATCAATCGCATAGTTATGGCCATTAGCCCTGGAGGTTCTGTTTATTTCCTGGCTTTTCATACACAGTCGCGCATTGGCACCTACGGATGAAATGCACCACTTCACAAATGTACACCAGTTGTATTACTGTGATTACACTTACAGGCAGTGGACGAGCTAGAGGAAGCAGCGCTGGTCCTTAAAGTCTCTCCGCTCAACAGCTTCTTCCGGATCTGATCAGATTCCACTGCGACATTTCCCTCCTGACAAACAAGCAGAGAGCCCTCTGTGTGCGTGTGTATCCATGCCCCCCAGTAAAACGGACTAGAACCAGCGACTGCTGTGAACAGCTGTCACCATTAAAAAATATATATATTTTCGTCTTGTTTCTATAATTCTATTCCAATTGTGCTCTCAGCATCCTGTCATGAGACAGTGTCTGTTCGGTTTAATGCTTCTAATGGATTCTTACTTTTTAAACATCTTTAAAAAAAATCTAAACACTTTATCAGAGTTCCAAAATTCAGAACTCTGGCGAGATATATTTATAAAGGCACAACTCTAATAACATAGATTATCACGAGTGCGCAGTGCATAACAGCCCATGGAAGTGGATTTCACAGAACTACTTCTGAGATCTCAAGGGACATGTTTATTGACACGAGTGCCGCACAACCCCACACGCCTTGCTTCAGTGATAGGCTTATCACATGCCAGTAAATCCTGGAATTTAGCTTGACCTGGAAGTTAGCCATAATTGTTTTATTTCATCGGAATTTATTGTGTGGTAGTGGCTAGGCTAGTACCAATCAACTCGCCGTACCCGAGTCCCCAATTTAATTATGTGTTAACAAATGTCAGATTCAAACCAGGGATCAAAGTGGTGCCAGCTCAGCATTCTGACCATCGAATCACGTGGTAATTTCATCTGCTTTGAAAGAAAGGTCACATTTCTAATTACTCAAACGTCATTCACTACAATCTAGATTTGAAGCTTTCGTGACTGCAGGAATCCATACTCTTTGGTTCTTTCGGTAAAGTCACGTAGGTATAGAATAAAATAAATCACGACGTTTCAATTGCAACACAAGCAATCATCATCTTGCTGTGGTTTTCCCACCTGATGATGACGTCGTGATTTATATTATTTTATACCTTCGTGACTTTACCGAAAGAACCAAAGAGTATAGTCAATCACTACATGGGGGCTAACTCTGACCCCTGGACACACATTACGCAGCGTGTACATGCTGCCCTGGCTGAGTTCCCTACCAGCTCAGTCCTCTAAGCCTTTGGGCAGTGCCCTGCTGCTGTGGCTGCCAGGTATTCAGAGTCCTGGCAGAGTGTGTGTATGGGAATTCGTCGTGCCTTTGGCTTACGCTTAAACGGTGAGTGGTAAAGGGGAGTCCTGAAGCTAGGTTGGCATGGACCCCCTAAAAAAAAGTGGCTAAGAGCATGGAATGTTCCATCAGTTTGTCAGTTAAAGAAGTACAGTATACATTACCTCTATGTCTAGCCAGGGTGGAAGAGTAGGCAAAATGCCCTATAGACAGGCTCTCTAGAGATCCCTTGAGTGGAGAGTCTACAGCCAGCGGTGCCATGAGCAAGACATTCACTGTTTTAACAGTATAAGTGAAATTAAAAATGACCTTACGATGAAATTGATCAATTAAATTTTGGCACAGATGCATTTCGTACTCCAGCATCTGAATGCCAGTGTGGTGAAGTATGGTTAAACAAAGCGCCATGACCGCCAGAGCGCGAGATGGCCTTCATCCATAAGTAGCTGTCCAAAGCACTGTACATTACTACGATCGTAGTAATTGTGCTTAATTTGAATACGTTGAGTCGATTCACATCCTTATTCGTAAGCCAGTGTGTATTGGTGATGGGAGATAAAATGGAATATTTGCTAGCAAAGTGAATCATAACCACATCTTTATCTCTGGATTGCTTTGGACCATTTACTAGAGTGGGGCAGGCATGAGGTATGCTTTATTCATTTACCTGCATCTCAGTTGGCTCTGACATTGTAATTTCCTCGTGCATTCTCCCTCTCTCTCCACGATTGTCTGATTTCAATTGCCGAACCTAGAGGTTAATATAAGTACAGCGGCATACGTTACATTACGTGAGGACAGACCGTCTTATGAACATGGTGAAGTGACACTCAAATGTTGTTCACCTGGGCCTCACCTTACAATCATTGCTCAACATTCACCACTCACTCTTTGGTTCTTTCGGTAAAGTCACGTATAAAGAGAAAATAATAAATTAATTAATCACTCACCACTCACCTAACACAAGTCAAACACGCCACATATACTTAGGCGCTAACACTCACCACTCACATTATGCGGCACATCATTAGTAAATTAAAACACGTAGCTGAGACAATACAAATTTTACAAAAAAGGTAACATCGTTGCCATGGTGACATCTCGAGGCAATTACCTTAACTGCCGAGCCAGGAATGAGTTAACTCAACACCAATTAATCTAACGATCACTTTATGTCATTGGCAACATCGATTAGCAGAGACAACTCCATAATTAAAATAATTAGCAATAATAATGCAAAACGCTTCCCCGTGGCAGCGATTCCACTTTAGGGATTGAATGGATTAGTTTTTTTTGGCAAATCAGGCTGAATATAGCAGCCTCTAGTGGCTATAGAACGTCATGGCCTAAAATACAATGTTTCGCTCCGGATCGCTGCAAAGTATGATCTGTTTTGATTTAGTGTACTGATCTTAAAGGTACATTGAAAAATGTTGATACTCCGACTGATGCTCCTGCTGTTGTGGAGTGACTCATGCAGCCAGCTATGGCTGCAGAGTTTGGTAGTACATGTTGTTTATGTAGTTTATTGTGAAAATAGGTCACAGTTCCTATGACCACTGTTTCATTGCTTTTATGGCTTTATTTTGGTTATTTTCGAAAAGTTTTTTGGTTTGGCCATGTTTGTTTGTTGTAGTACAGAGTTAGACCGATGGCCTTAATCTAAGTTGTCTTGTGGTTGTTGCTGTTTGACTTGCATCCCACTGGGATTTTTGCACACAGCGTTGGTGTACGGTGCTTTTTCTGCAATATTTTGCTGTCTTTTCATGGATATCCTGTTTGCACTTAGTCACATATTCACTTTAATATGTTTTCTTGTTCATGTTTTTGTTTTGTTTGTTGCGGTTGCACCCGATTCAAGAGCCGAATGGCTCACAGGGCTATACCTAATAAATGAACTTGAACTTGAGGATGCATGTCATGGTTATTAAACAGATATCTTTTGATTAGCCGCTATAGTTAGGCCTCCACTTTGACACGAGGTTCATCAACCTGTACCGACCAGGGTGGTGAAGTATGGTCAAACAACCCCTACGAACGACACCGCATGGGCGATGCACCTCATCCAGCAGTGGATTTGACAAAGAGGGCTTTGTTAATGGTTGTAAAGTTGTGTAATTGTTTCCCTGATGCACAGCTCAATTAAACGCTGTAGTTATAATCACACGTTATTCACAATAGGATTTAGCAGGATAAGCTATCGCGTTCCAACCGCGTCGGAGCTCAAATCAAACGACACATTTGAGGGAAAATAGCTCAACTACATTTCAAATAAGGCAATGTTAACATTAACGATGGCAGAAGTTACCAAACTAAATCGTTACGAAGGTTTTAACTTACAAGTTCAAGAATCGCGCGTCGCCTTCACGTGGGGCCTGCTTACCTGGTTGAATAAAGCGGCAATCAGCGGCAAATAATTAACTATCAATTATCCGTTGCTTGGTAAAAGAACATTAAACAAAATAAAATGTCAATTTACTTCAATGGAATAATAATAATAATGATAACGACTGTATTGTGTTACTAAGTTCGCTGTCACGTCACCTGTTCCCCTCGATCGCGCGGGAACAAGACGCGCACGTGACCCAACACATTTGCATAACGCGAAACTCCAAGTGTCAAGCGCCTCATTTACATATCATTTGCATACGGCGTGACAGGGCGTCCTCGTTTAACGTGGCAGATGCGTTCCTGAGTAGTGCACCGTTGAGCGAACGAGTTAAGCGAAAACAATCCCCCCATAATTAATGCAGCGATTCAGCTTGGCGAGACACGATGTACCTGTGCCGTGCTGGTTCACCGCGGATCTCCCTTGCAAACTAACTTGCAGGGTAACTCGCTAAAGTTGACTTTTCGTGTCGCAAATAAAACGCTGATTGATAGAATTGGTTACACGTCTTGGCGGTTTGCTGTGGCGTGTAAACAGCGAATACAAAGACGGTCACGCGTGGTGTGTTAGCCACACCAAATCACCTACCCATTGAAGAGCTATACCTTAATAGGTGCTCGCTAACACATACACTCAGTAGCGGAGCTTGCATCGGTGCAGGGGGTGGCTTGCGTGTGAGACACGTCAAATATTGGGGGCACCACCCCCCTCAGCTGATAATGTCATTACTACGGCACTGATGTAGTTACTACACCACTGATGATGTAGCCACTACACTACTGATAATGTTGTTACCTCGCCACTGATAAATTCACTGTTTAACAAAAAAAATGTGTTACTGGGTAGTAAGTGTTATTTCGTAATTGATTAAGCCTCAAAAGTATAGAAAATGGCTATTATTTCCCACCAACTTGCTTTTGTCAACCAGGACAGTGATATTTTGAAATTTACTACGCCACTGATAATGTAGTTAGTTACACCGCTGATAATGTAGTTACTAACTACGCCACTGAACATGTAGTTAGTTACACCACTGATAATGTAGTTAGTTACACCACTGATAAGTTAGTTAGTTACACCACTGATAAGTTAGTTAGTTACACCACTGATAAGTTAGTTAGTTACACCACTGATAATGTAGTTAGTTACACCACTGATAAGTTAGTTAGCTAGTTACACCGCTGATAATGTAGTTAGTTACACCACTGATAATGTAGTTAGTTACACCACTGATAATGTAGTTAGTTACACCACTGATTATGTAATTAGTTACACCGCTGATAGTGTAGTTAGTTAGACCACTGATAATGTAGTTAGTTACACCACTGATAGTGTAGTTAGTTAGACCACTGATAATGTAGTTAGTTACACCACTGATTATGTAATTAGTTACACCGCTGATAGTGTAGTTAGTTAGACCACTGATAATGTAGTTAGTTACACCACTGATAATGTAGTTAGTTACACCACTGATAGTGTAGTTAGTTACACCACTGATAATGTAGTTAGTTACACCACTGATAATGTAGTTAGTAACTACACCACTGAACATGTAGGTTAGGTTTACACCCATATGTTTTACACCACTGATAATGTAGTTAGTTACACCACTGATAATGTAGTTAGTTACACCACTGATAATGTAGTTAGTTACACCACTGATAATGTAGTTAGTTACACCACTGATAATGTAGTTACTAACTACGCCACTGAACATGTAGTTAGTTACACCACTGATAATGTAGTTAGTTACACCACTGAACATGTAGTTAGTTACACCACTGATAATGTAGTTAGTTACACCACTGAACATGTAGTTAGTTACACCACTGATAATGTAGTTAGTTACACCACTGATAATGTAGTTAGTTACACCACTGAACATGTAGTTAGTTACACCACTGATAATGTAGTTAGTTACACCACTGAACATGTAGTTAGTTACACCGCTGAACATGTAGTTAGTTACACCGCTGAACATGTAGTTAGTTACACCACTGAACATGTAGTTAGTTACACCGCCACTGACCACTCTCGTGGTGGGGTAGGGGACATTGTTCGTCTTGGAGACCAGGGGGGGGATAATGCACGCCCTCGTTTCTCGAGGCCCCCTAATTGCGACAGCGATCATCGGCGACGCTTGAAAAGTTTATGAAAGGCGACGTCATCTATTGTGGCAACGGACGGGGGCAACGAGAAAAGGGCGTTCGTGTGGAGCCCGAGAATGCAACCGAGCGGCGGGAGATGGTAGAGGGGACGAAGATGCGAATTGTTTTCCTTCTTGACGAGTTCAAACGCAGAGCGACGCATCAGGCGATTTGCCCGGCTGGACGCGTGCACGTGTAAGGTTTAGAGTTGGCCGTGGCAAGCGCGAAGATCGGACGTCTGGTGCGTGTGTGCGTGTTTCTGCGTATTTTTGTGTGGCTGTGTGTGCGTGCGTTATTGTGCGTTGTTGCGCGCGTGCTTACGTGTTTTTGTGTGTGTGTCTATGCAGCTAGCTCTGTGTCTGTGCTTGTGTGTTGTGTGTGCCTTTGTCTGTGTATGTATCTGTGCCTGACTCTGCATCTCTCTGTCTCTATGAGTTATGTATTTGTATGCTCTCTGTATGTTGGAATGGATGTGTGTACCGTATGTGTGTGCCTTTGTGGGTTTTACTGGCTATGTGCGTCTGTGTGTCTGTCTGAGTCCGTGCATTATTACTCTGTGTGTGTCTCCGTATGTGGCTGTGTGTCTCGGTGGGTGAGCATCTGCGTGGCTGTGTGTGTCACTTTGTGAATCATTTGTGTCTGTGTGTCTGTCTGTGCCTCCGCGTGTCCGTGTACAATAATGGAACGTTGCAAGTTGGATTCACACAGCGTCCAAACGTGACCGAATCTAAAGATGCTGTGCAGAAACAAGTGTCCATGTGTATTGTATATTGAGAAGACTGACAGTCAAAATTATGTTTGTGAGCCTGGACTTAAACAGGACCAGGGCATCGACAGCACGAACAGCGGGGGAAAAGTGACTTCCCGACCAGGACCCATATCTTAAAAAGAAAGAGAGAGTCATTGCCTGTAACATCTGGCATTTCGCCAGTATTGGTTCAAGCAAGCCTGACTGCCGATGAAGACAGTGAATGTCAAAGCGGCCACGAGTTTGCTTGCGTTGAACCAATGCTGCTTAAACTATGCGCTGGCACAAAGTCACGTGGCTGATGTGATGTGTAGTATAAAATACTGCACTTTTTATATGAAGGTACAGATATATAAAAGAGGTCAATTGTCTGTCTGATTAATTATTCCAGGCTGTGGGAGCAGCAGAGGAGAACGAGACATCTTTTTTTCTATGAGTATATCTGCACATCTGTCTGTGTGTGTACCACGTACTCTGTCTGCCGGACTAGGACACCGCCGATGCCTGCCTAAGTCCTTCGCTGACTACATTTCTCAGACATGGGCTGCGGGTCATCGAGGAAGGCCTTGGTGGGGCCCGGGGATGAGCAAAACGTGGCATGGAATGACAAGCGAAGGGTACGCGACGTATCCAACCAAGAACACCGTGACCTGGCTGTCCATTCTGCGCATCGTCGAACGTTCCGGAAAGTAAGACGCGCCCCAAATGTGTGTCTGGCGTCAAGTTATACAAACCTGGTCACACACAAAGACAAAGATCCCACCCCCCTGCCGCTCCGTGTAGCCTCCAACAGACTTTTTGGGGGGCGAGTGCTCTCAGCAAGTAAGCATCTATGAGGACCGGCACGGCGCACGAGGGGGGTGGGTGATGACGCATCAATGACAGCATTAGGATTCTACTAATAGGGTTTTTCCCCTTTTTTCTGGCAACAAAACTAACACCTTTTGCAATGAATCATGTTTACATTAACCACAATACTTGCAGTCAAATGTTTCCAGAAAAAAAAGTGGAAAAACCCTATTAGTATATTTTGGTACTGGCAAAGGAAGTCCCACGATGTAGCTGCTCACCCCAAGCTCTCATTACTCTGATAGTGCGTTGTCTTTGAACTGTGCACATTTTGGCGTCATTTGGTCGAACACCATATGAGACTAGGCTCTAAAGAAAGCTGTCTCTGGTGTGGACCAATCAATTTCAAAGACAATGCATAAATTATCAGAGTATTGTTTTTTGTTTGCATTTGACTGCAAGTATTGTGGTTAATGTAAACATGATTCCTTGCAAAAGGTGTCAGTTTTGTTGCCAGAAAAAAGGGGAAAAACCCTATTAGTATATGTTGGTACTGGCAAAGGCGGTCCCATGATGACATTAGGATTCTGTGCTTATTTATGACTTCACTCCAACACCCATCTACCGGATTGTAAGACGCAACTCCCAAATACAAGGGGGGGGGGGAGGGGGGACGGTGGTGGATGCGTCCTACGGCAGTCCGGAGAGTACGAGAAGTGGGTGCGAATCTTTAGTTCGCAATGCTTACGACCAAATCAACCCGCGGTGTCTCCCGAACGAAAGGCGCTCCATGACTATCAAATAAGATGAGACGTGTGTACGATCTCGGAGTCAATGTGTGATCATTGTCATTCTTAAACACGCCTCTGTGTCGTGCATGTGCTCCACGATCCAGAGTCGATATGGGTACCACCGCAGGACCCAAAACAGAGCGCCGCCAATGGATTTTCATGGCCAATAAGAGTGGATTACATGACAACCCGCTCAGTTCAAGTGGTTATCCCATAATTCACCGGTGTTGGCTATAATTACAACCACTAGACAGCAGTCTTCTTCACTCAGTGTATTATCCCTTCTTTTTCCATTAAAAACGATTGTCCCATCTAAGTGTTAACATTTTTTTCGAAACACCTTCGAGGACTCCGGTAACGTGCATCCCTGTGTTTGCCGCGGGTTCGAGGTGCGCGAGTCCAAGGTGCAGGATGAGGATCGTGGAGCATCGGCCACGTCCGCACACTCGGCCGTGACGGTGGACAGCGGCCTGGGCTGCGATGACAGAAAACCCCCCGGGGAAGTTAGCAGTACGTAGCCCACCGCGCCACGGTGGCGAGATGTTCGCTACCTCGCATGGCAGTACAGTAGGTCGTGGGTTTAGATCGTGACCCCTGATGCCTGCTGTGTATTTGGATCTTGACTTAAAGCTTTCGTGACTGCAGGAATTCATATTTTTTGGGTCTTTGGGTAACGTCACTTAGATAGGTTCAAAGAAAATAACAAAAACTTACGACGTTTCGATCGCAAAGGTGGTGGGTTTCCACCAATTAAAGGGCTGCCAGGTAAAAATTTGCATGTTAATGTGAGATCGGTGAGCAGCCTCCACGGCGAGCGCGCTGAGGTGGATATGTTAATGTGAGATATTAGCATGTTAATGTGAGAGATTAGCATGTTAATGTGAGAGATTAGCATGTTAATGTGAGAGATTAGCATGTTAATCAAAGTTCGGTGAGCGGCCTCCACGGCAAGCGTGCTGAGGTGGCTATTTTAATGTGAGAGATTAGCATGTTAATGGGAGATCGCAGACCCGCCGCCACCTCTAGGTCGGCGCGCGAAGTTGGCTGTGTTAGTGTGAGAAATTTAACCCGTTCATGTAAAATCGGAAAGCCGAAAATAACAACTAACATCGGAAGTTCGCAGGATGGGAACACCACAGCCAGTTATGACTTAAACTGGTTGATAACGTCCTTCCAATGATTGCTAAGTTTGTACCCATCTTCTTATTACCTGGCAGCCCTTTAATTGATGGAAACCCACCATCTTCGCAGTCGTTGCCCATCACCCACATTAACATTAGCTGCCACGCCCATGCTGCTGACATTGGCTCCTCCCATTTTAAACCTTTATAAACTGTTTGCCTTTAGAAGCTAACCACATTTTCCTGATGACGACCGCTTGTGTTGCGATCGAAACGTCGTAGTTTTTTTTTACCTATCTACGTGACTTTACCGAAAGACCCAAATAATATGTGTATTTTGAGTTTACACGTTCTCTCTCCCCTTTCCCTCCTTGGAGGTGTGGAGGTTTTTTTCCTCCAGGTCCTCCGGTTTTTCCCCTCCACATTTAGAATCATCACGCGTTTAGAGTATTTGGCTGCTATACATTTCCACGTGATAAGCCACTTCGGTGAGCTATAAATTGTGGCCAGGTCGCTTCTGAAAAATAGCTACATAGCTCAGTGGGCTTTACCTCCTAAAATAAAAATAAAATTTTTTAGTCTTTATAATAATTATTTTTTATTCTGCTTGTTTGCCTCGTTGAGTCTCGTGTCTCTCGTTCAAAATGTGTCCTGCCACGTGTCCCTAGTAGGGGCCGATGCTTGCCACGTGTAGTCCCGATTGTACAGTGCGAAAGAAGTTCAACATACATATAAGGCATGTAGTTGTTTGCGGTGTAAAACGCTCAATTTTTGCTAAAAAAAAATTTCTCGACGCCAGCGCACATGACGGCTTCAATTTGTTATCAGATAATGATTCCCTGTCGTCGGCCACAGAAAGAAATTGGAACCGCTAAAGTTACGCCACCTCCCCAGGTACTGATAAGAAAAACATCTGCTCTGAGCTCGTGGACAAACTGGGATCAGGTTATCCATACTAAAGTTTTGTTTTGGGTTAGATCGCATAAATATAAATGTGTCGTTAAACCCGCTACCACCCGACACAGCCAATCAGTACACCGGTGTGTTGGAGAGTAAACCCACGATATTTCCAATTGGAGTACGGCGTTTCACCAGTAAACCGGGATCAGGTTGTCATGCCCGGTGCTAAAGGATACACGTCCGGGCGTAATGTTTGTAATGAGGACTAACCACACATCGTATTTTACAACATAGTTACAGCGCCAAATTGTTACCATCAATTTCACAGCCAAGGTTATTGCAGGGTCACAAGAGACCTCCAATTCACTCACCTCCATCCCCCCTCCCTCTCCTACCTCTCCCCTCTCATCTCACTCTGCTCCCCTCCACGCACTCTCCTACCTCTCCCCTCTCACCTCACTCTACTCCCCTCCACTCACTCACTCTCCTACTTCTCCCCTCTCATCTCACTCCCCTCCCCTCCACACACTCTCCTACCTCTCATCTCACTCTATTTCCCTGATGCGATGCAACTATTCATTCGATCACATCGACAGACCTATTTAAGACCCATGAGCGTGCACATTGTATTGGTATTGCAAAGTGTGTGCATGGCATATCAATTAAAACGTATTTGTTTTAACAATTATCAGAGCTGGGATTTAGTCACATTCAACGTGTTTTTTTTCTTTGGTGTATCCATTGGTAACCTACCCGAGACACTAATTTAATAGCGGGTGGCTGAAACCCGGATTCGAACCCAGACATTCGACGATCCTGGCTTAGGGTTCTGACCTTTCCTTGAACCATGAGCTACTCGGCCACCACCTCCTATAGAACCAAATGAATATTGGATTCAAATAAAAGAAAACCATTGGATACGGACACCCTAATGGGCTCAGGCATACATTCTCTATCATCACCAGAGATGATGGAGGTGATGTCATCCCTCCCACCCAAATGCGTGACAATGACCTCAATGAACAGTTATAGGATCAATGAAAGTGATGTCACACCCTGCTCCTCCCATCATTCTCGCCCCCCCCCCCCCCCCCGCGCATCCCAGGGCGGCCACTCGATGGTCCGATTCCCGGGACCATGCCCCGTGCAGCTGCCAACGACATCCTGGAGGAGCTGAGGGCCCAGGGTCTCATCCAGAGCACCCCCCGCGTGGTGCGGGGGGGCCAGGCCTTTGACGTCATGGTGAGGGGTGACACTCCGTTCGCGAGGTCGTGACGTTACTGGCTCCCGGGGTCTTAGGAGATTGTATTATTATGATGTATTATTATTATGTGTTGTTATCGTCTGCTAGTCATGCTGAGCCTGGCGGCAGTCGCTTCAGCAAGCAGTGTGGAGGGAGGGCCCTGAGACACGGTCTGTCGACGAGCACGTCCATACACAGTGGGTCGTCGTGGTCATCTTGGCCCCCTGGTGTGGAGGGTGACTGCACGCGGACGCAATCTGTTAAGACAAATAGGGGTGATGACTATGACGACGACGATGATTATGTCCACAATGATGACGATACTACAGCTGCTGATGATGATACTGCTGTTGTTGCTGGTGGTGATACTGATAATACTGCAGCTGCTGTTCCTGCTACTGCTGATGTTGACGATACGGCAGCTGCTGTTGATGCAAACGACACTGCAGCTATTGCTGCTGCCGACAATGATGATACTGCAGCTGCTTTTGCTGCTACTGCAGATGATGATATTGTAGCTACTGCTGATGATGATGATGATGACGATGATGATACACTCAATGGCAATGTTAAAATCACGGTGATAATCGTGACGATGATGACGATGATGATACACTCAATGGCAAATGATAAAATCACGGTGATGATCGTGACGATGATGACGATGATGATACACTCAATGGCAATGTTAAAATCACGGTGATGATCGTGACGATGATGACGATGATGATACACTCAATGGCAATGTTAAAATCACGGTGATGATCGTGACGATGATGACGATGATGATACACTCAATGGCAATGTTAAAATCACGGTGTTGATCGTGACGATGATGACGATGATGATGATACACTCAATGGCAATGTTAAAATCACGGTGATGAGCGTGACAATGATGACGACGATGATGATACACTCAATGGCAATGTTAAAATCACGGTGATGAGCGTGACGATGATGACGACGATGATACAACTGAATGGCAATGTTAAAATCACGGTGATGAGCGTGACGATGATGACGACGATGATACAACTCAATGGCAATGTTAAAATCACGGTGATGAGCGTGACGATGATGACGATGATGATACAACTCAATGGCAATGTTAAAATCACGGTGATGAGCGTGACGATGATGACGATGATGATACACTCAATGGCAATGATAAAATCACGGTGATGATCGTGACGATGATGACGATGATGATACACTCAATGGCAATGTTAAAATCACGGTGATGATCGTGACGATGATGACGATGATGATACACTCAATGGCAATGATAAAATCACGGTGATGATCGTGACGATGATGACGATGATGATACACTCAATGGCAATGTTAAAATCACGGTGATGATCGTGACGATGATGACGATGATGATACACTCAATGGCAAATGATAAAATCACGGTGATGATCGTGACGATGATGACGATGATGATACACTCAATGGCAATGTTAAAATCACGGTGATGATCGTGACGATGATGACGATGATGATACACTCAATGGCAAATGATAAAATCACGGTGATGATCGTGACGATGATGACGATGATGATACACTCAATGGCAATGTTAAAATCACGGTGATGATCGTGACGATGATGACGATGATGATACACTCAATGGCAATGTTAAAATCACGGTGATGATCGTGACGATGATGACGATGATGATACACTCAATGGCAATGATAAAATCACGGTGATGATCGTGACGATGATGACGACGATGATACACTCAATGGCAATGTTAAAATCACGGTGATGATCGTGACGATGATGACGACGATGACGACGACGATGATTGTTTGCCCTCCCCGCACCCAACCGATGCAGGTGACGGACGCGCCCTCGGGTCGTCCTCCCGCCCGACTCGAGAGGCTCATCCTGAGCGCGGGCAGCACGCGGGGCAGCGCGGGGGGCAGCGCGGGCGACGAGAGGGGGGCAGCAACAGCAGCGGCAGCAGCAGCGGAAGAGGCTGCGGCGGCGAGGCGCGCGGAGGCGCTGCGCGAGAGGCGGGAGCGACAGCTGCGGAGAGAGGAACGCGCGCGTCGCGTGCGCGGATCCAGGGCGGTGGCGATCGAGATCCAGCACGAGCAGCACGCGCAGGAGGAGCAGGAGGGATGAGTGATTGATGGTCGTGGTGGTGGTGGTGGTGATACTGCGAGTTTACTTGTGTTGTCTTAGAACGATGGTGATTTGATATACTGGCTGACACTTGACCAAAGTGATTGATGATGATGATGATACTGCGAGTTTACTTGTGCTGTCTTATAACGATGATGATTTAATATACTGGCTGACAATTGACTAAAGTGATTGATGATGATACTGCAAGTTAACTCGTGCTGTCTTAGAATGATGATGACGATGATGATATCATATACTGGCTGACACTTTACCAAACTAATTGATGGTGATAACGACTGGCTGATGTTGATAATGGTGATGTTGTCATGCATTCACCGACACGTTATAAGTGTGGTTGATGAGGATTATTATTACGACGACGACGATGATGATCGTGATGTCAGATACTAACCCACACTTTACATGTGTGATGAGTATCATTATGGTGACGACTATGATGGCGGTGATGATGCAATACACCGGTTAACACTTTACAAGTGCAATCGTTGACGACGACGACGATGATGATATTAAAGGAGAGAGCGGCAACGGAAGCGGGGCTTTATCGCCACTGGGGGGGGAGACAAAGGCGGTCGGGCGTGGTGCTGGCCACAGACCCCCTTGTGTACCTTGCCGGCCTTCATAGCCGCTCGCAAACAGCGCGGCTCTGTGCCCCAATAGCCGATGAAAGCGAGAGAGGACCCGAACCTTCTGTTGTCATGTACCATAATGTATGCCGATGAATACGTTAATAAAACGTGTAATTATGTTAATTGGTGTTGTTCAAGATGGGAGCCGTGGCGCATTGGTTAGCGCTGTGAATCCAGCGTCTTGAGTTCGATTCCAGGCCACGGCGAGCATCAGATGCGAGTGATACCCGATCCTGTTTTGCCTCCCCATCTCCCCTTCACCAACTTGAACCGACTTGCGTGGTGAAGTATGGTCAACCCCCCCCCCCCCCCCTTCAACGAACGACACGAATTGTGGATGCTACTCTCACACAGCCGTGGATCGGTGCATTGACATGGCAGTAACTTTTATTATTTGAAAATTGTGCACTTTTATCACGTGGTATGCTCGATGTAATGTAATATTTAACTTTTAAAAAACAGGAGCTAGTTTTTTGACACAGTGTACTAACAAGTCTATCATCATTCCGGGGTAGATAAAGTGCGTACCGCTTTGTGGCGAGTCATTAGCTGTCATCTTCTGGGCATATTGGGCCTGCGAAGGGGCAATTTCCACCACTGTCCCAGGGCGCTGCCCCATTGCTCGTGTGGGCAGGAATACTCGTTTGACTTGGTTGTCAACAATAAAACCTTTGCTGGAGATGTGTCCCAGACTGTCTGTGTTCAATAGCGGTCCACATTTCGGGTATAATATTTGTGCTTGTTAGGGCAAGTGCTGTTAGCGAGCACCTATAACGGCCAGGACAGCAAACGACGGGGTGGGTGGCCAGCACCACGCCCGACCGCCTTTGCCTCCCTAGCCGGCGATGTTTACACAACGCGCCAGCTACTCATTTGAGGCTGAGTCGACCTAGGGGAGACCCAGGACCGGTGCAAATCATCGTCGCCGGTGTTGTTAGCCGTAAGCGGGAACTGAACCCGAGTCGCCGTGGCACCACCACCACCACCTCCACCAGCCAGCCAGCAGCAGCAGTAGCAGAGGTCCTGCTGCTGCTGTTGCTGCATTATTCACGAGAGACGGCTGAACGAACCCGACTCCGACGCGACGCACAATGAGACCGGCCACCGGATCGCCTCTGCCCGCCCGCCTCCTCGCAGCAGCTGTAACCCCACGGGCGCGCGAGAGAGATCCCCTCCTCCGCCGCACACGGGGAAGGGGTAGAGGGGCCACCCAGGTATCATCATTATTCTCAAAACTGTCCCATTTGGCAGATGCTGCGCGCGCGCGTGTGTGTCAGAGGGAATGTGTGTGTCAGAGGTGGTGTGTGTGTCATTGTCTTTACATCCGCCAGTCGTCTCAGTCAGTCAAGCCATGGCACGTGGGTCATCGCTATTAGGGAGACAAAGGCGGCCGGAGGTGGCGCTGGCCACCGACCCCTTCGTGTGTCGTGCCTGACTTCATAGGTGCTCGCGAACAGCGCTTTCCACGAAAGTATGTTAAGGCTATATGGGAAATCTTGGTCTTTGTGTGTCAGACAGAGGTAGTGTGTGCGTCAGAGAGAGTGTGTGTTACAGGTGACGCATCTGCCAGTCATCTCAGTCAACCCATGGCACCTGGGTCTGTCGCTTGACCTCCTACCAGCGAGCCTTCGATGCTTCACGTGGCCTAAAAGTGCACATAGCTTGGCACAAGCGCCGTGGTGACATCACCGCTGATAAGTGGCGAATGGCCGTTGTTGTTGGTGGTCTCTAACGGCACTTGCCTGAAAAGTATGTCAAGGGTATACGGGGCATCTTTGCCTTTGTGTCAGAGGGCAGTGATAGAGTAACGGTCAGCCCGATGCGCTACGAACCCGGAGTTCCGAGTTCGATTCTCGCTCACGGCCAACATCAGTGACGATTATCTGAACAGGTCCTGTGCCTCCCCCTAGCTCGACTCAGCCTCAAATAAGTACCTGGTGCGGTGTGTAAACATCGCCACTGGGGAGACAAAGGCGGCCGGGCGTGGTACTGGCCACCCACCCACTCGTGTGCAGTAAAACCGGCCTTCAGAAGTGCTACTCGCTAACAGCACTTGCCCTCTGTTGAAGGCTTTACGGGGGATCTTTGTCTTTGTGTGGTTGTGCTCATGGGGAAATTGCCAGTGAGGGGAGCGGTGGCGCAGAGGTGAGAGCACAGCTCCACGAAGCCGACGACTCTGGTTCGGATCCCGCTCACGGCCAACACCAGTGACTTTTTCTCTAATCAATCCCTGCGGCGATGAGTTAAACATGGCCACTGGGGAGACAAAGGCGGCCGGGAGTAGTGCTGGCGACCCACCCCCTCGTGTGCCATCTCAGCCTTCAGAGGGTGCTATTCGCTAACAACACTTGCCCCAACATTCTGTTGAGGCTATACGGGGGATCTTTGTATTTGTATGCGTCTGTATCACTGTATCTGCGTCTGTGTCACTGTGTCTGTGTCACTATGTCTGTGTCACTGTGTCTGTCTGTGTCACTGTGTCTGTGTCACTGTGTCTGTGTCACTGTGTCTGTGTCACTATGTCTGTGTCACTGTGTCTGTGTCACTGTGTCTGTCTGTGTCAATGTGTCTGTCTGCGTCTGTGCCACTGTGTCTGTGTCACTGTGTCTGTCTGTATGCGTCTGTGTCACTGTGTCTGTCTGCGTCTGTGTCCCTGTCTGTGTCACTGTGTCTGTCTGCGTGCGTCTGTGTCACTGTGTCACTATGTCTGTGTCACTGTGTCTGTCTGTGTCACTGTGTCTGTGTCACTGTGTCTGTGTCACTGTAACTGTCTGTGTCACTGTGTCTGTGTCACTGTGTCTGTCTGTGTCACTGTGTCTGTCTGCGTCTGTGCCACTGTGTCTGTGTCACTGTGTCTGTCTGTATGCGTCTGTGTCACTGTGTCTGTCTGCGTCCGTGTCCCTGTCTGTGTCACTGTGTCTGTCTGCGTGCGTTTGTGTCACTCTGCATGTGCTGCAAACATTCGTTGAATCTCCCCCCTCCTCCTTCAAGCCCCCACCCACCACTCTCACCCCCCACCCCCAGCCCCCGCTGGGTTTAATTTCTAATCCATAATGCAGAGACTCGCCGTCCCATTCTCGTCTCCCTTACCGTGCACGCGGAAAGAGGAGCCCCGAGCTTCGAGATGCGTCCCCCAGCCCTCAATTCATCTCCCTAATTAAAGGGATGCATTATTAATGGGCGCGCTTGAAAGTGACGCACGCATTTGCCTGGCGAGGATTATGATCTTTATTATTGTTATCCAGAGCCACTGACATATCTCCTGTTCCTCCTCCCGCAGTAGTAATGTGCAGGGCTTCGTTATTTCAGACCCGGGGGGGGGGGGGGGTCTGTCCGGGTCAGTGACCCGGACACAATGTCGCGGCGCCCGGAACACAACATTCAGTATCCCACTCGCCGCGGGAGGATTTGTAGCGACTAAGCACGTGTCACCTACTCCAGTGTGCCCAGCGACCGCAAACATTAGTATTTGATAAGAAAAATAACTCAATAAATATCAAATATACGTCAATACGTCAATAAATGAAAACAGAGAAACCAACAAAGAAAAAAATATTTCGAAAGAAAATTCAGTGAGACGTGAAGGCCTTGCCTATGCCACCACACTCATCATCACACTCATCATCACCACAGTCATCATCATCATCACCACCACAATCATCATCATCACCGCAGTCATAATCATCATCATCACACTCATCATCATCATCATCGCCACAATCATCATCATCATCATCATCACCACAATCATCATCACCACAGTCATCATCATCACCACACTCATCATCAACATCGCCACAATCATCATCATAACAGTCGTTATCAACATCATCACCACGTTCATCATCACCACAGTCATCATCATCATCAACATCATCACCACAATCATCATCATCACCAGAGTAATCATCACAGTCATAATTATAACAGTCATCATTATCATCACACTCACCATCACCATATTCATCATCACCACAGTCATCATCATCATCAACATCATCACCACAATCATCATTATCATCACCAGAGGCAACATTACAGTCATCATTATAACAGTCATCATCATCACACTCACCATCACCACATTCATCATCTCCACAGTCATCAGCACTGCACTGATCATCACCACAGTCATCACAACAGTCATCATCATCATCTTTATTAAGCGTGAAACTGCATTAATCACCCTTCGTCATCGTCGTCGTGATGATCATAGTCATCATTCTGAGGCAGAATGTCATCTTATCATCAATACGATGCCAGAGGTATAGCAATTTCATCATCATCATCATAATAAGTTATTTTGATAAGACCGCACATTTTGCTCTGGATAGGCCTAAGACATTCAATTGATATCATCATCATTATCATCATCATCGGGCCTGAGGTGTCACGATATCATTATCCTGACTGGGATATCACGATATCAGCGAAGTCATGATGCTGATCACCATCACGACCATTTTATTCGGATAGAGAATAAATAAACGATCATCGTCGTCATCAGCAGTACTGTGACGAAGAGACCCCCAATTTGCATACAATCATCATGAGCGTCGTAGTGAGAATATAGGTAACAAGATTAGTAGACTACCTGCTTGCTATATCTGTCCCTCCACACAAGTTGTTTTGTTTACACATCCCATCAGCAACACACGGCCTTCAGGAAGTGTATAATTTCATCCGCGTTGGTTTATCGCCGGCAAAATTGAGAACCGGTGTCGACATTTCAGCGTCTCATCATCAGTGTCAGGCTTGCTTAGATTCAATTTACTGACATCATCGTCATCATCATCAATGTACTAGCACTATAATCTTGCGTGAAGCAGTACATCATTTTTAGAATCATCATCATCGTCATCTTTGAAAACTCTTCATACAATACACGTGCTTGAAGATGGCCCCGTATTGGCAGGCACTTGTATTATTCATGTGCGATTGTCGCGCGCAGAGCAGCTTAGCTCCCAACGCCATGTGGCGAGGAGGCTGTATTTACACGTTTTAAAGCCAAGTCCGCCTTTGGTGGCTTTTTACTGGCATTATCAAGTGATTCGTTTGTTTTTTAGATCACCAAACAAAGTCGTGTTGACTTTGCAATTGCATTATTCATGGAGGGCGTCTGAGCGAAATAAAAAAACAATCGGCAGTAACTAATTAACAAATGACCCGCGGAATGCTTCCTATCTGACCAGGTCTCGGAAGCTAAGCAGGCGATGAGCTAGGATTGTGATTGGATGGGCGAACACCTTAGCAAGAAGACGTCGCCAAAGATGAGCGGGCAGTAGCGGGTGGTACAATACCAGGGCTTGTTGTACCGTACTTGTATGCTACCCGCGTCTGTGCTCTACCGCCTTCACCAACGCGCAGTGATCAGAACGCATGATCCATTGCTCCACCACGTCGTGTCGGTCATAGGGGAGACGGGGGGGGGGGGGTCCGGTGTTCGGCCATACTTCTCTACGCTGGTCAGTGCATGCTGGTTAACAAAAAAAGTTGGAACGTTTCTTTGGGAGGTTAATGACCGGTTACAACATCACTCGCAGACACTGAAGCGTTATCCGTGGCCGGGATTTCGAGCTCAGCCCGCCGGGTTTCATCACGCAGTGCGCGAACCACTGCGCCACCGCTCACCGCTGAATGGGGGGGGGGGGAGGAAGACGCGCATGTGGCCCTTGCTTGCAGGTGCCCCCGGGGCCCGCGTCTGCATCACGCACCGACGGCCCCCGCCAGGAAGACAACGGGGGCCCATTGTTCCCACGCAAAGCGCGTCGCCCCCCGCGTGGCGCTACCGCACCACCTCGCGCGGACGCGATTCGAATTCGGTGCGAACGCGCGGTTCGGCTCACCCATTGGTCGCCTCCCCGAGTGTCCGTGACACACTGCGGTGGGGCATCACCACCACCACCTCCAACCACCCCCACCACCACCACCCACCACCACCACCACCCCCACCACCACCACCACCCCCACCACCAGCACCACCTCCACCCACCACCCACACCACCACCACCCCGACCACCACCACCCCCACCACCACCCCTTGTCCACGCCCCACTCCGTGACTCGTCCAGGTGAAGTGAGGGAGGGCGCAGCCTTTGGCGGCTCTACAGGTGAGTGACGCTCTCGGTTGTCATGGGCGGAGTGGCACGAGAGACGCCGTGAACCCGTGAGCTCCCGCGACTGCGGCCAGCCCCCCCCCCCCCCCCGCTCAGCGCGAGCAGTTTGCTTAGCCGGTGCGGTCGCCTGGTTACAAAATTGCACCATCCGAGCAACAAGCAACAGCAGAACCCTCTTCCCAGGCTAACAAATTGTGCTTCCTCCCCCCCTCCTACCTCTTACCGACAGGCCGTACAGGTTGCGCGCTGTGCCGCCGGTGTGATGCATGGTACCAGGGGGGTTCTCAGTTATCAGTGAGTTCATAGTCGTTGCAGTGGCGTGGTTTCGTGGGGATGCGCGTCGGGGCATCATAGGTGCAGAAGGGCTGTACGTGCAGGTGTTGGTGTGGGGAGTAGCGGCCGCTAGTGGCTGGCCAGGTGGACCACCTCTCCCCCACCTCCCGGGTAGGAGGGGAAGAGCAGGAGAAGGAGGAGGTGGTGGTGAGGGTCTCCGCCATGCAGCCGGACACCACGTACACCAAGATATTCGTCGGGGGCCTGCCCTACCACACCACGGACGCGTCCCTGCGCAAATTCTTCGAGGCGTTCGGAGAAATCGACGAGGCCGTGGTGATCACGGACCGGCAGACGGGCAAGTCGAGAGGATATGGATTCGTAAGTGTCGGCGCGTGCGCGCGCGTGTGTGTGTGTGTGTGTCGTCATCATCATCATCACCACCAGCATCACCACCAGCACCAACATCACCAGCACATTTAAATTAATTTCCCAACTGAATATTCGCGGGGTAGAGTGCAGTGGCTGGCACGTAACGTACACGTAAGCACAGCCACAGCGAGAGTTATACTGGACATGGTGTACCGGGTACAGATACATAATTTACGGATCGCCGACTCGGATAGACACGGCTGAAGTTAAGTCATGGAGTTAAGTCACGAAGTTAAGTCATGAGTTAAGTCATTAAGTTAAGTAATGGCGGGACATTTTAACGCTCTCAGAAACCTCTCGTGAAAGTAGTCTTTTGGTGACATTTCCATCCACCCAATTCCCTCCGTATGCTGACAAACGACGGGGTGACGAAATCAGCTGGTCTGCAGGCGCCAGATTGGATCGTTACGACAATCGTGAGAGGTGGCCGCGTCGGCTTGGCGAGGTTTATCATTCAGTAGTGGATTGATAACGGCTGATTTCACGTTGGACTTTGTAGAAGTGTATGCATATGTACATCTGTGCTGCAGCCCTAAGTACTTTATGAAGAGTGCTAGGTAAGATAGGAGGATGGCGAAGGCTGGGAGGCGCAATTAGGTGTTTGTCTTATCACGTGAGTGGGGATCGGTGGCGCAGTGGTTAGCGCACCAAGCTACGAAATCCGGCCTCTTGAGCTCAAATCCGGCTTGCGATGTCACTCACACTAGTGACATCGCAACCTGTCACGGGCCTCCCCTAGGTCGACTCAGCCATACCATTTTAAACGTCAGCACCGGGGAGAAAAAGGCGCTCGTGCGCCCTTGTGGGCCTTCGTAGGTGCTCGCAAAGAGCACTCACCGCAGCAGTCTGCATGAAGGCTTCACGGTGAGATCGTTGTGTTCGTGCAACGTGAGACTTCGCCCCGTACCCAGTGCGCATCGCTCATTCTGCGCGACGGCCGCTCCGCAACGCGTGCGCTGTGACAGCGTGGGCTGCAGAAGTTGTGACTTTCACTGAGCGGTGAATGATTGCGTCGACAAGCCCGGCAAAGCCCGTCCGTTAAGGGAGCCTCCCTTGCACGCGGGCCCACATGCGCCCGTGGATTCGTCCGCGTTCCGTTGCGTCGCGATCACAAGTCGCGGTGAGATTCGCGGTCGTGCACTCGCGGCCGTGGCGGTCACAATAAGAAATTGGAACTCGAGAAGCGAGCGGTGAACCACCGTGTGCTATGGAACGGCATCGGAAGAGGGCGTCACGGCATTGTTTACGAAGTCGCTTCGATATACGTGGGGGGAGGGGGGGTGGCTGCTCACGTGGCTTGCTGTAATCCAGCACTGTGCAGGCAGCAGCTAGTGTTGGTGGATCACCGCAGAGACGGTGTGGATAGCCTTGCTCGCCAGGAGAATGCGCTACAGCAAAGCGGGGAATGATCTCCATCTGTCGCATCTGTATCAGATACGAGCGTTGCCCCGCTCGGCTACTCGGGCGTCTTCCCCACGTGGAAACACGGAGTCACTTGGCCTCGACTTGTAGAGGACCGCAGAGCTTGGAGGTAGAAATCTGGCGCCAGCTCACCGCGTTGTTTGCTGCCTTCGTCCATGGTTCGACCTCGGGATGCCAGTCATCACCCGCCACGCTTGTTCGCCATGGTCGTGAGTCTAAAGGGGACGTGCATAAATGACGTCACGCACATGGGGGGGGGGAGGGGTCAGACATTTGTGACGATGTGTGACGATGGGGGGGTGGGTTGAGAAATGTGACGTCACATCAAAATGCGCAACTTTAAATAAATATAGACAACACATTATACTTAATTAAACATAATGTTTAATAAAAGTTTTTTCCTACAACAGCAGAGTACAGCGCCACATTAAAAACGCACTACAATGACAATAGTTTAACGCGATTTGAAGCATGTTTTATATATTTTTGGGGGGGGGGGGCAGAGCTTTGTGACGTCATATTTGAGGGGGGCTCTGACTTTTTGTGACGCCGTGTGACGAGGGGGGGGGGGGGTCAAAAATCGTCCAAAAACGCGTGACGTCATTTATGGACGGCTTCCTAGCGGAGTGCGCCAATCACTGCACCACCGCTCCCCTCACAACAATTAGAGCCACTATTCGCAAACCAAGTGACGGTGACGTAAGCATAGCGCTTGTTGTGCCAGGCTAGGTGCCCTTTGTTTTTGTGCCAGGCTAATACAACAAATACAAAGATTCCCTGTATAGCCTTAAACGACTGTTGGGGCAAGTGCTGTGAGAGAGCATCGACCTATGAAGGCGGGCACGGCACGCTAGGGGTTGGGTGGCAAGCACCACGCCCAGCCGCCTTTGTCTCTCCATGGCTGATTATTTTTTTTACACACAATGCACCAGGTACTCATTTAAGGCTGAGTCGACCTAGGGGAGAGGTCTAGTACCGGTTCAAAAATTCGCCGCTGTAATTGAATCACACAAAGACAAAAATCCCCGCTATAGCCTGAACAGATTGTAGGAGCAAGGGTTGTCAGCGGGCGCCTATGAAGGCCAGCACCACGCCCGGCCGCCTTTGTCTTCCTTGCGGCGATGTTTACGTACCACTGCACCAGGCACTTATTTGAGGCTGAGTGGACGTAGGAGAGGCCCAGGACGGGTTCAGATAATATTTCGCTGGTGTTAGCCGTCAGTGGGAATCGAACCCGTGTCGCCACGTTCGTAGCGCAGCGTGCTAATCGCTCCACACACGCGCGCGCGCGCAGAGGAACGCGCCGTTCCACACAGGCAACGCATATATATATATAACATCTCTCTCTGTCCAGCGTTACACTTTGTTCTTATTAATACCATCCGTGCGTCTGAGCGCATTTAAAAACCCATTACAATTACGATAATTAATAAATGGGCTGGCTAACGAGCGCGCGTGTCCAATTTGCGTTAAAATTGCCCTCGCCCAATAATGGGTAACCGTGATATGCATTTCATTTCATTTTATACACCACGAGCGGCGAATGAGGAGGATTTGACTCGCGGCCCTTAGACGAGGAAGGGGGCAATGGAGTGAAGGAGGAGTAGCAGCCCAGCCACCATCATCGCTCCACGCACTCATCTCGAAATTGCTTCGTAATTGCTTCAAACGCTCTCTCCAATTGCGAGCGGGGACACAAGAGCACGGGCTGTGTGTGTGTGTCTTTCTGTGTGTATGTCTCTGTTTTGTGTGTGTGTCTATGTTTCTCTGGTTGTGTATGTAAAACTGGAGCGTGCCACTAAAAGGTGGCGCCTTACCATCAGCCCCACCAAAACGAAGCACCTGACTGGGTATTTTGTACCATGGGACACTCCACCCCCATAACTCCCAATTGGTGATTGGGCAGTTGTGGAGAGAGTGGAGAGTTTCTCATACCTGGGCAGTGTGCTCATGACCGGCTCCGGTTTGGCAGCGGAGGTCTCACAACCGAATCAGTCGAGCGGCAATATCTTTTCATCGGTTGCATAACGCTGTGTGGTAGCTGCCTGGTCTGTCGCTCCGCACGAAGCTTCGGGACTTCTCAGCCACAGTCATTCCCTGCCTTCTCTACGCTTGCGAAACGTGGACCCCCCTAATGGAGCATCTTCGCGGGTTAGAAACATTTAGGCTGGCCTGCCTACGATCCATCCTGGGTTTGACCAGGCTGGATTGTGTGAGGAGCTTACAAATCTTTGATCTGGGCAAAGTCCCATCGGTGAGCTCCTCTGGCAGGCAAGGCTGCGTTGCTTGGGTCATGTAGCCCGCATGCCCAGCCACCGCATGCTTAAACAGATTTTGTCGGCCGGATCGAGGGGGCTAAACGGGCGCGGCACGGGCTGGAGAAGAGATGGAGTGATGTGGTACAGGAGGACGTGGAGCTGAGTGGACTTGCTGATGACTGGTACCGGCGGTGTCAAGATCGGTCATCTCGGTCAGTCGACCCGTGGCACCTGCTGGGTCTGCCCTGTTACCTCCTGTCGGCGGGCGTTCGACACTTCACGTGGCCTCAAGATGCACTTGGCCTGGCACAAGCGTCGTGGTGACGTCACCGCCACTTAGTGGTGAATGGCGGTTGTTGTTGTTATATGTCTGTTGCTTTGTGTGTGTGTCTGTGTGTATGTGTGTATGTCCCTGTTTTGTGTGTGTGTGTGTGTTTATGCGGGTGTGGAGTGGTAGTGGAGCGGTTACCGCGCTGCGCTACGAACGCGGTGTGCCTAGTTCGCTAACCGCTCACGGACACCAACGACACCAGTGACGATTATCTAAACCCGTCCTGGGCCTCGCATAGGTCGACTCAGCCTCAAATAAGTACCTGGTGTGACGTGTAAACATCGCCATTCGGGAGACAAAGTCGGCCGGGCGTGCCGCTGTCCACCCACCCCCTCGTGTGCTGTGCCGGCCTTCATAGGTGCTCGCTAACAGCACTTGCCCCAACAGTCGTTTAAGCCTACACGGGGGATCTTTGTCTTGTCTTTGTCTCTATGCACGTGTCCCTCCCTCCACGCGTCCCTCTGTCTTTCTCCTCGTGTCCCCCCCTCCGCCCTCCGCGCCAGGTAACCATGGCTGACCGTGGCGCTGCAGACCGCGCGTGCAAAGATCCCAACCCAATCATCGATGGTCGCAAAGCCAACGTGAACCTCGCCTACCTGGGCGCCAAGCCACGCATGCTGCCCCCAGGTGAGCCTCGGGGTGGTGGTAGGGGGGGGGATTCCGTCAATCCACTGCTGGATGAGTGCCCTTCCTATGTCATGCGGGTATTGTTGAAGATGTTTGACCATTCTTCACCTACGATGGCCAATGCCCCTTTGTGATGGCTGAATGAATGAATGAATGCACGTGCGTGGTGAAGCAATCATCACCATCGTCGGCCATGATTAATCCACTGCTGGATGAAGGCCTCTCCAAAGCGGATGCACGCCACCACCTCTGGTTGTACTGGGCGTGATGAAGTATGTATGGTCTACATCATTAGACCTCCTTTGCCAGTACCAAAATATACTAATAGGGTTTTTCCCCTTTTTTCTGGCAACAAAACTGAAACCTTTTACGAGGAATCATGTGTCCTTGAAGCCGTCTCTGGTGTGGACCAATCAGTTGCAAGGACAATGCATATATTATCAGAGTGTGTTTTTTGTTTGCATTTTGACCACAAGTATTATGGTTAACGCACACATGATTCCTTGTAAAAAGGTTTCAGTTTTGTTGCCAGAAATAAGGGGAAAAAACCCTATTATTATGTATGGTCATATAATCTCCATGACTGATCCGGCATGAGGAGGTCTTAATCCAGCAGTGGAATTGGAAAAAGGGATGTAAATGATAACATTGTGGATGACGCGGATACGCCGTCGTACGTGTTTATTTTTGCGCAGTCACTACTGACAATTCCACGTTTCTGTGACAGCGCGCAGTGCGATGGCGTCTCACTAGAGGGCGCTAGTGTTAGCGACCACGCCTGGATCACGGTCACGAATACATAATAATATCACGATGGTGATTGCTTATTGCAAAAGGGTGATTGGACGATGATTGAGTGGATTGATTGTGATGACGAGTGATTGATTGGTCGATAATTATGATGAATGAAATGCCGCTGATGATCAATTTCATAGTGACGGTCGATGTTGAATTATGATAAGCATTGATTGGGTGATGATGTCACGATGGTGGTGATTGAATAGGTGATGCTTAATTGGACTATTATTCGATTATCATAATAATGATCGTAACAATATGTGGTGTACGGTACGGTGTCTGATCATTATTATTTTACAATCATCATCATCTGCTTTACCCGGTCTGGCAATAAACCAGGAGGTGTTAAGATGTTCAAACACCAAATAGACACCTATTGCTCTGATAATATATGGGCATTGTCTTTGAAACGGATTAGCCTACACCAGAGACAGCAGCCTTCTTTAGGGCCCAGTCTCAGTCGTGTTATACCAGAGAACGCCAAAGGGCAAAACGGTCCCATAGATATCATCATCTGCGTCGACGTTTACCGCTAATTTAACTTATACCCTGGCAGTCATCACCCACGGCGAACTTCTTTCGCACCGTACGTAGCCAACCACGCTCATCAGAAGTGTGGAGGACGGACAACAAGACTAAGCACAAAAAAGCATATCTAAGTAAATGAGTTTCAACGTACTGTAAATTATTTAAAAGTCCATATAGCTCCAGTGGCTTCCTTACATCGGAAGAGCGTTCCAGACGGCCGCATGGTGCGCATCTGAATGCGCGCCATGCGGTGACCACCGTCTTTGCCCGGTGGCCATCCAAAAGCCGCCGGTGCGGGGATGACCGGGTAGTTTGCTCCTTGACGAGGTCAGCGATACACTTGTACATCTCGATTGAAGACTCATTTATTTATAACTGCTTCTTGTGTCGAGTTTGTTGTCTTTCCCACGCACCTCCGATTAGCACGGCTGGCTCCGTACGGTGCGAAAGTTCAACATACATACATAGACATAAGTTTAAAAAAAGTACACTGCCTTATCTAAGACTCGTATATGCACATCCAACTCGTGGGTCTAATGTCCACGAGCTGAACGTTGAGGCATGACCTCGAGCGCCGCGGCTGCGTGAGGATAGTAAACCGTGACGTCACACCGTCTCCAAAAAATGAGACGCGAGACGGATGCGGGCAGCAGCACTGGGCCACGAGCCACGAGGAGGCCTTCATTCAGCAGTGGATAGACAATGGCTGATGATTATTAATGATGATATCATGACGATGATTTCATTATGACGTTTGGTGATGATAACGATTTAGTGGATGATGATGCTCATCATCATCATCATGTGTTCTCGGCGTAAACGATAAGTGATGTGTGCACCACGAAGCGACACACGCAGAGTGTACAGGCGGTGCAGTTGCACTGGGGGACGAAGATTTGGAGGGGTCAGGCTATAAAAAAGGTTGGGGGACTTCTTAAACAGCCCCCCCCCCATATTTAATTCTTTTTTCTATTGGTTCCATCCTAACCAAGCTAACACCACGTGATCTCAATGTGATTTGTCTCTGCAGTAAAATCCCACAGAGCACCATGATATTCGACCAATTCCTTGTTTTAATAGATATATAATAACTGTAGATAATTGTATAGTACTCTCAGCATAATAACACCAACCAGATGAGATCCCATTGAGGCTACATTTAACGTTTCAATTGAGACGGGGATGAACCAAATGTAGTCCATTAATAGTAAGAATAATACTCTTTGGTTCTTTCGGTAAAACCACGTAGGTAGAAAAATAATAGATCACGACGTTTCGATCGTCATCAGGTGGGACAACCACAGCAAGAAAAAACTGTGGTTCTCCCACCTGATGACGATTGCTTGTGTTGCCATCGAAACGTCGCGATCAATTATTTTTCTACCTCCGTGACTTTACCGAAAGAACCAAAGAGTATGGATTCCTGCAGTCACGAAAGCTTCAAATCAAGTAAGAAAAATGTTCAGTCCTTTGTCTCTCCACTGCTGAACGAAGGCCTTCAATACGCCATGTCAGTGAGTTGGTCAAGTGGCTGGATGTTCCAGGACCTGTTTAGACATCACTCGCCACTGATGTTAGCCGTGGCCGGGAGTCAAACTCAGTTCGCCGGCTGCATTAACGTCTTGTGCTAATCACCGCCGCACCATCCTCGCAGTAGCGGCGGCTTTTGGATGGCCATCGGACAAAGACGGTCACTGTGTCGCGTGCTTTCAGATGTGCTTAAGCGGTCGTCTGGAACGTTCTTCCTTCCGATATTAGGAAGCCACTGTAGTCATGCACTTGTACAGCTAGATTGGAAATTAATTTCTTTAGAAGTCCTTGTTGGGTGTGTTTAGTGTGTTGTCCTTCCCCCTGCACCTCCGATTAGCACGGTTGGCTACGTACGGTGCGAAAGAAGATCAACATACATACATAGCAATTCGTACAAGCACAGGTACACGTATACTCTACCGACGTAAAATGAGAGCAATATTAAATCACCGCAGGATGAATAATACGGATTTGTTGAACGAGCGCTAGAAAAACACGACGTCAATCTTAACAAAACAGTACGAACGGTAATAAATAAACAATTGCTGTATTGCATGTTGTATTGTTTGACGAGGATAAAATATCAATCGGTGAATTGAATTAGCACGCTAAACAATGACGCTGGGTCTGTACGACATGTAGACAGGCCATCGTTATTACCATCATCCTGCTATTGATTTGTTTAAAACACAGTTCACTTCGAATTATTATAATTCAAGACGCAAACGTAGCGCTGATTCACCCAGTAGAGCAACAGCCGTGCAGAAAACCTCAACACATTCCTCAATAACACTGTGGCCTTAAAAGGAAACAAAAATAGGAGTGGACGCTTCGAACAATAGCACTTCTTCACAGCAAATTTATATGATTTTCCATGGTTTTATTTGCCATGTAGAAGGGAACATTTCCCGAAACGCCATCTATCTATAATATATGTGTTACGTTTAAGTGCCACGGTGTTAATTGTGCTTGTGCACCATTGCCAAACAGCAGCAGCAACAGCGTCATCACCAAATCGCGTGTTAATTTTCTTTTCAAAGTAGACTCTACAGTACGTGCACTATCCAGGCTCAAAAGCCTGCCCAGCTTCCGAGACCTGACGACGTCAGCTAGGAATTCAGTAAGGATTATTCGGTCATAGTCAATCAGCATCGGCGCGCTTTTATTCATTTGTCACACAAGCTCTCCCTCATCATCCTCCCCTCCGGTGGCCCCTGAACGCCATTCAGACGGGCCCCGTGTCAACGCGACTGTGCTTGGCCGTCTATAAAAATAGCCCCCCCTGCCCCCTGCCAAAGTCCACGCTTGTCTCTTGCCGAGCAAAGATCGTGACATCCCAGGAGCGGGGACTGAGTTTAAACCAAAAGCAATCGCTCCAAGTTCGTCTGACTAACGCGCACTGCCCTTTGCTCCTTTGAAGGTTTTGCCCTGGGAATTCAACACATCCTGCCCCTGCCGAGGCCGTACGGGTGAGACGCTCATGGTGCCCTGGCCTCCACACTGCTGCACAACACGTAGTACACACGACACTACACAATGCACTATACACCACGCAACACCAAAGAGAAATATCCCCCCTATAGCCTTTTTTAAAGACTGTCGGGGCAAATGCTGTTCGCGAAGGCCGGCACGGCACACGAGGGGGTCGGTGGCCAACACCACGCCCGGCCGTCTTTGTCTCCCTAGTCGTGATGTTGACTAAACACCGAATTCATTTGAGGCTCAGTCGACCTAGGGGAGGCCCAGGACCGGTTCAGATAATAGTCACCGGTGTCGACGTTGAACGAGAATCAAACCCACACACTGCAACGCCACACAATTACACCACACAACAACACCACACAATACATTACAGAATACACTACACTATACACTACACTATGCACCGTGCCAGTATGCCACACGCCACAACACACACAGCAGGCAAACATCACAACACACACTACACCACACAGCACTAGTATGTAACACAATACAAAAAGACGTCCTACCAAACATCACAACGCACCACGTAACATAGCATACTGTACCAGTACACCATGCACGTACCATAACGCACAATGTACCCCACATCACACCACACATCGCACCACGCCACGGCTCATTGTTAATTCACTGCTGGATGAGCGCCTCCAAGCAACCCGTGTCTGTCGTGGGAGTCGAATTGGTCATACTTCACCACGATGGTGAATGCATATTTTGAGCAGTTGTTTTGGGTGGCTGGGATCCCAGACGGGACCAAAAGCACGTGCAAATCACTCGCCGGCGATGTTAGCTGTGGCCAGGAATCGAACTCGGGTTGGTGCAGGTCAATTGCGAAAGCCTCGACATGACCACCCCCCTCCCCCCTGCTGCACAGATGCTGTGATTGCAAATGTTAACAATCCCCACGGTAAGACGGGCAGCCATCGCTTTCACCCTCTTCAGTCACGTGCTGAGAATCAAGTAGCAGAGTCGTTAACAGACCAGTGGGGTGTCCGTCAAACGATCGCCCGGGAGCGTCAATTCAGCAGATTAGGAGCTCCCTGAAACGCGTTACTCGCCAATGAGTGTCGACCCGCGAGCCGTATCACTTTTATTTACATCGCAGCATCGCGAGAGGGTGTTTGCGGCGGCTTTCATCCAGCAGCGGATTGACCATGACTGACGATGATGATGGTGGTGGTGGTGACGCGCCTTTGACGGGGAACCACAAATCTTATCGGCTTCCAAGCGGCGCGTGACCCCCAGCTCCAGCTCATGGAGCCGCCAACGGCAATTCCCATTTAAGGGGCCTTTGCAGACAGAATGTTCAACACGGCCATATAAGGCGTCTGGTATACACAGTGCAAACGGGCACAGTCGCCGTTTCACTGTAGGGGCGTGGTTTTTTTTTTGGGTTGAAATGTTAATATTTAAAACAAAATTAAAGGTCACAGCAACAGCTGTGGCAGGCGGTATTTAAAGTTCTCACTGCACGTTTGGATAAGTCACCACGTTACAAAACGTACGTCACAGTACAAGAGTGCGGAACTTTGGTGATACATTGCCACGTTGGCAGGTGGTGGTAAAGGCACAGATAACAGGGGGCTCGATGCCATTCGTCAATTGAACTGCTGGCCCCAGAAGGGGAAACTCTATTAAAAGGCGACGTTTCAGGCAACCGGCCCTTCTCAGAGCGGGAGAGCTCAAGGACCCAGTGCCCGATTCACCACGTGTTTACACTCTCTGTCAGGAAGTGTGATCGACAAAAGTGCGATTGCCAAATGAGAACGCACGTGGCACGTGTGCGCGGGTGAATTATACTCGTGAGTTGCCTGCGAATGTGTTGAGTTTTGAGTCATTTGTGAATGCCGACTTCTCTTGTGGACTTCGCTCCGGGGGCATTAATGACGCAGTTTTAGCCGCGGTAAAGTAATGTTGTTGTCAATGATTCCTATGGCACGTGGTTGTTATTTCCCGTTCGGGGGAAATTAAATCCGTGCCTGGAAACAAAAGTGGTGGCCGCGAGGCCGTTTGCGGCCGGTCTCCTGCTCCGCATGGCTGATGATGATATAGAGAGAGCAGCAGCTGTGGTCGGGCCAGATGATTGCGTTCACGAGCCGCGGAGTGGTGAATCGCTGCTGTGGCGATGCCTCCTCCTTCGTATGGATAGATCCCTGTGTGAGCCTATGGGTCTCGGTGTAAGTCAATGGGTCTTGGTGTGAGTCAATGGATCTGAGTGTAAATGTATAGATATCTGTGTGAAGTCTATGGGTCTCGGTGTAAGTCAGTGGGTCTCGGTGTGAGTCAATGGGTCTGCGTGTAAAAACTATAGATATCTGTGTGAGTCTATGTGTCTCTTCGTACAGGAAAGCCTCACCGCGTCTCAGGGCTCGTTTACAGGAGGGTCTTGCGGAGTTCCTTTTGGCAGCACGGGGCGATGCTTGCGATGTGCTCTACGTTCAAATTGAGTAATGTAGGGGTGTGATTTTTTTCTTCCAATTTGGACCGTGACGCTGGGCACACACAAATTGCCTATTTTTAGGAGTGACCACACTGAGCCTTCCACGTCCGCTGGGGGCAAACTCGGCAGTAATAACCCGGGGCGGCCGCAGAGTGCCGAACCGTGAACCTCCGCAATGTCCACCGCCGTGCCGTTCCTGCCATCACCACTCCCAACTAATTTCCCTACCTCTCTACCTCCCTCCTTCCCCTCCCTCCCTCCCCTCCGTCCCCTCCCACCCCCTCCTTCCCTCCATCCCTCCCCTATCTCCCTCCCTCCTTCCCCTCCATCACCTCTATCCCTCCCCTCCTTCCCTCCCTCCGCTCCTTCCCTCCCTCCCCTATCACCCTCCCCTCCCTCCCCACCTCCCTCCCTCCTCTCCCTCCCTCCCCTCCCTCCCCTCCCCACCTCCCTCCCTCCCCACCTCCCTCCCCACCTCCCCACCCTCCCTGCCCTCCCCTCCCCTTGCGATTCCACCCGGGGGCGTCTGCGTCTCCGCGCCAGTCTCTCCGCCCAGTACCTCTACCCGCCGCAGTTCCTGCCGCCGGGCGTCTTCATCCAGACGCCCGGCGGCTCCCCCACGGGAGCTCCCCTCAACCCCTTCCTCGGGGTCGACTACTCGGGCGCACTCTACGCCCAGTACGCCCACGCCGCAGCCGCCGCCGGCACATTCGAGCAGTCGTACCCCTACGCCGCGTCGCCCGCGCCCGGCGGGTTTGCCCTGCCGCCTCCCCACGGCTACCACCCGCAGCAGCCGCCGCCGGGAAGCTTCGCCGGCCCCGGGGGGTGCCAGCAGCCGCCGCCTCCGCCGCCGCCGCCGTTGGCCGCGGCTGCTGCGGCTGCTGCGGCCGCAGCGGCAGCAGCAGCAGCGCACGCGAGCGGAGCGACCGGCGGTGGGCTGCTGCCTCAAGTGTTCGGGCATTTCCAGTCGCCAGGGGAACGCATCTGAGCTGCCCCCCCTTCTTCTTCTGTGCTGCGATCAGCTCCGCAGTACCCCCCGCCTCCTCCTCATCATCTTCATCATCATCAACATCATCAACATCATCTTCATCCACCCTCCTCGTCAGGGCTTCATTTCGGATGGAATATTGTCTGGAGCTGCCTGACTTTTAACAACTCCTCGGAATCGACCACCAACCCCCTCCCACCACACCAGCGGGGGAAGGGAGACATATTTTCCGGAGCTCGCCCCGTTCAGCTCCAGCAGACATTAAGCCCCGCTCCTGCTTATTCCCACCACCATCATCATCATCATGATCCTCCTTGGATGAACAAGGGATGCATTGGGTGCAGGTGCTGCCCTAGCACGTGACCTTCTATAAATTGGTGCAGACTAAAACTCAGGGGTAGGGCGTGACACCATCAATGCAAAAGAACAACTTTAAACAAACGTCTTAAATAATTTAGAAAGTGAGGCTCAGCCTTCTCTACCCCCCCCCCCCCAATTCAATGTTACAGAACCAGCTCGTATGTGAATGTGTTTGGAAGTGTTACATTACAGAAGGTGTTTTGAAAGCCTGAGGCCCGCCTCCCTCCACGTGGCCATTGCTGAGGCCACCTTGGAGCTAAGGCCCATGGAAAAAAACCATCCCGGCGTGCTCTCCACTCTCTGTGGCCCTCGACACGACTACGTCTGAATCGGACGAACAAAAACACAGGGCATTGAAGATCATCGTCGGCTGTGAACTATAGATTGTTCACGCATTTGCCGTTGTACGCGTGAGTTGTCAGATTTAAAAAAAATGTGCACCCAATACAGCAATCCAGAGAGAAGAACAGAACCCAATGAAAACGCGAGTGGAAGGCAACAGAGGGCTGAGGACAACGGACGAAGAGGTGGACTGATGATGGGGAGGAGGAGGAGGCATCGGAGTAGATACATCACCAGCAGATGGGATATGATGATGATGACGACGATGATGATCGCCAACAGTTCAAGTTTATTTGTGTAACCAGGTGAGAAGTGGAACAACCGCGATGAGTCCCATTCGCGAGAGTGACCTGGGCCACAAAACATTACCAAAGCAAAGCAGATATATTAAATATAAATATATATAAAGTGCAGCGACGAAACAAAGAGGAATGAGGGCAAAAACAACTGTGTCAACAGTGGCGGACGGCTGCTGCTGTCAGAAGTTCGCGGATCCAGTGGCGTTCGTAAAAAGGGCTGAATGAGAATAGAGAGACACGTGCGTTGTATGTCATTTACATGTGTCGTATGTCACGTGTGTTACATATATATGTGAAGAAAACGCATTATGCTCTGTTGGGGAACAGTATGGGTTTTATATATCTAGGTGTGGTAGATCAAAGGTTGAAAACTCACTCGTTAGAACTGCTTTGTTGTCCTACCCCCGCACCTCCGATTAGCACGGTTGGCTACGTACGGTGTGAAGGAAGTTCAACATACATACAAAGGTCTGGAGGCAAGGGTTGGTGGATAATATCGGTAATTTAGAACTCCTGAAATTCGCTGATCTGCGAAGTGGTGGCCAGGAGACTAGCAGTACAGCAAGTGTGTTCAAGAACCTATCCGTGCAGAATGTTATCTCCTCGCAAGAATGATGGTGTCTTGCAATTTATTCCCGGATACAAAAAATAAATGCTCGTTAAAGGGAAATTGGCCAAACATCGCCAACTATACTCAGCGATGATGATCTCCTTAAAAAAAAAAAGTTTCTTGTAGCATTCTGGGTAATACATTAAATAAATCGCCTTCCATTCTGTATCCTCACATAAATATAAAGTATTCCGTAAGTCTGTTGACCTTAGGACGTCCAGAATTGAGTAAATAGTCAGTATTTGTTTAAGCCCACGAACTTTGAACTGGTTTCACCTTTTCATCGGTGGCTCATCAGCAGGTTTCAGGCATGGCACACGGATGTTGCTGGCTTACCGGGCGTCATTGGTGCGTGGCCCCTCTCTACACCCTCGGTGGTCACCCAACAAAAATGTATTGCAAAACATTTCACAAGGCATTACATTCGGGCTGATGCAACGAATGACTAATTCTTCATTGGTACGTTAAATGAATCACTTTCCAGTCCCATAACTCCACAAGATCGGCCTTCCAAACTCGTGTTTAACCAACAGCATAATTTGTTGGAACACGCAAACTCTTTGCCCGGATGCACCCTTCTTCGGCTCATCAGCAAAGTCACGGCAGCGAGATGTTAACTACCTCGCCTGGTATACAGGAGGTCGTGGGTTCGATCCCGACCCGGACGCCTGCTGTATATTTGAAGTTTGCGTGTTCTCCCCGTGATCGCGTGGATTTTTCTCCGGGTCCTCCTGTTTTCTCCTGCACATTTAGAATCAACATCACGCGTTTTAGAGTATGTGGCTGCTATACATTTCCACATGATAAGTCCACTTCGTTGGCGCTATCATTTGTGATGGGCAGGTGTGCTTCTGAAAAAAGAGCTGTATATATATGGAGCTCAGTGGGTCTTAGCTGGTAAAATAAAAAAAAATAGTTTATAGTTCAAAGACTGCTGCTGGTGTGCGCACTGCGTTTGCACAGGCTGCGTCTGCCCTTGTACAGTGCTTAATTTATCTTTCGCGAAGTCAAGCGGGCACTGTTTGTCAGCGAGGCTGCTAAAGCCTTCCAATCGTGAAGGAATCATCTGTAGAGGAAATCACTCGAGTGACATCCGACCCAGTTATGAAGTCAAAATAATAACGGTAGCAGGACTCTAATGAAGTCAGTTTAACACGTAGGCTTTCGCGACCAATATGCATAATACAGGTTTTTTTGGGGGGGTTAGATCGCGTAAATATAAATGTGTCGTAAAACCCGCCACCACCCGACACAGACAATTATTAAGGGGTTTATCACGTAAACAGAACATGCCAGTTCGTCACTAGTACAGCACACCGGTGTGTTGGAGAGAACATTCACAACATTTACAATCTGAGGACGACGTTTCGCCAGTAATTACAACCGGCATGATCAGGCAGCAGCCAGATCTGTAATGTAGTCCTCTTCACGCCGTGTCGGTCTTGGGGTGGTCGTTTGACCATACTTCACTACGCCGGTCAGTGCCGGTTGATGAAATAAAAGTTGGCAGTGGAGCGAATTCAATTTGATGACCGGCTCAGAGATCACTCACCACTGATGCTAGTGCGCTAATCACCGCGCCACCACTCCGTCCCGGATAATTAAAGTCCTTACGTAATTATGACATCGATGATAATGGTGCTTAATATGTTTGCGTTTTGGCTACTGGTGTGATAATGAGACTTAATCAAACGAGCTGCAATTAAGCAATTGGCTTATATCGGATTAGCTGTTTTTTTCTTTTTGGCACCTAGCCGTAATCTCCCGGCTGTCTGTCACGCCTGAACCCACGCGTGCCGGTGACGCTGGCAAAGGCGTCTGGCTCATTGATTGTTCTGAGCAAACTGCGCGCATTTCCGCAGGGAAACTGTTGATGCCTGATGGGCAAAGGAAAGATATTGCCAGTCCACTGCTGGACGGAGGTCGCCCCATGCCGTGGCGGATACGAGAGGGGTGGTTTGACCGTACCTAAGGGGCCGTCCATAAATGACGTCACGCACCTAGGGGGGGGGGGGTCAGACATTTGTGACGATGTGTGACGAGGTGGGGGGGGGTTGAGACATGTGAGGTCACATCAAAATGCGCAACTTTAAATAAATATAGACAACACGATCTACTGAATTAAATCGACTTTTTAATAATTTTTTTCTCTTACAAAATCAGAGTGCAGCGCCACATTAAATACGCACTACAAGTACAATAGTTTAAAGCGATTTGAAGCATGTTTTTTTTTGGGGGGGGGGGCAGAGCTTTGTGACGTCATATTTGAGGGGGGGGTCTGACTTTTTGTGACGCCGTGGGACGAGAGGGGGGGGGGGGCTCAAAAATTGTCCAAAATCGCGTGGCGTCATTTATGGACGGCCCCTAACCACACCGAACTCAGGTCTTAATCATTGCACACACAAAGCGCTTGCCACAAATGAACCACAACTCCTCGCTGATCTCGGACAAGGAGCATCAACCATCATCACGGGAACTACCGGTGGTCATCCTCGCAGCGGCAGTGGCTTTTGACTGGACAATGAACACAGACGGTGGCCACCGCATCGCACGCTTGCAGGTGTCTTTCTGCGGCCGTCTGGACCGATGTCAGCTCGTAGCTGGAGATTGAACTGAGCGCGTCAGGCTCGTTGTGCAGAACGATGCCTAAACAACTGCCCGACTGCTTCTCACCACATGTCGATACAAAAAAAAAACCTGAAAATTAAAAATAGAGGATAAAACATTAAAAGATGTCCATAATGGTGCCATCCATTATTAAAGGATTATAATGAGACAGCACTTAGAGCACCAGGTCGATACATTTACAAAACAAAGACAAAGATCCCCCGCACAGGTTTAACATACTGTTGGGGCAAGTGCTGTTAATCGGCACTTATGAAGGCCGGCACGGCACACGAGGGGGTGGTTGGCCAGTACCACGCCCGGCCGCCTTTGTCTCCCGAATGGCGATGTTTACATACCGCACCAGGTACACCTTTACGTATGTATGAACTTCTTTCGCACCATACACAGGCAACCGTGCTAATCGGAAGGTAGCGTATGTCATCACCTTCATCATCATTAGCACGGAAGATCACTCCGCTGCTGAATTAAGACCTCCCCCCAAGCCATCGCCACCCCTCACGGTCCTATGATGTAACGATCAAGCCCAGCACGTGCACGCGAGCTGATTTTCATCGCTCCATCTCGTCCTTCATTGTGATTTATAACATTTTAACGCGTGTGTGTGTGTTAGGCCATGCGAACAATTACATGTTTCTATTGGAGCTTGGACGATTAATTTGGTTAATCGACGAAATATTTTGAATCGATCATTTTTTGCGGTGGCCGTCCTGCCGCGCTGCTTCCGACCTTATTACAGATCAATTCAGACTTCACTGGTCACCCCGTACCCTTATACATCTCAACTTTCATCCTACAAAGTCCCATCACAAGGGAGAAACACGAACAAATGGACAAAAAACGTGCCCTATTGAAACAAAAAAGTGCCCTATTGAAACGGCTGTACGCCGTATGGACCTTAAAACTCAATTTCCCTGCACAACAATATGGGCAGACCGTATGGGTTGACAGGTATGAAGGCGGGAAACCACCTGCAAGCCACGCCCAGCGTGACGCATTTATATGATGCCTATGACGTCACCAAGGCCTGCCCCATCACCTCCCATCCAGGGGCACATGTGGGAATTGAGGGATGACTTCGTTTTTTCTCCCCAACCATGAATGTTATCCGATTAAATCGAACCGATAGGTCGTAGAGTCATGGATTACTTAAAATGATCGTATTATAGCCCCAGCTCTGGGCAATTCCAAAAACATTCCCAGCAGACACTGCGTGATGTTTCATGTTATTTTTATTAAGCCAACGCTGACATTCGCGAATGAGATTTATGCATTAACCCCACGTGCTCTTACAGAACAAAGGCGATTGTTTTAGGTTGAAGAGGAATAACGTGGAGACATTGTGACCGGTTCTCCGTGGTTGGAGATTACTCGGGCCCGTTAAATACGATGACATGCCTTCTTTGCACGGTGTGTGTGTGTGTGTGGATCTGCGTATGTATGACGGGTGAGGAGCGGTAGTGTAGTGGTTAGCGCGCTACGCTACGAACCCGGCGTCCCGAGTTTGATTCCCGCTCACGGCCACCACCGGTGACGATTATCTGAACCGGTCCTGGGCCTCCCCTAGGTCGACTCAGCCTTAAATGAGTACCTGGTGTGATGTGTAAACATCGCTACTGGGGAGACAAAGACGGCCGGGCGTGGTGTTGGCCACCCACCCTCTTGTGTGCCGTGCCGGCCTTCATAGGTGCTCGCTAACAGCACTTGCCCCAACAGTCTGTTAAGGCTACACGGGGGGCCTTGGTCGTTGTATGATGGGTAGACGTGGTCACAGCGGTGGCTGTTGAGTGAATGCGTGTGAGCGTTAATATTAGGTGTATACACTTGATAGAATTTAGACCGTGGTGGGATGAATACACGACGGGAGATTAGAAACGTTAGCATAGGTGATGTTATTATATTGTATTATTAACGTGGTAATGTGTAAGTACAGTACCACCGTTACACCATGGAAACAATGCATTATTGATAACCCCTCTGTCACTGTCTGGCTGGGTGAAAGCCGCTCAATTATATGTTGATCATGGGGCTTTGTTGACCATACTTCACCACGCTGGTCATACGATGGATGGTGAAGATAGAGGCTTCAGCACCGCTTCAGGTGTCATTCACCACTAAAACTCACCTTGGCCTGGAATCGAACTCAGGTGGCCGGGTTTATGATGCTTTGCTCTAACCACTGTATCATCGCTACGCTACTACCACGGTAATTGCCTACAATTATCGTATGTCATATACAAAATGACATAAAGGTCTTTGCAACAACAAAAACATTTCCATTTCCTTGTTGGCTAGGGGCTATTAACATTTATAATGTATGAAAGCATTAAGTTATGAAATTACACAGCCCCGCTTCCACACGACGCATATGTGAGTTAGGCATAGTGCAAGCATTTATGCTATATTCCACATACTAACGTTTGTTAACAGTAGGTATGTTAATAAGGTTATCGATCTTTTTAATAAATATATTCATTGGTATAATAAAAAAGTGTGCGTTCCAATTTGTGGTTTAATATCACAATCACGCGTCAAACACGAAAGGCTCAGCTCCACCGGTGTATTTTTCAAATTTATTGCATTTTCCTACTCGAGCGGTATTTTAATGGGATGTTTGTCATGCTCGGTTGCCATTATAAAATTTGATTCCTGAATCAATCTGTGTGGAGCTTTCAGTGTAACCTGCTCGTGTGTTGTGGTGGGGTTTTGCCTGCCTCTCTGGTTTCCTCCCACTCGAAGCCACACATTTGTTGGTGGAATTGGCCAAACATCGCAATGCAGCGGGGGGGGCCCTCGTGAAACTCAACGAGGCTTTCCTGGGTAAAACGATGACATTAATGTTATTGTTGTTGTTTGTAAAGTTTAGCCGGTGAACCTCTGTTCAGGCCATCACGTTACAAGAGGTGGTGTGGCCCACAACATACACACCCCGCCGCCTTTGTCTTCCCAGGATTGGTAATGACGACCAATACTGACACCATGTGCTACTCATGTTCGGCAGAGTCTACCGAAGGGAGGCTCAATCCACGTTCAGGTAACTAAGCGTCGACTTGTTTCTGGCGTGGTGGAGAACACCTCTTAGCCCGGGACCCGGCTCCAGACAGGGTTGATGGATCGTGCTGAGATCATGTCTGTAAAGCTTCCGGAAAGTAACAAAAAAACTCAAACACATTCGGTAATAGCACTGCCTTTAAATGAAATAAAGATATAATTATCGATGTTTGGGACAATGGACCTTCATGGCAAGTCGGTCGCAGTAGCGAATTCCCCACCTTCAAATAACCGCCCACTACCCACGTGGTGTGGGGAGGCCCTCATCCAGCAGTGGATTGACAGAGTGGTCGACACAGCCCGTGAAACGGTGGCATATGTCATATCGGTACAGTACTTCACACAGCACCAAACATATATCCGGGGCTATTTCCAGAACGTTTAGACCTGAAGTAGGACTTTATTATTTTGGGAGGGGAAATGGCAGTTAGCATGAGCTGTAGAACGAACTGGCTGTGCGTGTAAGTGTGGTCAATACTCTTCCGTCTCATGCGTGGTTTGTTCTGTGAGCACTTTGGTTTCCTGTCAAATGCACGCTTAGAACGAGGAAATTAACTTTTACCCAAAATTCTCCTGCGATGCATTCAATCAGGAAGTTCAGTAGGCCAATGGAGTAAATGGGGTCTTATTTTGGAGGCCATTAAATAATTCAGTCCACCTTCCCCAGAAATGTCGAAAAATAGTCCTCACGTGCGTGAATTTCAGCAGCGGTTCTCATTTGGGTAAACTGGTCTCTGCCGTAGCAATGTGGAATTTCCATCACTGTTCTCAGGACAGCCAATGTTGATGAGCACAGTCTCATTAGGCTCGTGCGAATGATTGTGGAATTGGTAGAACAAGTCTACACTCCTCCATGCTGTTTTCGGCGTACTTTTCAAATATTTTATTCCGTTATCTTTGTCAGCGTATGGAAAGAAGCATGCAGAGGTACATATTTGGAATTACGGGAAGGACACATTGATGTAGTCACATTGACAGTTACAAAATACATGTAAGTGGGCTTGAGTAAGACACGCTGCTTGTACGGACGATCGCCGGTGGTCAAGACTCATGACGGAGTGGCAGCCAAAGGTAGGGAAACGCATTCGAGCGGACATCCAGCATGGAAATTAAGTGATAAAATCCGCTCATTTGCATGTTCCAAATGGATCGATGCTTCACAAGACCGAGGCCTTTATCCAAAAGTGGATTGGTCATGCCTGTTGATGATGATGATGATCGAGGAAAGCCACACCGAGTCTCAAGACTGTTTTTCAGGAGGGTCCTGCAATGGGTTGTTCGACCAATTGCTATTCACTTGTTCCACTCTACAAATATTGGAAGAGCCAACTGCCTTCCTTTCTCTGCATGTTCGGATGCCAGAGAACCAACTATTCATATGAGCATGAACATTATGAGAACATTGATGTATAGCTTCTATTCATGGTGCTGAATACATGCACCTCCTTAATACCTGCAGACATCAACTGCATTACCAAGTGACAATCCGTTGAGACGAAATTTCTCTGGATGGAAGATCTGCAAAAAAGAGATGCCAGTGTCAGTACGTACATTTTTGCGCCAGTTATTCACTCGTGAATCGGCCTCTAATAAGGTAGGGCAACTGATAAGGGGTTGGCAGGAATGGGGTTCGTAGCGCAGCGCGCTGACCACTGCGCCACCGCTCCCCCCGAATGACCCCCCCCCCTCCCCCCATAGCCCCTCCCCCCCATAGCCCCACCCTTCTCCCCCATAGCCCCACCCCTCCCCCCCATAGCCCCACCCCTCCCCCCCATAGCCCCACCCCACCCTCTCATACGGAACGCGGAAGTAGTGCGGGAGGCATTCTGGGGAAGCGCATCGGCGAACTGAACTCTGCTCCTTACGGTATCTGCAGCTCGGGTTGTGTCGGGCAAAGTTTCCTCGCGCGGGGTATCTCTAACACACAACCCTCCCTCCCCTCCCCCAGCATCTTCACGACCCTTGCAGGGCAGCGCGCGCCGTCTGAGTGCTTGCAGCTGCATCGCCGCAGTGTGTTGGCAGCCACGGTCCGGCGGTAGGCCGCAGCCGGCGTACGGGCCCTCCCCGTTTTCCTAGCCGCCGCTGCCGGGCTTTAGGGCGAGGTAGGCGGCGTGGCTTCCCACATCGGTGCCGCTCACTCCACCTTGAGCCGACGAAACGCAATCCGTCGAAGGGACGGAGTTAGCTTTGCAATGCTGCCAAGTTTGCAGAGACGTTGTGAACGTGTTGTATTGCTTGTGGAGATGTTAAAATGTTTGAATCGGCGAGGACGGGTGGGGCTTTGGAGGCGGAAATGGAACGCCGGAAGGGCGGGTGCCTCTGAGCTCGCTTGAGTCGCCACTAACCCACCACCACCACCACTACCCCCGCGTCAATCTGTTAAACAGCATTAAGTCCTTTAACCAATTTGGTAAATATTTGCGACTGGTTTCAAAACGATTGTAAGTTCGTTTGTGTTGTTGTAAAGGAGTTAGGTTCGGAAAGTTCGTGCAGGGCTGAAGACTGTGCTAACCACTCGTACCTTCTGTATGTGATTTGAGTCTGTAAATATTATTTTCTTGTCTATAAATCAACGTTTACGTGCATTCTTACGGTTATTAGTATATTATGCATAGCGTTACTGTGTTATCCTTGTGAGTGTGTCTATTATTCGTAGTATTGCAGATGATAATACTATTCGCGCAAGCAGGCATTACTCTATAACTATTATATTATTCCTCTTCCTGCATTACTCTTGTTTGTAGGATATTATTACTCTGAGGCTATAATAACTAGTTTAGATTGTACTTTTAGATTGAATATTTGCTCGCCCAGGGTCGTGTGGGTTTTAGGGCTGTCAATTGTTCTAAGTTGTTTGCAAGTTGCAGTTTATAGTTGCTTGGATATTGACCCTCTGGCCTGTAAATGTCCCTCCGATCTCCCTTCCATCGTTTTCTCGTCTTTTCTCTTAAGTAACACTGTTACAACCCACATAATTCCTGGAAATAAACTATGGTTTACTCTTGCCCCCTCCCCCCCCCCCCCCCACTTTGTTTCCAAGATATCGAATGTTACCATGTTGTTATCTGTAGTGCGTCAAGAGATGCACGCGTTGCGAATGTGAATTCTAACGCCAGCCGGGTTGAATGACACGTTAACGTAAAGTCGTAAACGCAGGGTAGAACGCGTTATTATTACTCAAAAGCTCTTGCTTGATGCAAATCACTTCCTGGAGGAACTAGGGTTTCTTACGCATTTAATGAGTGCAGTTGGTTTTCGCCGCGTTTTACTTTTATGTTATAAAAAGACTACAATAATTTAAGTTTGGTCGTGTGCTTAGAAAGTAGTGTGGTATGTTTGGGGGAAACTACGAGCTCTTTTTTAAGATAAGACTGTTTCCCCTAGAAGTCTGGGACGAATAGGGAAATATCTCTTTCCTTGTATGTGTTTTAGCGTGCACCGTATCTGCAAAGTGCACCTAGCCTGGCACAAACACCGTGGGGACTTCACCACTTAGTGGCGCTTGTTTGTGTGTGGGAGTGAATTTCAAAGTTGTCTTTTCGCTCGCGTGCGTCGTTGTGGAGACGTTTATGCTGCGTGTGTATTTTGACTTTGTAGACTCATGCGTTTTCAGCTTCCCCGATATTCGTTTAAACCCAACTTGGCAGTACACTGTACCGGTAATTGTTTTAAAACAGTTGAGCAGCAGTCACAGGGCGCGGCTCCCGCATCGGGAGGTTACAAATTCACATTCTCAGCGGAGGGGTCAGACTCAACCATCATCCCTCTATCTTCCTGCAGGGGTCTTTTTTTTATTACACGCTTTCTTTTAACTCACTCTGTCTGTTGTTGTCGTTGTTCTATCCTCAAATCTTGTAACTCAATTTTAACCCACTTCCCAATGTGGTATCGACGGCAAACTTGGTATACTTATGTCATGCTGATGACAATACTACATTCTAGCATAAACATTTTCAAAATACATATATTTTTTATAACATTATTTTTTACATGTTATGTTTCGGCTTGGGTCTAATTGTCCACAGTCAACTGACGTTGGCTGTAATTGGCCACGGCCCCTTACGTTATGGCAAGCTTCGGGACCACTTCCTGGAGTCGTGGAGTTCTGCCATTACTCGTACATTTCATAAAATCGTGTTTTTAAAAACGTTTTTTAAAATATTACTTATTTTAAAATATTTCCCGCAGTATGCGAACCGAACAACAGTTTCACCTATGATAGGGAACGACTCGCTCCCACCACAGGAATGTGGAATGTTCATTACTGGCTCGGGGCTATTTGAAGAGGAACCCTTAGCCCCCACAACCCAACTCATTTGAGCGGAACACCGCGTTCACTTCCCATCAGATAGGAAAAAATTGCGGTTTACAGAGTCACGCCTCGTTGGGTAATAGACTGTACAGGACAACTCTACTTCTTTCTAACCTTCACGGCAGTATTAAATGAATCATCGGTCGCCTGGAATAGGTTCTTGAACGGTAAAGCGATGAGGCACGGGTTTAATGTGTGTGTATTTTTATACATTGTACGCCAATTGACAAAAAAATGGGACGAGCATTTTGACTGCCAAGTTACTTGAATTCTCAACCGGGTGAGAGCCGATTGATACCACAAATTGCTTTTTTCAAGGGATACCTGGGGTTACAAGGAAATCAATACGAGTTAAAATGTCAATTGCACAGCGGTGAACACTCGAAGAAGATGCGGTGTCATAAAGCCCTGAAGCTTTTTTAAGAAAAACGTAAAAACTACAACGGAAAGTGAAATACTGCGCATTATACCGCTTATCGGAGGTTAAAAAAGTGTTAGCGCACTGACTTTTCCGTAGCAAAAAAATCCATTTCACTGCAGCAGGTCGACTTAAAGGGCACATGTTAGTTGTTAATATTCTCGTGTACCCTCCACATAACTAGAGTTATAACTAGTTATAGTTATATAGTTATAACTAGTTATAACTATAGTTATGTTATATGCAGGATACACGAGTCGCGTTGTATGTCTTGAACTTTTTTCGCACCGTACATAGCCAACCTTGGTAATCGGAGGTACGTTGACACGAAACTAGGCAAATGTATGTTTGGTATGTTTGTACTATGACGATGTGCAGTGGTGTGTGCACGACGATGCAGCCACGGCTAAGAGTGGTGAGTGATGCCCCCCCTCCCCTTTACTAACCCACACTGACCAACGTAAAGTATGGTCAAAGAAACCCCATGACTGACACGGCATGGGGGGGGGGGGAGCCCTTCATTCAGCAGTGGATTGGCAAAGGCTTGAACGTAGCTATTGCGATGATTATTATTATTTACCAAGTCTCAGAACTTTTTCCCCAGGAACGTGCTGCAATGAGGACGTTTGGCCCAATCACTTTTAATGAGTATCTTTTGCACCCGCCGTTGTACACATACCCACCGCTGCCACGCCTGCCGCTGCCAGCGGCCGCTTACCATCGCGCCGTTTCCTTCCTATCCACAGTAGGCGGCTCCGTGGCAGGATGGCGCAGCTGGACGGACTTGTGAATCGGCTGGAGAAGGTGACCGCTCGGCTGGAGAAGGTGGCGCTCCACTCCGGTGTGGCAGGAGGAGGCGCCGGCGGTGTCGGCGCAGGTGAGGCGTGCATTTAGACGACGTCCATCGCCCTCCGCGCTTGAAGACGTGGCTCTCCGCGGTTGCTCCCAGTTTTGCGGCTGCATTGGTCGTCGTCGGTGCTTGTGTGTGTGTTGTTGATTGGCTGTGGAGGAGTTTGTTACATCATTGCGTTCCTACAGGTTCGTGGGCTGCTGAACTGGCCCGTTTGGTTTGCAAGCAAACATTGCATGTGGCCGCGTGCCACAAAGTGAAGATCGGTTTACGATAAAAAAATACAAATGAATGCGTTGTAAGACTACCCCGTATGCTTTGTTCTGTATAGCTCTTTGCTGAACAAGATTATGACAATTGCTCCTTTTGTCGAAAGCATTTGCGTTGGTAATGAATATGGTCGGCCTTTTTTCATTTCTCGCTGTTAACACAGCTGCTTTGTAAAGCGTCACCTGTGCGGCGGGGGGGAAACAATGTGCGTCTGAAAATGAGTAACCAACAAATGCCGTGCTTGCGAGCGGATTGGCCTATGGGAACCCGCGGTGCGATTAGGTGCCGCGCCCAGTGACAAATGCTTTGGCATAGGTGAGACGACAGACAGTGCGCGCCCGCCAGTGGTACGCTTCGCAGCCTGCCGAGACGACGCCTCCCGCTAGCCATACTTTGCTAAAATGGCAGATCTTCAAGGTAAGGGGCGGGGAGGTGCTGTGCTGTATACATATTTGATTCTGAAAAGCATATCGATGTGTTTGTAAAAAAAAAGATTCTTCAAATAATATGGTACGTGTTTATTTTTAAGCGTTGTTTTTTTGCAATCTGAAAGAGTGACGCTCACATTCTTTGAATATTTTAACGTCCGTGAACTGTACGCTTTTGGCAGAGACTCTCGTGTGCCGTGTTTCACTGGCCTAAGCTATTTACTCGGTGGCCCATTTTAGCGTCTAATCTACGGGGCGTGTGGGCTGCATGTCCGAAGTTCAGCCAACGTTGTTCCTTGTTCTTTGTTCGCCATCTTCGCCACGCCCTACCGTGCAAAACCCTATCTCCTTTTGACTGTGTAATATACTCAACATTCCCATTTTCTCCTCCTCTCCCTCCTGCCTTCTCCCTGTGGCCTCTTGTGTGGCTCTGCCGTTTCCCCCTCCCAGCTGACGCGCCCTACGTGGTGGCGTTTGACACGATCTTGAACGGGCCGGTGCACGAGTACATACGGCTGAGCAAGGAAATCGGCAGCGACGTGGAAAAGCACGTAAGGAGCGCGCACACACCTGCCCGTGCCCAGAACTGAAGCATCAGTAAATATATATAAATATATAAATGGCATGTTTCAAAGACACGTGCAGTCTGCCGCTAGGGGGGGCAATATTGGTGTCGTAGTTTTGTATTCGAGAGATTTAAGAGTAATTTTCATAATTTGATACATTTGGAACGTGACGACTGCCTTCAACGAAAAGCGCAACGAAGGGCTGAAGAGATGGGAATAGCAACGTGTGGATAAGCGAACATGTGCAAGTGAAATGCATGATATTTACCTTGAAGAAAAAGTAAGTAGTCTTGGATCGGTGCATTTCTGCCATAATGGATGATGGCCAGTGGTTGAGACCTACAACGGTTTGGTCAGCCAAAGGTTGGAATGCCCAAAGGGATGTCCAGCATGGAGATGGAGCAATGAACTAACCTCACGTGCACTTACTTGACTTGTTGCATTGCAGATGTGCAAAGGCATTTATCCAGCAGTGGATAGTACATGACTGACGATTTATATTGACCCGCAAAAATGCTAACTGCTGATAACATGCCATTACACGCCTTCGGCGCTGTTACATTTGCATTTTAAAAAGTTTTCCATTGGGAGAAAGGTAATTGCTTTTCATCTGGCCTGCTGTAATGGTGGAAACATTTTATAGCTTTGGTGTATGTCCATCCACGGTTTTTTGTATGTGGAATGTCCCTATTTTGAATACTTAGTGGCGGTGTTATATAATTTAATGTAAAGTGCTTGGTCCGAATTTCTTTGAAACATCTCCATATTTTTATACCCAAGGAGTTTCGGAAATTGTGTTAGACTTTACTCTTGTCGAACACTCCAGCCCATCCCTATTGTGTCTGGCTCATTGTGCAGGTGTGCGTGTGGTAATGTTTCGGGTAATTATCATGCCCTGAGGATTGCTGCCGGCTTTAATTATCTATTTGTTTAATTCTAAGCTCACCTAGTTGATGAGCGCATTATTCCAGTCTGGTGGGGAAAAAGAGAATACATTAGTGCCAGTTACGTAAGTGTGTTTTTGATCATGTTGCCATTTTCATTGATGTCGGTGACAAGACAGTTTTGTTTTCATCATTTTTATATTGTATTCTTAAAAAAAACTAAAATTACTGCGTGACATTTGTCGTCGGATGGAATAACAAGCAAACCCAATTTCAGGTGCTCTTAATTATTGTTCGGCGTAGGGAGGGGACCATCGTAAATTTACACAATTCATAACAAGCACGCGTTGTCAACATGAAATGAAAAAAACCCGAGACGGCGCATTTTTAAGGAAGTCGTTTGACAAGTGTAAACCCAGCACTGTAATTGTTTAGATATTTTGCTCAAGAACCTCTGTCCCGTAGCTGCCTTGCCTCTAAACAACCTGATGCTTTACTCTGCACATATAGTTGGTGAAGGGGCAGGGCAAACCATGGCCATTAAAATTTAAATTTTAATAGCTGTGAATTGTCAATCCTTAGCCGTGGGTGTTAATGCATTTAAGCTCTCTTGTGAACATTGAATATCCCTTGCAAAACATGGTGATGGTGATGGGCGTACACCTGCAGGAGTTAATTGAGAGGTTGTGTGCCGAGCGTGGTGTTGAGGTCCCTGTAATTAGCGCCGTTGTGTTTGCAGACGTAGGCTTGTGGTGACATTTGAGATGTGCCTTTCAGCAAGAGTCCCCTGACCTTTTGAGTCCCAGTCCCGCTCTGTTTCACCAAATAATATATCAATCCCCTGTTTTAATATATATTTCACCCCGCCTGCTCAATATTGAATTTATCCATTTCGGGGATATCATAAGTCTTCCAATACCGTTTGTAATTTGCGTGCGATTTATGCATGCGGTGTAAGCCTGTGTGCTGCCTTGGAGCGATTCATATCGTACGATTTAAATTATGCTAAACGGCTTAATTATATCGCGCATAAGAACAGTAACGTGAAACTTAAGTGATTCGATACCGATATCTTGTAAAGTTTACAAAATCCGTTGGTAATTTGCGCGAGCAACTATACGAGCATGCGCTACGAACAAGGGCTTAACATTGTGCCCGTGCAATCCTGCTCTCATCGGCTTAAGTAAACCAAACTTAGGAGGCGGTAACGTGGTCCTAAATCATTAAATATTGATATCGTATAAAGTTTACGAGATCGATTTCCTGCCACGCTTATTCCAACGGTGTCCCCACTTCCTCCTGACCCCCAGGGGGTGGTCACGACCCCCACGCTTGGAGCGCCTGTCCCGGTGGCGAGTGGCGGCTTAAGCGTGAGCCGAGGAAAGAGCTGAGGCCAAGGCTATCGAAGGCGCGTTAATTCCCAAAGCAGATTTGCGTTGCTTGCCGAATGTGCGGACGTTCAAACAAAAGTCGTTGGTTTCTTGGGGAGAAAAAAAATCCTCGCTCGTTTGCCCTACGGCAAAGTTTTACATTTGTTGTCTGAACACGCAGATCAACGTTGTCACCGTGCCAGATTTTTCTGTTGCTTTGTCTATGTTTAAAAAAATATATAATATCTCGGTGTTTTAATTGTATGTGGTGTTTTTATCCTCGTGTAGTCGTCGGGCGATTTCTTCATGTGTTTGATCTCCTCCGTCGTCGGACACTACTAACTTTGAGCGACGTGTGTAGGCGGAGCAAGTCAACAGTTCGTTCCTGGCAGAGCGCAGTTTCCTGGTTGTGGCCTCCAAGCACAATCAACCCTCGGATGTGAGTGGGGCCTTCACGTTACAATATTTCACCTTTGGCCATCAAGCCAAATGTCCAAAGTGTGCTCACCTCAAATGAGCATTGAAGCGGTGCCTATCCGTTTACAACCCTGCTCTTTATAAGATTATTTTGCTGTTATAAATATCCACATGAAAATCTGAAAAATAAGTTACTACCTCTGTGAGCTTTGCCTGGTAGGATGGGGATGGTTTAGTTGTATTTATGTGTGTTTGGGTGATTTGTTTACCTTTCTTGTACTTTGCACTCCTATTGTTTTTTTGTATTGTTTGTTGTAATGTTCTTCACATCTGTCAAAAAAGGGTTATCAGATTCCTTCAGTATACATAAATACTCTGATTCTGAGGTGGGGGCGATTCTATACAAAGGATGACCACAATCGGCATCGATACAAAGTAAGACCGATTTTATCGACCCTGGAGGGATGATGGGCTGAGTCAACCCCCAGCCAGGATTTGAACCCTCACACTTCCCCATTGTGAGTCGCTTGCTTCTGCCACTGAGCCACCTGGCTTGGATGGTGGTTTGCACTGTTACCCACTGAACTATACAGCGCCTTTTCAGAAGTGACCTGGCCACAAATGATAGCTCAACGAAGCGGCTTATCATGCGGACATTTATAGCAGCCAAATACTCTAAACGCATGTTGATTTTAATGTTAAAGTTGTTGATGCTACTGTCGGCAGACAACACATCCCGGATTTTCAACATTTTCCGATACTCTGGAGAATATATTTCAGCACGATCTCACTTTGGAAATGCATAAACATGGGACTTTAAATTAAGCCATCACTTTCCACATGCCATTAATATTACCTTCAGCCTCCTGCAGTGTGCGGTTTGTTTGCATTTTACCATTCGCCTTGAATTCAAAAGCACTTTAATTCATTTCACGTTGTGTGCATCTGATGATTGGTAATGATAGGAGTCCTAAGCCGTGAAGAGGGCTGAGCCCGCTATGAGCCTGACGTTTCGGTGTGATGTTAATATTCAAAGAGTCTCGTTCTCATGTCATTTCGGAAGCCCTTGTATATGTAATCAACCGATAGCAGCCTCTGTCCGCTTCCGCTTGGATATGTCATAACACTATATGGGGCGGGTGGGGGGGTAAATCATTTAGTTCATGAAGTAATAGATAAAGGTTCAGTCCTGCAGTTGCTTGCTCACACCACTGCTGGCAGAAGGGAGCTATAGAGAGCTGCTAGAGGTTTTTTGCCCTTCTCTTCCATGATAGCCGGTTGTCGTGTAAGAGGTGGGGGCTACCCACGCTTTACCGCACCACACGTGAGCTGCGGATTGACTAACTGGGGGTGTACCCATTAATAATCCACGGTGGTGAGATGTTAACTGCCTCGACTGGTATCCAGGAGGTCACGGGTTCCATCTCGATCGTGACGCCTGTATATTTGGGCGTTTGCATATTCTCCCTGTGGTCGCATGGATTTTTCTACGGGTTCTCCGGTTTTTCCCTCCACATTTAGAATCCACGTGCGTTTAGAGTATTTGGCTACTGCTATACATTTCCACGTGATAAGCCACTTCGTTGAGCTATCATTTGGCCAGGTCGCTCAGTGGGCCTTACCTGGTAAAATAAAAATAGTTTTAATTAGTTTTGTTCTACTGCTTTGTGGACAGAGAAAGGAGGCTTCAAGAAACGTTCCCAATCATTTTGCTGCTGCGCCAGTTTGAACCAGTGCCCTCTGGATTGCCATTCCGGTGTTCCAACCAATGACACGACGGCAGACGCTCTCCAAATCCACGTGTTGTATTGTATGCACTCGCCGCAGAGAGCCCCATAAACTTGCACAGGTTTAAGAGAATCGCACAGAAGGCTCGTAAACTCGCTCGGAGACCTAGGACTGGCAGCACAGCAAGTAGTTTTTTGTGAATGCGTACCTACGGAACTTTTGAGCATTCTCCCTTCGCGTGCACAGGCTTTTCTCCTGGGCACTATAGGTTTAAAATAATCGCTCCTGCCAATTACGATTCTGCACGCGTGTATCGCGAGATCAAGGATCAATTTCGATAGAATGCGCGCGCCCACTCTCCCGGTGCGTGAAGCAGTTTCACCCCAGCCGCCTGCCTCTTTAACCCGCGAAACGAATACGTCCGCCGTTGCTGTACCCCGACCCGCAGGGGGATGTGGCGGCATTTTTATTTTATTACGCCGCGTCGAGCCCCAACTGTTTGTGGAATTTGTCCCGCGCAGGAGGAGCTGAAGAAGCTGCTGAAGCCCATCTCCGATCAGATCCAGGCGATCCAGGCCTTCCGCGAGGCGAACCGCGCCAGCAAGCTCTTCAACCACCTGTCGGCCGTCAGTGAGAGCATCCCCGCGCTGGGCTGGGTCACCGTGGTGAGTACGGCCCGAGCTGTCGATAATGACGCCCCCCCCCCCTCCCGCCTTCTCCCACCTGGGGTTACGTATTTTTTCTCAGGGTTGCGGATTTTATTTAACCGTGCTCGTGAAAATAGTTTGTAGCTTTCGACATTCATTCGTTGTGCCCACCCCCCCCCCCGCCCCTTTTGGCACGTGGGTTTGTGAGCTGCTCTTTGCTTGTGACCGGTGTACTTTAAAAATAAAAACGGATTCCCCCCCGCCCCAACCTCCCATGTAAATCTACACCCCTCCCCTACCTATGCGGGGTCCCCACTTGGCATGGGCAGCGGGCCCCATATCCCCCCACCCGTGCAGTCCCTTCGCGCCAAATTAACATTTTCGCGGAGTTTCTGTTCCCCTCCCCCCACCCCTTCCAAAGTTCGTCGGCTTATTGTACCGGACTCGCGTTTTGTAGCAATAATAAAAAAAAACTGATGACATTTGGTTTTTACCACGTTTTAGGTAGGTAAGCAATAACTTACACATACTCGCCTAATTAATGCAAGTTTTTTTATTCGTGTTTTTGTTTCATCTGGACCATCCCTCGCCTCCTGTACTCTACATTATCAAGAGTTGACAATTTTTTTTTCCTTTTGAGGTTAATAGAGACACTTTGTTTGATTCGCGCTGAACTGCCGACACACCCGGCTGCAAGCGTTGTGTTGTTGTCAAATTGATTCTTGATCTCACGAGACCTACGTTGAATCGTAACTTGGTAGTGATCGATTATTTTAAAGCCAGTACCCAGAGAAAACCTGTGCATGTCATCCGTCGGTATGCATTCACAAAACCACTTTCTGGGCTGTCTTCTCTTGGCCACCTTTGTAGCCCACATGGGATTGATAGATTTACCACAAACACTCGTCTCCCGGGCCCTGTGTTACAGCTGCCACTATCACAATGTTATTTTCTAAACGGAGGACGTGGGTCTCATAAGGTTTCAATAGTTAGTAATGTTTTTCTATAATTTTGAATTGCATGCGCATGGATTGTGTTTGCGTGTGGGAGTGGAGGTGCATTGGTTAACAGTGACATGGTGCTGGTCACAATCCCAGCGAAATTGGGTTCCGTGCTCAGCCTTTCATATCGTCGATGGGAAATGGCATCCGAACTTAAACCTTGGGCCGCCACCCTCCGAGAGATTGACTCGGCTTAAAATGAGTGCCTGTTATTATGTTGTACTGGGGAGAGATGGCCATGCCACTTCCCCCTATGCCAAGCCGGCCTTGACAGGTGCTGCCTGTCAGCAACTTGCCCCAACAGCCTGCAGAGTCCGAACACAGCAGAGCTTTGTCATTTTGCTTTGTGTCCTCACATCAGAGCAAGCCGATGGGCTGCCAGTGCTTGCATGTGTGTAGCCCTTTAATACAATCACAAGCCTACGATGCTTGTGACCTGCTGTCAGGTATTACTGGCTTGCTCTGGCCTTGGGTAACCTTGTCTTGTATTCTCACGCACAAGCGATTATTATTATTATTATTCTGGTTTACCCAGGAAAGGCCCTTTGTAGGGAGGCCCTCATCCAGCAGCGGAAGAACAATAGGACTATACGCGTACACTATAGGACTATATCTGTACATTGTCAAATATCGGTTACGATCCTGCCGTCTTCTCTTCCTGCCCAATCGCAGTCCCCCAAGCCCGGTCCCTACGTGAAGGAGTTGAACGATGCCGGGACGTTTTATACCAACCGCGTGCTCAAGGACTACAAGGACAGGTACGTGTGCAAGCACGGCCTTTTCCGTGCGTGTGCAAGCATGGCCTTTTCGGACCGCCAACAGATTATCATCGGCCCGATGCAGCTCTTGTATATATGCACCTGCGTTTTGTGTGTCTCTAGGCATCACCTTTTGAATTAGTGGCGGTATATTGCCAGGATTGATGACATTTTTGGCAGAGAGCATCGATGCAGTGGTTGGCACAATGTGCAATGAAATCGACGACCCAAGTTTAATAACCCGGCCACAACAACTAAACAATTGGTGGCGGGGGTAATATCAGAATCGGTCAGCAACCGGTCCCGACCAGCGTGGTGAAATATGGGTCGAACATCCCACACTCCCAACACGGCGTAGAGGGAAGCCTTCATCCAGCAGTGGATTGACAAGGTGCCTGTAAATAATTGATTTTAAAATAATGAAATATTCGTGACTGATGTATTTTTGTTTTGTCGAGCATAGTTACATTTGCGCAGGTCAAAAACCTCCAGTATATATTTGCGTAAGTCCAGTTGTTTTTACGTAACGTGTGGTTTCAATGCGGTCGGGTTTTTAACTCTGCCTTCAGATTCACCCTCCCCCCCCCCCGCCGTCTCCCGTGATAGTTCATCGTTCATTTGCAATCAATTAGCGTAGGCGCACAGCGCGTATCTCGCTATCCGCATAATCATTAGGCCACCCGCCGCGTTCGTGAAATTGGGGAGGTTTGGCCGAGTTACAAAACTCGGACACCCTGGTCGGTCACGGGGACCCAGACACCCAGAGCCTCGCAACGTAATGATTCAACATCCGGCGAATCAACTTAAGAATGTTGAGATTCATTTTGTCTTGTACGCTCTTGTCACGCAGACATGGGCGGCATCTTAATTACAAAGCCGTTAAAATGTGTAATTTCACTGCGTTTGTAATTTTGTGAGTGTGATGGGTAATTTTGGAGTTAAATTACATGAGGCATGGTTCAGTTATCATTTGTATCTGCAGTACATCTCCTCCATTAACATGCAAACTGAATGTATTTTGTCGATCTGAAAAAAAAAAGTTGTTCGTTCTGGGTCTCTCATTGGGACTGTCTTGTCTGTAATGTCTTGCGTGTACTGGCTGTATCTGTACTACCTGGTTTGTTCTCTCATTTAGTCACTCGGTTTAAAGAGTACATTTTGTGTAACGTTTGCATGCATTGAAGTCAACATTCCCGCACTTTCGATTCGATATATGTACCGTCAGCAGAATAATACATTTTAGTCGATGATTCCATGGCTCATTGCCTAGTTATAAAAAAATTACTTAAAGCAAGAGTAACGTTGGAATAAATTTCGGTGGGTTCTAAATGTTGGGGGGAAGGTGGGGGCGTAATATGTGGCATAGTGGTTAGCCTACCGCCCTATGAAACAAGCCACCTGAGTTTGATTCCTGGCCATGACTGACATCAGTGGCGACTTGTATCTGCATCAATTCCCCCCCTCCACTGCCCCCCACCCTTCTCCATCCAGAACTGACCAGCGTGGTGAAGTGTGGTCAAACAACGCCCCATCTATTGGTTGGATTAACCAACACAGCTGTACGTGTAAATGTACGGATTGCCTGTCTGGTTCATTGCAGCGACAAGACCCACGTGAACTGGGCACGGGCGTACAGCAACATTTGGACGCAGCTCCAGGCCTACATCAAGGAGCACCACACCACTGGCGTGAGCTGGAATAAGTCTGTAAGTCGTCTCACAGCAATGCTTGCCCCCCCCCCGCCCGCCCTCACACTCAGAGAAGTATCACCCGTATAGCCTTAAACAGACGGTTAGGGCAATTGCTTTTAGCGAGTAGCGCTTATGAAGGCCGGCATGCCACATGAGGGGGTGGGTGGCCATCACCACGCCCGGCTGCCTTTGTCTCCCCAGTGGCGATGTTTACACACTGCACTAGATACGTATTTGAGGCTGAGTAAACCTAGGGGAGTCCAAGGACCGCTTCAAATAATTGCCACTGGTGTTGGTGGCCGTGAGTGGGGATCGAACCCGGTTCTCCAGGTTCGTAGAGCAGCGTGCTAACCGCCACACTACTGCTCCCCACGCACGCACTCTGGCAAACACAACGGGGAAATAATGATCCAGGCCAGGGTCTCCACAGGAGGCTGTGCCACTTGAGATTCGCGCAGTTAACTGATTGATTGATCGTCTCGATTCCATCGCGCGTTAAAAACCCGGCGGCCGCTCTTTTGGGACAGGCGCTGTAAAGAAAAAAAACACACCGCGCCCTTTCCCCGTTTTATTTTCACCTTGCCACGCGCCGCGCAAGCGAGCATGGCTGCCGAAATTACTTTTAACGCCACGGCGCCCGGGATCGCGAGCCCCCCCCCCCCCGACCCAGCCTCTGGGCGCCAGCTGGCTCCGCGTAGCTACGTTCGCAGGGGTTAATGTGCCCAACCTGGCATTAAAATTCATGTGCAAGGAGAGGAACAAAAAAAAAAATCCTTTTTGGAAGGCGGTGGAAAGTGAGCTGAATTTAAAATTCCGGCACACATTGTGTACTTAGAGAAAAAAAATTTAGTTGGGGAGAATAAACAATTAATCTTTGCCCGTCGGGCTCGGCACTCTTACATGTCTCCCGGCAGAAGTGCTGCTGAGGAGTTGATCAATAATTCTCATAAATGGCCTAAGTGCTGGTGGAGACAATAGCTTTATTGGTGAGGATGTGTGTAATAAAACGTAATGGTGCCGCCCATTCAGTTGCTTTGTTCATGCACCTTCTGGTGGAAAGGCCTCCACTATAAGATAAGGGATATTTTGACCTAATCTTACATGCTGACCCCACTGCCGTTTTGGGAAGATGTGGGAGTTAACCACACTTTACGGCACACGACCTGCCGATCAACTTAAGCTGCCTTGTGCCTATTTATTCTGCTGGGTGGACAGAGGTGAGGAGAGGAGGGATGATATTTAATAACCATGCCCATTGTTTGAAACTGCCGCACCCCCGGGAGAGGTTTGTCCGATGATAACATGAAATTATTTCTAACCAGGTGAATGCCCCATTGAGATGAAAGGTTCTCTTCAAAGGGAGACATGGATCGAAAACCTTACAAAGGTTAAATGTACAACTTGAGCTTTTAAATCGTGACAAGCAAGCAAAACTACAGATCAAAAAAATATACCAGGGCAAATCACAAACACATACAAGATTGTAAATTTTGACCACGCAGAAATGAATGTTGCTTTTGACTGGAAATTCAATTCATGAAATCGGACTGTGGTAAAGTGCAGTTTTAAATGTTGGAGAACCAGAATTCAAACAAATGGATATAAAAACATTATTGTGCATTAGAAAGTCGGTAAGATGAAACCCCAGGTGTAAACCATTCCTCAAACAACACCAGCTCCCCTTAATTCATAATGTCAGATGAATGAATATAACAGCTTGATAAGAGCTGACGTTATCAGGACTGTTTTTAACCCAAATACAACGGTGAGTTTTCCATCGCTTACAGAAAGCGCTAGAATTTGTCTCTTATCGCCGTTAGGCAGTGCCAAACTTTTCCCCACCAGTGATGATGGAGCGATTGTCCACACAAATGCCTCTGATGCATAATGGTGCGTTGGGCAATGATGGCTACACTGCCATGCTGCTGATTCATGAAAATAATGAAACCGGTGTACGGCAAGACCTCGCCTAACGCGTTGATGCTCACACTGTAATGCTTTTTTGCTATCACGCGGTTCTTAAATTCGGGAACGCTTTTCGCACAACGTGGAATGCGCGCGCCGTTATAAAAGGAACAAACCCGTTATAACGTAGAAAGCGCGTGTTATAGCGCGGTTTCTGAGCGGTCGATGGGGAACTACTTTCCTGAGCTGTGGAGCTAAGCGGTACAGCGATACGGTATGCAGAATGATCCATTAAAGTGGCAGCGTGTACCCTCAGTGTGTGTAGTAGTACATCATATCTCGCCAAACTTTCTCGTGGCATATACGGGGAACTTATTATTTTAGTTTGAACGTGGCATTTTTCAGGAACGCATCTGCCACCCAGTTAATAAACGAGGACTTTGCCGTCCGGTTATCTTTGTTGTCCTGCTGCTGACGGCCATCTCGCTGTCTTTGCGCTGCTCAGGGGAGCCAGGCGACGGCCGCTGCATTGCCGTCCTGCCCGTCCGCCCCCCGTCCGGTGGCGTCGGGACCCCCGCCACCCCCACCCCCGGGCCCCCCGCCCCCCCCCGGACTCGCCACGGCCCCCAGCGGCGGCGCCGGCGACGCGGCCAGCTCGCGATCGGAGCTCTTCGCTCAAATCAACCAAGGGGAGCACATCGCGAGCGGTGAGACTTCCAGCGGGGCGAGGCGGTCACCGCCGACGCCCGTGTAGGGATTTGTTTTTTAACTCAACCCCCTCTGTGCTGTGCTCCAGCAACGGAGGGCTGCTCTCGATCGGGGCTACTCACTGGGCGGCAGGGTTGCCGTCGAGCTATTTCTGTTCCTCCGCTTAAGGTTGTCCCTGCCTGGAAGGAGATTGTGTTTTCGTCACTGAATTTTCTATGATTGAAGGAATCGGATTCACTTGGCATGTTACGATGCAGATAAAATTGTAACAAGTTTAAAGTCTCATTTTTGCTGAATTTTTTTTTCTTCCCCAACATCTCATTTTCACTGTTTTGTTTGTCTCTACCTCCCCCTTTTTGGTATTGTGAGTATAGAAATCTCTTTTAATCGATTTAATTGATTCATTGTGTTAGATCTACGAGCAAACCACGGTTTACTCTTTGGGAAGTTTCTCCTATTCCTATGCTGCTTCCACTGTCTATATCATTATTATTGGAACTCCGTCCCCTGATTGTCTGCCCGATTCACAACCCGCCCACGTTCAAGTCCAGCCTTAAGACTTCCCTCAGCTCCTGAACTCAATCCTCTACGACCATCGCGTCGTATTCTCATCAAGCGCAATTGATGGAATTGACCGTCGTTTTAAGAACGGGGACGATGCGCGTGCAACATTTTACACGCTCGGCAAAAGGCAATACAAATTACCTCGAATGACGTGCACGCAAATCGGATCGACTGGTCATGGACGAGCCGGGGGAGCAGAGAAAGCACACTAGGGGGGGGGAGGGAAGTGCTTTTGAAGTAATTTCTGCTCCCCACGCCGGGCCCCCCGCCCCCCCCCCGCGGGGCTTCCAACTCCGCACGCGTCCTTTGTGGCCGGCCAGCACGGTGTCCTGGGGTGCCACGGTGGCGAAGATGTGTTGACTACCTCGCCTGGTATACATGAGATTGTGGGTCCGATGCCAACCTTGTCGTCCGCATATTTGTAGTTTTCATGCTCTCCCAGTGGTCGCGTGGGGTTTTTCTTCTTGTCATCTGGAGAAAAACATTTATAAACGTGTATTTCCAGTATTTGGCTGCTTTAAATGTCAACGTGATAAGCCACTTCGTTGAGATGTCATTTGTGGCCAGGTCGCTTCTGACAAAGAGCTATATAGCTCAGGGGGCCTTACCTAGTTTAATAAAAAATAGTTTAGTTTAGCTCTTGCGAGAATTCATAAGCGATCCCTCGATTCTGCTTTGCGCCACAAGTGGGACATTGTAGCTTTGCACCGGGGAAAGATAATTAATCGCCTCCTATAAATCACTTTACCCTGCCGTTGTAGACGGTGCGACGGCTTCATTTAGATGGTTGGTGGGCACCGCTTGTGTCTCCCCAAATGACAACAACAACAATAAATCGTAATAGAGGTTTCTTGGGTTAGATTCTGTAAATATAAATGTGTTGTTATACCTGCCACCACCCGAAACAGCCAGTTAGTAAGGTTTGTCACGTAAAAGAAACATGCCGATTCGCTACTTGTACAGCACACCGGTGTGTTGGAGAGCAAATCCACAACATTTACAATCGGAGTACGACGTTACGCCAATTACTACAACTAGCATCATCAGGTGGACAGCCAGAGATGTGTTGAACTTGTTAAGCTGAATAATAAATCAGCTGGTGCTTATTCAATGCACGTTTTTTTTTAAAGCAGTTCAGCGTTAATTGAGATTTTTTTCTCCACTGCAAACATGGGTGTCCATCCGAAAAATTAATTATGAGGTTTTTTTTTCCATTGAAATTAAATGTCAAATTTGTGATGTTGGTAACGACGCTGGCATGTAACGATTAATCTACTCGTGCATGTAACGATCTAACGTTTAAAGCTTACACGGGAGAATATACTACTAAGTACGAATGAGACAAAAAATAAATTGCTTAATTCGTATATAGGCATTTTTAAGTGCTGTGCGGAAGCCGCTCGTTTTAAATGACTTCTCGGGTTGTTGTGGACTTTAGACGGCTTTAATTTTTCTTGAAAGATTACAGCGGTTCGCACTTTGCTTGCGAATTTAATTGGCACGTAGAAAAATACTTTCCATTTATCCGACATTCATTTAGCCTTTGTCATTTTAGTGCCCCAGGTTACTCTTGCAAATGAGACTTCTATCCTGGTCCCTTGAGTTTCTCACCGCCTAGTTAAGACTGCAAAGTAAACTTGAAACTTAGCTTCCACTTTACAGCAGATGGCGAGCCTGAGTAGTGAATCTTCCACAGTCACCGCCAGGAATAGCGGAGTCAGAAAATGTATTCTAGATTTGAAGCTTTCGTGACTACAAGGATTCGTACTCTTTGGTTTTTTCGGTAAAGTCACGTAGGTAAAAAATAAAATAAACGAAAAACAACTAAATTAAATGGCGACGTTTTGGGCGCAACACAAGCGTCCTTGTTCAGGTGAGGACAACGTAGCGAAAGCACAACCGCTTAAGTGTGTCTAAGAGATGGCTGTGACGAGGAATTATATAGCCGCGGGGGATGGAGGGAGGGGAGGGGGCCATGGTGAGTGTATGGAACGGGCTGTGGGCTGGGAGGCAACGATGTGAGGAACGGGGTGGGCGCAACGTACGGAGTCAAACTGAAGCTTTGTGATGCCGGGGGCGGAAGCAGATAAGGAAGCTAAGATTAAGCAGCCTTTTTTTATGCTGCCGGAGGGTGGGGGGGGGGTAAATTGCGCAAGCTGAAAACAACGTGTGGTAATGGTGATGGTAGTGTGTGAAGCTGTGTGTAACAGACTCGGAATATGGATATGATTATGCAAATAAATCTAAACTGGCTGTCCAGCAGTAAACTGCACGGCAGCTAAAGTTTGAACTTGGTTAATTACATCCTTCCAATGATTGCTCAATTTGAATCCATTATCTCAGTTGAAGTTATGTCAGAAAATGTATGTTTACTGGAGGAATCCGATGATAAGCTATCATAGCTCTTTGTCACAGGAATGTTGGCCGAAATTCTCCTCTGGCTCTGGCAAGCACGCTAACTGCGAGTGTTATGCAATTAATTTCTTTGTGAAGTAAGAAATACACCAGTTTGAACATGAATAACTTAAGATATTACATAATCGGTGAATAAACAGCCTGAGATGTTTTATGAATTGAGGATATAATGCAACAAGCAAGATAAGCGCTGAGTTTGGATATAAGCAATGGTAGATGCAGACATGTAGAATGCCTGAATAATGCATTCAATTAATTTTACATTGCACGATGTTAATCTAGGAATGTATCCTCCGCCAACTCGAGGGTATTTATCATTGTGTACACAGATGGGAGCTTCTGGAAACGACATTTCTCAGCACAAATCCCTGCTGGCTAAATACACTCAAGTTAACAACAACACCAACACCGTTAGTGGTTTCCTGGTCAGGCAAGTTGTGGGGGCAGTGGTCTTATTCTATTCGCAGCCCTGACCCATGGGGGTGTTTGTTCCATATTCCTATGGCCGAGGTGCGTACATTCGAAGGATCTCCGCCGCGGATTTCCAACCGAACGGTGTGGGCAATTTTATTGACGAGGGAGGCAAACAGCGCCGCGTTCACTCGGGACCAGACTCTTGACCTCCCGACCTGCGGAACCCCACACACCCTCGATAACACGGCCGCCCGGGCGGATGGAGAAGCGGGAAAGGCATTGGCCTTGCAGGCACAGCGGAGGAAATTAGACCGAGCGATTTGACTGCCAGAACGAGTGAAATTCCGGTTGCTTGACCAACTGACTTAACCGACAGCTGTGGCCTGACCCCGCGGCCCAACAAACTGACCTCGTGACTGAATAAAAGCCGCCCCCGACCAACCGGCCCGACCGGCTCGACCTGACGGAACTGATAACCGACCATCTAAGCCAGGGGTCGGCAACCAAAATAACAAGAAGAGCTGTTTTTTAAGAATTTTGGAAAACAAAAAAATCAGTCCATAAGAAGTATAACCCGTAAAAACAAAGTTTTTCACTATAAATCCTTTATATGCGTGGCGGCTAGAGTCCTCTCGTCCTCTGGCTTGAGATGGCTGCCACCTATGGGTCAGATGATTGCATGGCACCATTAAGCAATTGGTAATTAAATATAATATTTTTGTCCTAAAAAGTGTAAAATTTTGGAAAACATTTTTTACGAACATTAATTGTCATGCACAACGAGTCTGTGTGGAAAATGTCAGCTCGATTGGATCACGGGAAGTGGGTTAAAAAACGACCGAAAGATTTGCACGGTCGTAAGCAAGCGCGCAAGTGAACTTAATATTAAGGATTTCATGCGGCTCCTGAGCTGCAGGTTTGCCAACCCCTGGTATGAGCCAAAGACCTTTCTTTACCCTCTTATCACTTCCGCAGGCCTGAAGCACGTCTCGGACGACCAGAAGACTCACAAGAACCCGAACCTGCGCACTCAGGCGCCAGCAGCCGCCGCCCCCAGCCTCTCTGGGCCCAAGCCGTTCACTTCGCCCAAGCCAGGCACAACCGGCGCCGGGAGGGCAGCCGCTGCCGGAGCGAGTCCGGCTGGCGCCGCCGCCGCCGCCAAGAAGCGGCCGCCGGTGCTGGAGCTTGATGGCAAGAAGTGGAGAGTGGTGAGAAAATTAACAGAGCCACATTTGTTTGGGTGAAGGCGCTGCGTTTTTCTTATTGCTTTTATAGCAATATTCTTTAGCCGGTGGCTTGTAGTGGGGCCGTTGTTGCCCACAAAAGGCTCTTTGACTGCTGAGAGATGCGGCTTGCTGCGACCATGAAGGGAGATAGATGAGTGAGATGAGAGAGATATGAGAGAGTCGGAGGTGAGGTAATGATTTGTTGAGATGAAATCGGACATGAGGTGAAGATGACAGCAGCCCAACGTCCAAGTGCTTTGCGGATCATTGCACAGTGGGACAGCTTGGAGAGGCATTCACCCAACAGTGAAATTAATCATGAGGATAAGATGGAAGCGAGACAAACTCGAGGGATGATGGGCCCGCAGACGAGAGGAGATGGTTTGGTTGTCAAACGTATGCACGCTGCGACGTCACGTGACATCGTCACGTCTCTATACGTGCCACTACGGCGGTATGACATCACGTGACATGTGATCCCACGTGGTTCGCAAAGACGCACTAATTTTATCATCTGGCCTGCCGGAAAGTGATAGTTTAAAAAGCCTTATTTTTTGCAAGCTGTATATGTTGCAGAGCTTCGGGAACATTCAAACTTCTTTCGCACCGTACGTCGCCAACCGTGCGAATCAGAGGTGCGGCAAATTAATGAGCCAATAAATAGACTGCAAAGTGTTAGGATCAGGTGCGTCGTTGTGTGGGGCTCTTGTGTGACGTCGGTGCAGCGATGTCACGAGAGCAGAGCGGTGGCTGTACCCTCACGTGGTTTTAAAGTCTTATTGTTCTTATCACTGAACTTCAAAGTGGCTTCAACAGCCTGGGCCGCCACACAGCCGCGACATGTATCGAACAGATAAGAGCTATTTATTTTTAAATTGCTTATTCCTTTAATTATTTTTCATAAGCCCTTAATTAAAATGATTTCCTTAGGCAGTTTGTGGCTAATGTGATACACTTGTAAGCAGCTGGAGTGGCTAATTTGTTCATGGTTTTGAGTCGCATAGGAAGAGGGTTTATACTTATTAAAAGAATTGCAATATTTGGCATTAATGGATTATAGTATAATAATAATGTGTAGCCTTCGGTCAAAACACCGCTGGATGATTGTCTCTGAATGCTATGTCGATCATGGGGGTTATTTGACTATACTTCACCACGCTGGTTAGTGCAGGTTGATGAAAGGTTGACCCAGGACTGGCTTGAATAGCATTGGCCACTGGTGTTGGCTATGGCCAGGAATTGAACTTGGATCTCCGGGTTCATAGTACAGTGTGCTAACCATTGTTTCACCTCTGCAAACGCTGAATATGGAATGGTTTTATTTCAGCTCAGCCGTTGACAATCATAATCTTTATTTAGATTGCTGGAGGAATCCGATAAGATTGTAAAGCTCTTTCTCACACAGATGATCAGTAGGGGCAGCAAGTTACAACAGCAAACAATACAAAAACACGATAGGAGTGCACAATAGAGAAAAGGTAAGCAAGTCACTATGAATAAATATGAAATATACATAAAGTAAAGAAGTAAAAGTAAACTACTATTTTACCAGGTAAGGCCCGCTGAGCTTCGTAGTTTTTTTTCAAAAGCGACCTGGCCATAAGTGATAGCTCAATGGAGGGGCTTGTCACATGGAAATTTCTAGAAGGCAAATCCTCTCAACTCGTGTTTCTAAATGTGGAGGGAAAAACCGGAGGACCCGAAGAAAAATCCACACGATCCAATTATATTACTACACGAATATAGCACTCCCGTTGTGAACATCTTATTCGGCCACAAATATATACTCCGAATTATATTCCACAGGCTGTAGTGACACACGTATTGTGTACTAGTATATTTCTTGTCAATCCACCGCTGGTACGAGTGCCTCACGCCATGCGGTGTTGTGCAAGTTAATTGACCGTATTTCACCGCGGTGGTTTGGTCAAAGCGGCGAGGGGCATAGATGTTTGGAGCTTAATAAAATGCAGTGACATTTTTTTGCACTGCATCCTGCTAGGAAAATAGCCCGAGCAGCAGCCTACAAACGCTTATTATGAAATCCATGGTGGTTGCCCATCTTACATGCACGATGAACACGGGAAATCGTCACTCTTCAAGATGGGAACGATGCTCCGGGCATGTTGTTCCCTCTGTGCATGTGTGCGAGTGTCAAATGAGTGTGGGGAGCGGGAGCGTAGCAGTTAGCGCACTGCGCTACGAACCCGGCAATCCAGGTTCGATTCCTGCTCACGGTCAACACCAGTGACGATTATCTGAACCAGTCCTGGGCCTACTCTAGGTCGACTCAGCCTCAAATGAGTACCTGGTGCGGTGTGTAAACATCGTCACTGGGGAGGCAAAGGCGGCTGGGCGTGGCTTTGGCCAACCTAACCCCATCGTGTGCCTTCCCGGCCTTCATAGGTACTCGCAAACAGCACTTGCCCCAACAGGCTATATGGGGGATCTTTGCCTTTGTTCTGTGCCTGCCCCCCTTTAGGAGTACCACGACAACGCAAGCAACTTGGTGCTGAAGGACACGGAGCTAAAGCAGGTGGCGTACATCTTCCAGTGCAACAACAGCACGGTGAACGTCAAGGGCAAGATCAACTCCATCACCGTCGGTCGGTCACGCACGCACACTCACTCACACACACAGGCGTTATCCGTACAGCAACGTTGATTTCGAAGATAAATTCTGCCCACTCAAAAGCGCTCCGATTTATCCCCGGTGGGCGGCCCTGTTGTACCGGCTAGTGATGTAACATTGGCCTAAAGAGGTAGCCTATAGGTCTGCCGCGGATGCGACTATCTGCGTTGCTCCTCCTTGTAAACGTATCGGCCTCTTTGCAGCGGTTCCACGCTTTTGGGTGCCATTAAATCGCTAGTCTCGTTCCATCGGCCATAGGTTTTCCCCATTTTTTTCTCGCAACAAAACGGGTGTTAAAATGTTAAACACCAAACTGAAATCTTTTGCAAGGAATTATGTCTGCATTTACCACAATACTTGTGGGCAGAATGCAAACGAAAGAAAGCCATCTCTGGTGTGGACCAATCAGTTTCAAAGACAATGCATTTCTTATCATAGTGGTTTTTTTTGCATTCTGACCACAAGTATTGTGGTTAATGCAGACATGATTCCTTGTAAAAGGTTTAAGTTTGGTGTTTCAACATCTTAAGACCTGTTTTGTTGCCAGAAAAAGGGAAAAAACCTATTCTCATATTTTAGTCTTGGCAAAGGAGGTCCCATGATGACACACTTCACTTGTTCAAATCCATCGGCATGAGGTCTCGATTGAATTGAAAGCAAACATTTACACTTCATTTGCGCAACTCGTAAATTGTTTTGATTCATTACACGCCAAACCAAACGTCCCAAGTGATGCGAAAAAGGGTTTCTCATTACGCGCGCCGTGGTTATTGAACCTGGCCCGTCTCTTCTTCTTTCACCGCGTTGGCCCTAATTTTCATCCGAAATAAAAGCCCCAGCCTTGGTGCGTTACGTAAACGGAGCGTATCCGTTCACATCAAATGCGCGTGCCGCAATTAGACATAAATTGTGCTCCCGCTAACAGTATAGCTGAGGGCTTCTGTTCATTCATGGTGCAAATATAATAATAGAAGCACAAGTTACTGTAGCAAAATATATATTTTTGTTGTTGTGTGAATCTGCCCCAGGCACGAATCGCTTCATCTCCTCCCGTCTTGCGTACTTAAACTTTGGTGTGATGAATTGCTTGGCTCTGAGCGCGCTAACCAATTCTCTAGCTTAATTTAAACGTTTAAATGCGCACGTTCACTTTAAATTATAAAGACGGCATTATCGCCCAACTCGTAAAAACCCACAGAACGCTGCAGGGTTGTTCATTTTTATCTGCAGTTAAAAAAGAAAACGAGGAGAGACGAACATGATTGCGGCATGCCGCGCGTACAATTTTCATCCTAAAGTTTTCATATTTTAAATTGGAAAAAAAAATCTGAAAACGTGGTTTTCCTCCTTGTCGAAGTACCGTCATTAAAACTGTTACTTCAGTTTCGATTTAAAGCTTTCGTGACTGCAGGGATTCATCTTCTTGGTTCTTTCGGTAAAGTCACGTAGAAGGGAAATAATAAAATAATAAAAATTAAACATAATAAAATAATTCTCACGACGTTTCGGCCACAACGCAAGCAGCCGTCCTCAGGTGAAGAACAGGTCTGTCGGAAAGACAGCGTCTGAATGAACACCACCAGGCTTGGCAGCGTATATTTAAGAGGAATTTAGCATATTTATGGGAAATGCAGATATGGGATTACTCGCTACTTGTGGAATGCGTAGGAGGTGGGGGGGGTTTCAAAGTCATATTATGCCCGTGCATTATGCAGGATTAGCAGCATCAAAGGGAGGGAGTAGGGTTAGCATTAATAAAGGGAAGGAATGTTAATAGTATGGAGCTGCAGCAGCTAAACCACCACGTAAGAAACTAAAATATAAACTACATCAGTTGTTTTACTTTTGCAAGTGTGCACATATCCATTTGCCAATTTTACATCGGTTGTGCTTTTGGCGGTTTTGTGAAATGAAGCATCGATTGAGGACTCTCTCACAGGGCAGGGCCTGCCCCCCCCCTTGTGTTGTTAGAAGGCCTGCCGAAGCAGATGTGACAGAACAACTTTCGAGATCCGTTTGAGTGACTTATTTTGAAATCGACATACCAGGCGGGGGGCGCTCATTCCCACATGTCCTGCCTCAGGAAAGTGTTCATAACGTCCGAGTCAAATGTTTCTTTTTGTTTGTCACAGCTGGATTTCAACCAAATTAACAGCAATTATTACATTTATTGGTGGGTTTTATAATAAACTCAACACGTTCATCAATATTTCCCTTTGAAGAATATATATACTGTAATTGGCAATATTCCTTCACAAACAGAGCGCCCTTTGCTCTTGTAAATGTTTGCTTTTTTTTATTTGTGCATCTGCACCACTGCCAACACAGTATCACAAAACGCGTTTTGTTTAACGATGGGTTTTAAAGTGCATTCAAGGTATGATTTGAGAAGCCCGTTCAATCCTAACTGCGTGGCTCCTTTGATTCACGTTCAAGGATCTCAACAGAGGAGGCTTGTGGCTGCCCCCCCCCCACCCACCAGAGCCACCCAGCCACAACAGAAATACTATTTTATTATAAAAACGTTACAATTTTTCGACAGACCTGGTTTCACCTGAGGACGGCTGCTTGCGTTGTGGCCCAAACGTCGTGAGAATTATTTTATTATGTTTTATTTTTATCATTTTATTACTTCCCTTCTACGTGACTTTACCGAAAGAACCAAGAAGAGAAAAAAACGTTACAAGTTAATTTCCTTTAACTCGGTGGAAACTCAAAAGAGACCAGGATAGTGTCGTTTGCAGGAGTGACCTGGGTTTTGTTCACTGGCGTAACCTCGTTTTGTTTGCACGAGTGAACGGTATCGTGTGTTTACACGAATCGGACGCAGTGTTGTGCGATGGCAAGCTCTGCTTCTTGTGTTGTCGGCTGCCCCTGGCAGATTCCTGCAAGAAGCTGGGCCTGGTGTTTGACGACGTCGTGGGGATCGTGGAACTCATCAACTGCAAGAGCGTGCAAGTGCAGGTGGGCTTCAGCACCTGTGGCATGGTGTGCGGCCTCCCGCAGTCATTTTTTTTTATTATTAGGAATACATTTTGTTACTTTGGAAGGCTTTGTTTAATCATCACAATCCATGGGTCGATAGCCTGTAGGTGTCCACTGCACATTTAATCATTTATTTCCACTTTCCCCTGTCGTGTGCTCAAGTTGTGCCTCATCTTTCTGGCACAAGTCTTATGTAATCAAGTCATTCTCTTTGTTAAATAGTGTCTGCTAACATAAAAACTTGTCAGTTCAAAACTGATTCGTTCATCAACTTAACGTTTCCCAGCATCCCACGGTGTCTCCGTGAAAAGTGCGGTCGCAAATAACCAGTCGTTCAATCTCTCTGCCCTCTCCCTGTGCTCTGAAGGAAGACCATTGCTTTGAAACGTCAGCCTGACATATACGTTTCTGCCGTGTTAAGGCAGCACTGTTGGAAGCGAGGGCTGTGTTTGTGCGTCGCTGCCAACGCAGTCTCTCAACTCTCATTGCTGCCACATTTTGTTTCTTTTCGTTGACTTGTATCCAGCCATCGGTGCAGCGGGGGGGGGGGGGGGGGAACATTGCTTTCCGATTTCGTAAACGCGGTTATTTCGGTTGAGTTACGTTTTTTTCCCTCCCGAGCGAAATTTTTGTGCAACGCTTTTAACGCTTTGTCTGTGTGTGCGTGCGTCATTTTTTTTATGGTAGCTGCGTAATCGACACGTTCAAGTGAATTACGGCTAAGCACAGAATAATAAAACCCAACTCAACTTTAGCACGAACACGCCGTATTATTTTGGCTGCTATTAGGCAAGATCAATTAATGCGGTTGAGTGTTTTCTTATTTGTGCTTGTATTCTACTGGCAATGCAAACCGATGTAACTTTTTATTCTTAATTGAATGTGAATTGTGGTTAAGCAACGGTCTGAAGTTTCAAATATTGGAGTTCCGGACATCATTTTGGTTTGGCGTGACGACGTGACACCAACTGCGCCCACCACTCTTCCCCCTTTTCTCGTCCGCTCTCAGGTCCTGGGCAAGGTCCCAACCATATCCGTCAACAAGACGGACGGCTGCCAGATCTATCTGAGCAAGGACTCGCTGAGCTGCGAGATCGTGAGCGCCAAGTCGTCGGAGATGAACGTGCTCATCCCACACGACAAGGACTTTGTGAGAGACGCACGAGCGCTTGTGTACACGCATGCACGTAAACTGACAGATCTGCCCCCGTGTAGCCAACATCGGCGGCCCCCAACCTGTGGCACGTGCCAATCGGAGGTGCGGGGGAAGGAGAACAAACTAAACACACTAAGCTGTTTTAAACAAATGGCTCTTTAATCTTCTTTTAAGAATGCATAGCGTTCTCGCTCTTGCGTGTACGCGCACGAGTGTCATGGTCAATCCACTGCTGGATGAAGGCCTCTCCAAGCCCGCCGCCACCTTTCGCGACCTTGCGATGCAACAAATCCATCCGCCGCATTTGCAGTATGCAAACAATCGTAAAAATTTTAAGAAATAAGAAAAATATCTGTTTGGAAACTATACCCACACACAGTTGAAAGGTGTGGTACACTATGAGAAAAGGTTGGGCACCTCTGGCCATGCAATAGATTATTAGGGCAAGCGCCATTAGCGAGCACCTATTAAAGCTGGCTCCGGGTCACAATATCAAATGGTTAACCGCGTGCGTTCTCTGATCCCGTGCGCTCTGCTTTATGCGTCTCATTCCAAGCGTGCACCTCTGCTTATTTGTGTGTACTTTATTGAGTCCTGTTTTCTCTCTCTGCGTTTCTGATCCGTGTAATATACCGGGTAGAATATGCACTGTTTAATATGAAGGAGTGTGTCAATGTTTCTAATTTGGTGTACCCTAGGTGCTTTGATGTATAACAGCATATAGATTGGCACTTGTCTCATCTAAATCTAGAATGTTTGCCACGGTCTCTTTGCCTCTGAATAATATTGATTTTCACAAATATGTTAAATAATTGCTTCATTTAGTTTGATTGCCCAATCGAATAGCATTGATTACTTAATTTTGTTGCAGTTGATTTTTTCACACAATGAAGTATTTATTCAGCTTGACTGTGCATTTTTTAATAATGATTACACCCTTAAATTGTTGTTAGATGCTAATGGAAATTTTTTTCATAAACATTTATTCTATAAAAATTGAATTTATAGATCATCCAAATGTGTGTGAATGGCATGATGGGAAAGAGGTGGCACAGCTAACATGGAGGGCTGAGGCCAGCTCCGCTGAGAACCCGGGTTTTAATCCAGATCTCAGCCACCTGGGCTCTGAACCGCGTTCTCAAGTGCTGGGAGTTGATGGGTCTCAGCCCAGTTACCAGTGACATCGCACACGAAAAACAAATCGATCACATTACATTTCATTCCCTCAATTTGGCAAAATGTGATCTCGTGAGAATTAAACATATCTGGTTTTACCGTCATGCGATTGACCTCACTGTCTGGTTAAAAATATTGGTGGTCAACTGTCCAGGCTCACAACCTCTGCTTGGCTTGTGAGATATCCACGATAAAGGAGAGTTGCTACTCCACACTTCAACAAGACGCGGGTAGCACGCATGTGCGTCCAGCTATGTTCTACCACCGGATGGGGAGCGGTGGCGTTAGTGTTCAGGGCGCTGTGATACAAACCTGGCGACCCGAGTTCGATGCCTGCTCACGGTCAACACCAGTGACAATTATCTGAACTGGTCCAAGACCTCGCCTCGGTTGACTCCGTCTCAAAATGAGTACCTGGTGTGATGTTTAAAAGCCACTACTCAGGAGGCAAAGATGGCCGGTTGTAGAACTGTCCACCCACCCCCTCGTCTGCCGTGCCGGCCTTCATAGGTGCTCACAGCTCTTGCCCCAACTGTCTGTTAAGGTTATGCGGGAAATCTTTGTTTGTCTTTGCTAAATGCCGTCCTTCCTCTCTCTGCCTCTCTCTCTCTCCCCGGCCCCAACAGAAAGAGTTCCCGATCCCGGAGCAGTTCAAGACCGTGTGGAACGGCAAGAAGCTGGAGACGGTGGCTACCGAGATTGCTGGTTAAGCCCCCTTTCTCCTGGTGGCATGCGCCGCTCCCCCCAAACCCAGCAGTGATCCCAACCAGCCAACAACCCACGGCGGGGCCAGTACACACATGGCAATTTGCACCAACTCTGCCCTGCGCAAGCAAAGTAGTGAAAAAAATAATCTAAGCCTATCGCACGATTCTATAGAACACTTCCAAGCATGATTTAATTAAGTGAGAGAAGCTGAGATTTAGAAAATGTTCAAAAGTATAATGATTTTGACGTAATTGTTTGGATTTGTTTTCGTTCTGTTTCTCTCCTGAATTTGATACACATAAAAAAAACGGTATAATGCACGTGGCTTTTGTCGGGTGAAGTTGGTGCTAATGCCTGAACCCATTGGCGCTTCCAATGGGAATAAAAATCACACCTCGGGGAGAGATTAACCTTGGCACTTCGTATTGTAATCGTGCATCAAGAATATTTTTGCAGGCAAACCGGATGCTTATATTGCACTTTCTGGATTGCTGCTTTGGTCGATATATTTTTTCTACTTTTGCTAGGTTACTGCTCCGATAGATCCCTGGACCTCATCAGATGTGTCAACTAACTTGAATGTCTGCTTTTCTAGCGCGATACGATTGTGTGGAATTATAAGACCGTTCGTGCTGTGTACGCCACTTGCGATGACTTCGATGCATTTCCACGTTGGCCAAGGTGGTGTCACCTTTTGAAATCAAAGTCAGCTTCATTCCTCTATTAAATTCCTCGTTACGTAATGGAAACATTCCTTGAAGATTGATTCCCGTTGAAAATCGTGTTCTGTCCACCCCCCCCCCTCAGTTTTTGTCGTACAATCGCATAAAATGCAAATATATATTGACTTGCCAAATATTTTAATGAGTTTCATACTGCCAAGTCTATTAACCAACTTGATTGTTTTTCAGGTCAGAGGTACAAATAATCCAATTCAACCACTTTGCGTAGTGTTATTATTGTTGCCTGTTCACTTATTTGCTTTCACTTTAAAAGTCTGCCCCAGACGGACTCTCGCCCTCTGCTTCTTCGTCAACGTGTTGCCACTTAAGTCTACTAAGAACGGACATTCCGCTAAATCGACCGCCTCCTGCGCCCAATTTATTTTGTGTGTAAAAAAAAATCAATTTCATTATGACGAGCACCGAATTCGTGCAGGAGTCTGAATATGGTACGGCTTGCCAGACCGCCGGGAAACGCTGATTTTTTTTTGCCTCCCCCCCCCCCACTGATTCACGCTCTCAAGCCTAACCAATCGCGGGATGGCGTGTTACTTGATTTTGGATGAGAACCTCTTGTGTTGTTTTTTTTATCAATTCTCACCGGGTTTTTTTTTGGTTAGTGTCACTGCTGAGCTTTGGGCCTAGTTTTGTCTCCTCCCATTTCATTTTGCCGACACTTCGTTACGTTTCTCGCCGTCATCGATTTGTTACGATTTTTTGTCTTAATCACCGTTTGCTAAACGTTGCTTTCTTCTTGTGGTTGTTGCGATTTTTACTTTAGCTTCACTGGCTACTGCTGGCTTCTTAAAAAAAATAAAAAAGCACTGTTCATTTAGCGAAAAGATGTAGAAAACTATAGAAAGTTTCCTTCATGATGACAGTCGTGAGACTTATCACTGACCTGACCCTATATTGCGCTAAATCATGTGCACCCTTTAGTGGCAATAACGCAGCACGGATCGGAATGTAATCTGCGTCAGCGTCGCGTACGGGCAGCACTTATTAAAGCCGTCTCCTGCGAAGACGCCCGCTGTACGTAGGGAGGACCCCCCCCCCCCCCCCAACACACGCTGTGCGCGCCTGCGTGACCTTCGCAAAGGAATGCCATCGACTTGTCATCAGCAGCAGAACCTTCACGGTGGCAAGTTGTGGGCGCTTTGGTCTGTCCTAGATGTTCGAAATTGGTTAAGGATCCACGCAAGAATTCATGGGAAATCAATCGGCCGAGGGCCCTACCTCCAATACTCTTTGGTTCTTTCGGTAAAGTTACATAGGTATAAAATAAAATACCTACGTGACTTTACCGAAAGAACCAAAGAGTATGGATTCCTGCAGTCACGAAAGCTTAAAATCAAGACCCTACCTCCAATGTTGCATCAAGCGAACTCGTGGGTGGGTTTTTTTCCATCTTCACAATGATTTTGACCGATGCACATCCACGGCTTGCTAGCTAGCCTGGCTACCTGCTAGCAATCCCGTGGCCACGCGAGTTCGCCGTAGAAAAACCAAGGCGCCCCCCCCCCCCCCTCCCGTTCAGAGTTGGGCGTCTTGGGCTCGAATCTCCATCTCCAGACCTCATCCACTGCCTCTCCCTCGCTGCCCCGGGGGACTGGGGTGGTTGGTGGGGGGGGGGGCACTCCCCGTCGCGTGGCAGGTGCACGCGCGGCGCGTTACCCAATTTACATGCAAATGAACGAGAAAGTTGCGCGCGGTGTAACGTGCTGGGGGGGGGGGGGGGTCTGCTAGCCGTGGTGAGAGCGTGACGGCTGGAAGCTTTGGGAGAGCGCGCGGGTTTTGGCAGATGGTTCGCTCCTATCCGTCGTGTGGAGTGGTGGAGCGGTGGGGGGTACGGGAGCTGGTGTGTGGTGGGGGGTTGGTGGTGGTTGAATGCATTGGTGCGGTATAGCTTTTCTCCGGGCCTTCCGCACGAAAGGTGGCGGCGTTTGGACATTGGGGGGGAGGGCGACTGCGGTGTTTGTCCAAGGTGTGGTTACTCTTGGGAATTATGTACTTTGCAACATATTAAAGTGGCAGTAACAATTTCGGAGTGTTTCAATGCACTGTTTTAACACTGTTGGATATGTACGGTGCGAAAGAAATTCTACATTGTGGTTCATCTGCCAGTCATCTGGGTCAACCCATGGAACCTGGGTCTGTCCCGTGATCTGCCAGCGAGCCTTCGACCCTTCGCGTGGCCTAAAAGTGCACCTTGCCTGGCACAATCGCCGTGGTGAAGTCGCCGCCACTCCGTGGCGAATGCCTGTTGTCGTGTAGTGGTGGTCAGCGCACTGCGATCGGAACCCGGCAACCCGGGTTCAATTCCCGCTCACGGCCACCACAAGTGTCGATTATCTGAACAGGTCCTGGACTTCCCCCGAAGTCGACTCATGGTCCGATGGTGCGGCGTGGAAACATCGCCATTGGGGACTCAAAGGTGGCCAAGCGGAGTGCTGGCCACCCCACCCCTCGTGTGCCATGTCAGCCTTGATAAGTGCTCGCGAACAACGCTTGCCCCAATTATTATAAGTCGACACGGGGGGGGGGCAGCAGTGCAGTGGTGAACGATCTGTATCTGCCTAAGATGGATTCCTGTCCATGCCTCCCAGCCGCAGAGAACGTCGGTGGCGACTGGAATTTGAACCCGTCTCCCCCCGTGTGCTCGGCCTGAAATTAGCACCTGGTGCAGTCTGCAACGGGCGAAGACGAAGGCAGACCGGGGCATGGTGCTGACCACACAACTCGCCTGTGCTCTGCGCTTGACCTTTAATCGGCGCTCGCAAACGGCGAATGGCGCGGCACTTTTGACCGCAGCAGTTGATGCGCACTGCGTTGATGGAGCCGAGTTCCACCCCCGGCCACAGCCGACACGAGTGGCGAGGTGACATCTCAACCGGTCCCGGATGGGCAGGCCCCATCGACCGGCCAAACTCGCACTGACCGTCGTGATCAGCTGAGTTCAAATAAAACCCCCACGGTATGGCGACACGTTCATCCGGCAGCGGATTGACTGCGGGCTGTAAATGAGGGCACTGCCTCCAAACAGATTTGATGATCTTAATTTGGAGCTTTCGTGACTGCAGGAATTACTCTGGATCTTTCGGTAAAGTCACATATAAAGATAAAAGAATAAATTAAATACTAGCATACGACGTTTGGATTGCAACACAAGCAATCATCATCAGGTATAAATGAAATACTAGATTTGTGTTTCTATTTCATTTATACCTGATGATTATTGCTTGTGTTGCAATCGAAACGTCGTATGCTAGTATTCAATGTATTATTTTATCTTTATACGTGACTTTACCGAATGAACCAAAGAGTAGATTTGAGGATGTTATACGCATTGGGGAGCAGGGGGGGAAGGGCGGTGTTTGTGTTGCGTTCGCTGGTGTTTTTTTTAAATACCCAATGCCCAGACAATGCACTCGCCCATTCGTGATAGTGTGGAGCGTTGCGGCATGGGGGAGACGGCTCATTGACAAGCCACGAGGCTCACTTGTTGGGCCGGGCTGTCTGTGGCCGGACGTGGGTGGTGGGGTTGTTATTGCGGCGGCGGCAACGGCAGCCGCGAGCTTTTACCGCAAACCGCCTCTGTGTTAGGCCTTTCATGGCACATTTAAGCAACAGCGCATGCCGCGTGCTTCCTAATTAAGTTGGTAAATGTTTCAATTAATGGATTTGTTATGCATGCCTCTTAAAAAATCTGCAATCTCTTAAAAACATTAAGGGTGGATATGGGGGGGTACCACCCCCCCCCCCCCCCACAAGCATGGACATTTAATGTTTTTGTCCGGAACGGGGCATCATTGCTACAAGGGCAATGTTCTGCGTGTGACGTCTGCAGAGATTCTGAATTTAGGAATGTATTACAGAAGGTTTTCAGTGTGTGTGGGGGGGGAGATAGTGGAGTGGTCAGCGCGCTGTGATACGAACCCAGCGACCCGGGTTCGATTCCTGCTCGCGGCCAACAAGAGTGACGATTATCTAAACCGGTCCTGGGACTCCACTAGGTCGACTCGGCCTCAAATGAATACCTGGTGCGGTGTGTAAACATCGCCACTGGGGAGACAAAGGCGGCCGGGTGTGGTGCTGGCCACCCACCCCCTCGTGTGCCGTGCCTTCATAGGTGCTCGCTAACAGCACTTGCCCCAACAGTCTGCGAAGGCTGTACGGGGGGGGGGGATCTTTGTCTTTGGGCACAATGTACCTTGGTTGGTAGAGTGGCAAGCAGACTAAAATCATGAATTTGTCATTGTAATAGTTATTGTAATCGTTAAACTATCATTATTGTTACCGTCATTGACATAGCATCATCATCATTCACCGTCATCATCATCCGTTATTGCCATTAATTATCATCATCGTCATTGCCAACATCATCTTCCCTCTGGGATCAGCAACAATGAGCATCGCCCGTTAGCGTCGCATCCAATTGCGGGAAAGCCGGGCTTGAAGTGCCCCCTTGGGCTGGGCGTGTTTTCTGATGCAGCTGGCAGGAGGATCGTGGAACAGGCGCGCGGGGCAACCGTACGTCGCACACGAGGGGCCTCTTACCCCCAGCGCATTCACTACGGGAAGCGATCGTTGATGGGGACGGCGCATATATTACACTGGTCAACACACTTTTTCTGGCATAAGGTATTCCAACGGGTTCAAGGTAACTTTGGGGTGCTGATTCCAAATCTGGCATCAGTTTGTGTCCATCACATCAGGTTTTTGAGATATCAAATATTGCATTTTCAATAAAAACTGCAGAAGAAAAATATTAAATAAATGTGGATATCTACATAGAATGATATTATAAACACACTATCCTAAAAATACAGCACCATATTTTAACACTAAAGCAGTCCCTAACTCGCAACAACTTGCAATCATAAGTGACAGTTAATTTCGGGTAAAATCAATGAAAATGGGGTATGCCGATAGCATAAAAATGCGATGTGATAGAGCAAATCTGAGATCATATTTGGAATCAGCACCCTGAAATTTGTCTAAAACAGCTGCAAAAATTCAGGCCAGAAAAAAAAAAATTTTGTTGACCAGTGTTATTTGTGTTCGTTATAAATTGCTCCCAGGCTCAACTGGCTTTTAAGCCGAATAAGAGTCGCGCGTGACGACCCTGAGGATGATGATGATGATAATGCATCGGTGCACTAGTGGTGGCACGTGACTTGGAAAAGAAGACGCGTAGAGGCCACCGAATTTGGCAAACAACCCCGTAAAGTCCAAATGCGTCTCGGTCGTCTTCTCGCAACACGCGGGGGGTGACGTTCGTTTAAAGTCGCCATCGTCGGCCACGATCAATCCGCTGCTGGATGAAGGCCTCACCCAACAGCCGTCGCCACCTCTCGCGGTATTGCGTGCGATGCAACAACAACAACAGCAGCAGCAAAACAACTCACGTAGCACCTGCACACGAAACTAAAACTGATCTATTTTTCATTTTAACCCGGCGACCCGTGTTCGATTCCCGCTCACGGCCGCCAACGCCAGCGAAGATTATCTGTGCGAGTTCTGGGCCTCCCCTAGGTCGACTCGGCCTCAAATAAGTGCCTGGTGCGGTGTGTAAACATCGCCACTGGGGAGACAAAGGCGACCGTGCGTGGTGATGTCCACCCACCCCCTCGTATGCCTTGCCGGCCTTCATACGGGACTTGTGATAAGAAAGATCAGTATAGATCATCGGATTCCTCCAGTATGAACACGTATTCTGATTCTGATCGGTGCTCGCTAACAGCACTGGCCCCAATAATCTGTCTCGGGTTATTCGAGAAGGATCGTTCCCTTTGTCTTACGGGCTGTCCATAAATGACGTCACGCACCTGGGGGGGGGGGGGTCGGACATTTGTGACGATGTGTGACGATGTGTGACGAGGTGGGGGGGGGGGGGTTTGAGAAATGTGACGTCACATCAAAATGCGCAACTTTAAATGAATATAGACAACACGTTCTACTTAATTATATAGAGTTTTTAATACATATTTTTTCCTACAACATCAGAGTGCAGCGCCACATTCAATGACAATAGTTTAAACCGATTTGAAGCATGTTTTATTTTGGGGGGGGGGCAGAGCTTTGTGACGTCATATTTGAGGGGGGTCTGACTTTTTGTGACGCCGTGTGACGAAGCGGGGGGGGGTCAAAAATCGTCTAAAATCGCGTGACGTCATTTATGGACGGCCCCTTAGCTCACGTCTCCCTGCCATGCACTCTTCTCTCCAGCAACCGAGGCTCTCTGTTGAAGTCAAGCAGTCAACCTTCGCTCGGTGGAAGCTCGTTCAAGTGCAGGCTCAAGGAGTTTCCTTTGTCAACTTTCAGCACTGCCCATGATTGATTGTGCCCCCCCCCACCTCCGTCTCGATCTCTCTCTTTGGTGAATAAATATGGACAACTGTGTTTGTACAGCATTCTGAATGTCCGGTGACATTCAGACGATATTGTGCATACCAAAAATAAAGTTGGATAGTTACATTGTCATTCGAGAT